CCAGGGTGGTGTGGGTGGCGAGGATGGAGTTGTAGGGCTCCACCACTGCTGTGGAGACCTGTGGGGCTGGGTACACAGAGAACTCCAGCTTGGATTTCTTGCTGTACTCAACGGAGAGCTCCTCCATGAGGAGGGAGGTGAACCCGGAGCCTGTGCCTCCTCCAAAGCTGTGGAATATCAGGAACCCTTGGAGGCCACTGCATTCCTCAGCCTGCAGCAGCAGGGAAAGAACCATAAGGACCAAGTTATAATAACCAAGTTATTGTGGCCTCACTGGACTAGAACCAAGGCAAAGCACCATGTTCCACCATCAAGTTTAAGGCCATATTTACTCCCACTCTCATACACCTTCAATTGCTTACAGGTGATTTCTGCTGTACAGAGCAGACACAGCTTGTAAATCATCTCCTGTTTTAGCAGCAAGGCCTACCCTGAGAGTCACATATTGGGTTATATGGCGACTCATGAGAGCAACAATCATGAAGACTAGGGAGAGTCTGAAGGCCACTAAGAGGTACCACCTAATCCAAAACCATCTTTGTGTTACCACAGCACGTATGAGAGTCTACATGGGGGAAACCTTGTGCTCCAGAAGCAACTACACAAGGGAGCAGAGGCTCAAGAGGAGACATTCAGCCAGAAGCTGAGCTGGGACATCAGCTGGGATGAGATTTTGGATCAGGAGTAGGACAAAGTAACTTAACCTGGACAGTTAAACCACTGCTTGTTCTCCTGCTTCAGCTGGGGGCATCTTTAACCCCTTGTTTTCCCCTCCAGTCCCAGTCAGCAAGACACACACCCGCATGCTTTCCATCATGTTCTAGTCATAGTGGCATGGTCAAGCTGACCATGAGCCAATTGCCTTTCTCCACCATCACATCTCTTGATCAGATCAACCACAACCAGAGTCCTAATGCAGACTCTGCATGGTTCTTACCATACTCTGAGTCCTCTCAACAACTGACTCAATGGTAGCCTTCCCAATGGTGTAGTGACCCCGAGCATAGTTGTTGGCAGCATCTTCTTTGCCACTGATGAGAAGCTCCGGGTGGAAGAGCGCATGGTAGGTCCCAGTCCTGATCTCATCTGGAGAAGGTTGAGACCTCATGAGTGTCACTGGCACAAGACCCCCCCCATCTACTAAGTGACTTGCACTGATTGGGATGCACTTTCACATGGAAGCTGCCAGCCCCACCAGCAGTTTAGGTGGCCAACCCTTGAGGGTCAGAGAAGGTGCTCCCCTACACAGACCCCACCAAGAGGCCTTCCATGACTTACCAATGACAGTGGGCTCCAGGTCAACAAACAGTGCTCTGGGCACACACTTCCCTGATCTTGTCTCACTGAAGAAGGTCCTAAAGGAAGAGTTTGCTCTCTCTGAGGATGCGTTGGAGGAGATGATGCCATCCGGCCCAATCCCATGCTCTAGGCAATACAATTCCCAGCAGTAATTGCCCATCTGGACGCCTGCTTGTCCAATATGGACAGAAACACACTCCTTCTGCATGGGGATGGGAGAGAAGAGGGGGTTAGGAATGTGCGCTGAGGAACCAGACTAACACTGGCATTTCTGGGTGTCTTTATAGAGCATATGGCCATTACAACCTGCTTTTTACCTCTGGCCTGGGCTGAAGATCCAGCCCAGCAAGCCTCAAACGATCTTCTTGGCAGAAGCCTGGCCCTACCAAGCACAGAAACAGGGCAACACCACCCTATACTGAAGCAGAGGCTCCTACCCGAGGGTTAGGATGTAATGTGCCAGCCCTCAGCCACCACAAACAGACCCATAAAAGGCCCAATGCACTAGGGGACAAATCAGGGATGCTGAGCCACTCTTCACAAGGAGACCTTCACCTCATGCTCCAGGTCTGCCTCAGCCCTACAGCAGCATTAATGGGCACAGAATTCAGTCTTGTATTAGATGCCACCAGCAAGACCTTCAAAGCATCTTCATGCAGGGGAACAGGCGAACCTGAATGCCATCAGGACAATCCTCCCCAGACCAAGAGGAGGGAAACACCATTCTTGCAAAGCCAGCCCAGGTCTGTACCCTTAGGAGCCCCTTCTCCAGGGTTCACAATGCTCCTCCATACCCCATAACCAATTTCACCCCCAAGGAAACCAACAGAAGAGCTATCCACAGCCATCAGAGAGCAAACCCAGCTCCATGGCTACTCACCATGGCTCTGAACCACTCAGGCTCCTCACACAATCACCTCATTGAGAGCATGCCCTATGTGCTTCCCTCTTGCACCTTTTATCAAGTAGGGCTGGGCTCTCTACTAAAGTGCTCCTTCCTGCCCTGCCCTTGTGTTGGCATCTGCTGGCAAAGGGCTCAGGTGTTTCCTATGAAGAGCAATGGGGGCTCATCAAAGGGCTTTGAAGGACTTGCACCTGCAGATCCATGGGGTTTGGCCTTTAAATATAGATTTAGCATTGCTCTCCCTATTACAAGGGGAGCAAAGTCAAGTGCAAGGTTCTGCTCCTGAGCTGGGGCCATCCCAAGCATAAATAGAGGCTGGGGGAGACTGGATGGAGCAGCCCTGAGGAGAAGGACTTAGGGTGTTGGGTGATGAGAAGCTCCCCATGCCCTGGCCGTGTGCACCAGAGCAAACTCATTATTGAGCTCAAAAAGAGTTTGGGTTTCATCCCTGCTCATCATGCTCCCAAACCCAGCTGGGTGCTGATGGAGATTTCACTGCTCCTATTTCCATCCAGCTTCCCCCAACCTCTACTTGTGTCTCAGCCCCTCCAATCAACCCCTGGTCTTGCTTGGCAGAGCTTGGGAAGGAGGATTAATAGTGGAAAGGTTTGTCCAAGCCAGTGCTTGGATGAGACTCCCCATGGGGATGCAGCTGGGGAAGGAGCATCTCTGCTTTCCGCATCAGTCACTACCAGCTGGTATTCTGTCTCCATCTCAGCTTTCATGTACAAGCACAGCCTGGTGCCAGCAAACACCTTGGCCCATCTCCTCCCATGGCAAGGGTTTGAACCAGATGATCTTAAGGCCCTTTCCTACCCAAACCATGTTAATGGCCTTCATCAAAGGGGAACAGAAGAAAGACCCAGTCATGGGGTGTTTTGATCCAGGCACTAGCATGGGGCTGAGATGTTCCCCTTGTCTAACCCGGTGCTGGGACAGAACCCAAGCAGGGCTGGTGCACATGCCCCCAGCAGCTGATGGTGAAGTAAAGCCTCTTCCAAGCCTGGGCCAAGGATTTACTGGAGCTCAGTGGGGAGAACAGGGGAAATCTATTCCATTTTCTGCTCAAAGCAATGACTCTGAGCAGTTCTAATGTGCTACGGCTCCTCTAGAGAGGTGCATCAGAGCCTGGACAATGTAAGGACACCTATGGCCAAACCCACACAGGGATGAGACTGCATCCAGCTGGATGCCTGCCCAGGTGTGACTTGTTCTCTTCTGCTTTGCCTGACCAGATGTGAGCAGGAGTGTGTACCTCAGTTTCCCTGGATGTAAGATGGGGACAATGCCTATGCCCTGCTGAATGAGAGCTCAATATAGCAATGGGGGGTGGATGTATAGGGTGTTGGGCTTTGAAATGGTGTAAAGGACCATATAGTCCAAGGTTACAGGAGATTGCCATGAGGAAAGATCCACACCCTTGGAGCTGAGGCAGGAAAAGACCATTGCACAGAGATGCTGTGGGCATGTTGGTGAGCTGTCTGCTGGAGATGTGTGGTGTGTGTTCATAAGACACGTAGACAAGGCCCTCAGTGCCATGGGTTGGTGGTGGCTTTGGTAGCGCTGGGCAACGGTTGGACTGGGTGAGCTTAAAGGGCTTTTCCAACCCGGTTGATGCTATGTTGGGAAGATGCTGAAGGACCCTTTTTGGGTTTGATTTTTGGGCTTCAGGTGAATTTGGATCCCAAATCCCCCTCCTGTGGGTCAGTTAGGAGCCTTGGCCACTTAAGCGTGGGCTTGCTGGGTCTGAATTCATGTGATGTCTCCTTTGGGTGCCCAATGGGACAGAGAGAAAATGCTTCCAACTACATCTCTGCAACCATGTGGGTCCATCTGCCAAACCCTGGGGACCTGATCCCTCTTAGTGTCCCACCTGGAATGCTACCTATGGCCAGGGCCTGGATAGGGCTGGTGGGAGCTGCTCTTGGTAAGCATCTAATGGGGAAAGAGAGACAGCAGGGATGGAGACCAGAGATGAAGTTCCATCTTGGAGCTGTGCTGGGGTGTTTAGAGGAAGGGATAAACAGTCTAAGGTGAAGGGGTGGGAGCTTGGTGGGCTGGGACTCAGTGGAGGGTGAATGGGGATGGTCTGTGTGTGGGGAGGTGAAGCTGTACCAGCTAAAGAGCTGATGCAGAGATTTCTCAGAGCAGTAGAAAGGTGGGCAGGGGTGGATTGGACAACATGGACAGACCCCATAGGTGTGTCTGGAGTAGCCAGGGAGGCACCTGCAGCTCTTGGGGTCCAAACTCACCTGAGGCCATGGGGTGACCCTGGCCTGGGGCCACTCATGAAGGACCATGTGGATGGGGAGGTTGATGCTGTCCCAGTTGTGACTATGGAATGTGCTGGTGGACAAAGAGGTGGTTGCAAAGACAACCTTAAAACCTAGAGAGTATCCAGGAGGAGAAATTGTGGAATCCAAACATTGGGAACCACATCCATTTATGTGGGCAACCTGGTTTAGTTGAAAAGATGTCCTGGCTCATCACAGGGGGATGAGCTTTGAAGGTTCCTTCCAACCCAAACCATTCCATGATTCTATCCCTCCTGAGGTCCCCTGGCCAGTCCTGTTCTCCCTTCCCAATGCATTGAGGATTGTGTATAGGGACAGCTTGTGTTTGAGGGTGGAGTAGGGATTGGACTGTGGTGGGGAGAGTACCATGAGGCTGAGCTGGAGGGAGGTTCTGGATACCCAAAAGGCCCAGACAGACCCAACAGAGCACCCAGTGGAGACAATGGGACAACAAAGCATGGGAAACTCAAGAGATCATAGCTTTAATAGGGACCTTCCCGAGGTGACCAGTCCCCTTGCCCTGGAGCAGACATGAGCCTCTTCCCTGTGCATGGAAATGTCCAGGAGGAGCGACGGAGGAGAGCAGGGAGGAGAGCAGGACAAAGAAGAGATATGAAAGTGAGCTCGATGGGTCAAAACTATACAACACTGCTATCGTACATGGCCATCAGTCCCCTCTGGCCCATGGAGGGTCACTTCCTCCTCCCGATCTGCGCCATGAGGTGGGCATTGGCAGCCGCCTTCGCCCGCAAGTTCTTGGCTTTGGCGATGTTGAAGAGGATGTTCATGATGTTGGTGGGGACGTCGAGGGAGAGGGTGACCTTGGTGCGGCGGTCGCTCTTGGCTCGGTTTTGGTACGACTTCCCCTTCACCTGCGCTTGGGACACGTATTTGTAATGGCCTTCCCCTGGGAACGTCCTTTTCCCTATCTCTTCCTCTGCCACGTTATCCCCTTCCTGCTCCTCAGAGCCCTCTTCCAGCGATGGGGACTCGAAGCTGCGCTTGTCCAAGGCGGTGTTTTCCTCCGGGAAGCTCTTCTGGCCTTCGGCAAGGGCTGCGTTGAGGCAGCTGAGGATGGAGGTGGGGTTGTACAGATGGAGAGCCCGGCTGCTCTCGGTGGCACAGAGCAGGGCGAGGAGGAGCAGCAGCCTGCAGTGGGACATCGCGGTGGCCTGTCCAATGGAGAGAGCAAGGGGAGGGCAGAGATGGGCATGAGCATCCCGCGGGGCCCGCGGCAGAGCATCGTCACCCCCATGTCCTTCCACGGACACTGCCTCAACCTCCCAGGTCCTGCAAGGGTGGATTCATCTCCCACATCCCCACTAAGTTGCATCTAATCATTAGGATGAGTGGGAATGAGTTGTCTTGGGGTCTCCTTCTCCCTTCCAGTGTCTGAAGGGGGCTACAAGGGTGCTGGAGAGGGACTCTTCATTAGGGACTGGAGTGATAGGACAAGGGGTGATGGATTCAAACTGAAACAGGGGAAGTTCAGGTTGGATAGAAGGAATAAATCCTTTACTATGAGGGTGGTGAGACCCTGGCATAGGTTGGTCTGGGTTTGCTTTCCTCTGTTAACTTACTGCTTTATCTAAATGATGCAAGAAGCTGTGGCTGCCCCATCCCTGGCAGTGTTCGAGGCCAGGTTGGACACAGGGGCTTGGAGCAAGCTGCTCTGGTGCAAGGTATCCCTGCCCGTGGCCGGGGTTGGAACTGGATGGGCTTTAAGGTCCCTTCCAACACAAACCATTCCATGATTCTATAAGGTCATGGAGAGGGACAGCCCCTCAGCCCTTGGTTCTGGAGTGCTGGGTGGGAGTTGGGATGTCCAAGATGCTTGGAAAGCTGCAGCCTCCATGGAGGGGAGGATTTGGTCATCCCTTTGTCGAACACAAGTGCCTGCTGCAGGAGGGCTGGTTTACCAGGGTCCCTCCTTGCCTGGGACAATCTCATGTCACTCCCCATGCACCCATGTGCACCTTGCTGATGCCTCCCCACAGTGAGAACCATCAGCAAAAGTGGGGTTTCCTTTCAGCTCCTCTCTCAGCCTGAAGCCATCAGAGATGTTTCTGTGCTCCTTCAAGCCAGTAATTGCCCATCTACCTGCTCATGCAACTGGGTCCAAAACGGGCATGGAGAATGGGGTACAGCCATCCCCAGTGCAGGGGATGTGATCTACCGCCCACCCAGTGTGGTGGCCCCGTGCCCCTTCTCCAACCCTGGCCTTGGGTGCTCCAGGGATGCCCATTCCCTGTGCTCCATCCCTAGGAGTCCCCTTTACCCTGGGTTCAGGACAGGCTGTCCTATTTGATGGCACATCCAGGGTGAAGTCCCCTCATGGGCAGCCCTGACTGGGGAGCTGAGGGGACCACAGAAATCACAGCACAGCAGCATCCTCCCTGCTTGAAATGCGGTCATTTTGGGGTCCTGAGGGGGGGATGAAAACCTTGGAATAACCCTCCAGCTCTGCAAAACCTCCCATCATTGAGGCCAGGCTATCTGGGATGTGACCCACCGCTCTGTATGCCCTTCTGGCTACCAAAAACCTGCATGGGGTCTCTGCGTGGGTGCCTTTGCCTATGTTGAGGACTGACCTGTGCCCCTTGGGCCAGCCCCAAGGGCACACAGACCCTGCATGAGCCTGGAGGTGTGTTGGCATTCCCAATCTTCGGGCCCCATCTTGTGGTAAGCGCATCTCATGGCAAGCCCAGGTCTGGGGACAGTGCCCAGGGGTTTGGGGACCCGATGTTTGAGTGAGATGCTATGTTATTTCCTATGAGGATTCATTCATGCTGATGGGATTCCCATGAGGAGCACGGAGGAGACAAAGAGGGTGGGGAAGCGCCTGGGAATGTCCTGAGGAGCAGGACGGCTCCTGGGAGTCCCTGTGGATGTCGGTGTGTTGGGGCTTGGGATGGGGTCTGTGCATTGATGCAGGAGGGGTGGCTGCCGGGGGAGATGTCCTCAGACTGGTCCAATCAAATCAACCCCTTTGTCCCCAGTGGCTCTCACCCTGGAGCCGCTCTACTATCACTGAGCCACAGACACTCAAACTGCTGCCACCTGAACCCTGTCCTGGGGATGGGGAGGTGGGGATGGGTTTGTCCCATTAATCCTGTCCAGAGAAGGGCACGGAGCTGGTGCAGGGCCTGGAGCACAAGGGTGATGGGGAAGGGCTGAGGGACCTGGGGGGTTCAGTGTGGAGAAGAGAAGGCTCAGGGGGGACCTGATGGCTGCCTCCAACTGCCTGACAGGAGGATGGAGCCAGGAGGGGCTGGGCTCTGCTCCCAAGGAACAAGGGATGGGACAAGAGGAACCGGCCTCAAGCTGCACCAGGGCAGGTTTAGATGGAGCTGAGGAACAATTCCTGCCCCAGAGGGTGCTCAGGCATTGGAACAGGCTGCCCAGGGCAGGGCTGCAGTCACCGTCCCTGCAAGTGTTCACACAGCGTGGAGACGAGGCCTCAGTGCCATGGGTCAGTGGTGGCCTTGGCAGTGCTGGGGAAGGGTTGGACTGGATGAGCTTAAAGGGCTTTTCCAACCTGGCTGATTCCATGATCCTATGATTTCCACTTGCCCCTGCTCAGAACCCCGCAGAGCTCCCCCAGGAACCAACCACCCCATAACCCTGCCCTGCACTGAGGACATGCAGCAGCAGCAGCACAGCCCAGGCAACACCAGCAAATCCCTGTAGGATAAGGGAAGAAAACCCTTCCAGACACCCAACCCTCACAGGTCTGGACACCCAAAACTCTCATTCCTTTAGTCCCAAGTCAGACACTTAAATCCTGGCGCTTAGTTTTGGGTTGCAAAAGCTCAACAGGATGAAGACCTATCTCCCACTCCCTTTGCTCTACTTCAGCCCCAGATGGAGCATTTCCCATAGGAACTTCTTTGTATCCCCTGCTAGCAGGATGTGGGACATGGATTTACAAATGGCTTATTTTTGCCCCCCCTATCTGCAGCCCCTGTTCCTCCATGACCCCAAGCTGCCAGATGGAGAATGGGAATGGTACCCAAAGCTGCTGGGAGACAATTGCTCTGGTTGGAACTGCTGCTGCCCTCCCTAAAGCCACAGAGCAGCATCTCCAATAGCTGCTTCCCAACAGCTATTCCACTGCTATCTGAAACCAGTGGCATTTAGGAAAACCCATTGGGGACCTCAGGAAAGGCAGAGCAAGGGGGAGATGTGGCTGAGACACAATCTCATCCTGTGTCTGTTTTCCTGGTCCTTGGCTGTGGTGTATATTCTGGTGGAAAGAGCAAAAATCAAAGGAAAGCAGTGCCTGGATCTGCTGGATGGGCAGGAAAAGCTGATTTTGCAGGGTTTGTCTCTATTTCCATGGTGGGTTTGCACCTGGGCACACCAGGAAGTTTGTATGGAGCAAGGAAAGAAGCTGGAATGGGGATTTTCTCCCCCCTAAAAACAAAGCAGGAAAAGAAGAAAACCCACATGTGGTGGATCTGAGGAAGTCGGAGTTAAATCTGCTGCTGCTCCGGGTGACCTGCGGGTGCTGCTCCTGCTGATGGGAATTGCTGGGATGCCCATGAGGAATTTATAGGCATTTATTGAGATGGTGCCGACAGGCACAGCAGGACCTGCTCAGCTGAGGAGCTGCCTCTTGGATTTGAAAGAGAAAATCACTTCGGGAAGGCGGCTCTGGCAAAGTGGGATCAAAGCTGCTCATCGGCACCGGAGGCACTGGATAAAACTGATTCTTTCCCCATCAAAAGTAAGTCTGGGATAAAATAACGCTGTGGGTGAGACCTCTAGACCCTTTGGACTCTCTTCATGTGATGCTACCTCCACTTTCCTAATGAATCCCTCCTGAGGATGCTGATTCCCAGGGGCTCCCCAATGCAAACTGGCCCCATGGGGCTGTGCCCTCCTCTCCTCCCCATCCCTGTAATCGCAGCAGTGATTTATTGTCCCGCTTTTCCATTTCCCAAGATTCCCCAACTATCCCCAGCACCCAAGAATTGATGTAACAATAAAAAAGAGATCCCTTTGGTTAGGAGGGAGGATGTGGGGAGCCTCAACACAATATCCCAAACTGCTTTCCCCGATCCTGCCTTTTTCTCGTGGAGAAAAGCGGGATGTGCTCTCCCAAGGAAAACACTAAAACACTTCAACTTCGTGCAAATAAACCTGCTTTATGGTTAATAAATGAAACCCAGGCACTCACCTGGTAGTCCTCAGTGGTCGGGATGGGAAAGGATTGCTGTGGGCTCACTCCAAGGAGAGAAGCATCAGGCGCGTTGCCCTGAACTTCTGCGCCCCTTGCTTTGCTTTTCTTGTTCTTAAAGAGGGCTCAGCTGGTTTTATTCTCTCTATGGAAACGCTTTTCCCCTCCCTCGTGTATATATAAAAGTGAGTGATCACGGGGTCGGAGTCGTAACTCCAGACGTGGAGCCTTCGTTTGGGCATGATTTCATTAAGCTGAAATCAGAGGGAGCTGGCAACGTCACGGGGCTGCGGCGCCGCTCCCCATTCACAGGAGCCAAAAAGGAGGGGGGACAAGGGCAAAACCAGACGTCTGAACCTGACAACCTGGTGGGAGTCATCCCAAAACGGGGCTGTCACCAATGCTGGGACATTGCAGGGGCACACAAACACGTTTCTCCCCCATTCCTCCAGGTAGCAAGGCACTTGGTGCAAGGATGCTTTAAATGCAAAGGGTTTTATGCCCCCTAAGGATGCCTGTTGGGGTTTTCAGCTCTGATTAAGTGTTATCCTAATTAATGTGTTTCTATATGAAGAGTGGAGCTGGTGGAGGACCTCAGCAGGGTTTTGCCCCGGGCCAGATGATGTTAAGATCCTTTCCAACCCTAACTATTCTATGGTGCCATAACCCCTACCCGCAGCAAGGACAGACTTGCCCTGCTCACACTGCTCTGCTCTCTGCCTAGTTTCCCATCTCGGGGGGCTTTTCTCCTCCCATGCAGTCAGGAAAACCTGTGGAAGACTGGAAATATGGGGAAGTTCCTGCAGGATGGGGCTGCACATTCCCAGAGGCAGCATTTGAAGAGGGGTGGTTGTAAGGATTATGCGTGTCTTGGGGACAAAAACCCTTTGAACTCCCCAGAGACACTGAGATCCAGCAGAATTAACTCAGGTTGCTCCAAGACAGCAGCAAGGCAGGAAAACCCCCTCTGGTTCTGGTTCTGGTGTGGTCAGAGGGAGTTCTCCTGCAGTGTCCCATGGCATTGGTTTGCAAGGAAAAGTGCTTTGTGCTACAAAGAGGATGGGGATGGAGGTCTCCTTGCTGGAACAGGGATTAGTCTATGGGCTGACACCCAAAGGGGTCAGGTCCCTGATGGAGGGTTCCCTTTGATGGTCAGTGTGGGTTTGTGGCCCCAGGACCCTTCTCAGCCCTGCCTATTGGTCAGAGCTCCTCTCTGCTTTGAGATGCCATCACCACCCTGTCCTAGCAAAGGGCTGGTGTGGTGCAGTTGGGAAGGGACACATCCGGCTGTAGGTGGGCAAAACCCTCCATGAAAGGTAACAGCAGCCAGTAGTGACCCTGGATGGACTCTGAGTTGGAATGGGGAGAGATTCCTGCTCCTGGACCACACAGCCAATGGACACAGCAGCTCCTTTGGGCACACGGAGCTGTGACTATGGATATTCTTGGATGAGCCTCTTTGAGTTTCCCACCCAGACCTTGAAGATGCTGGTTGGTGTCTGAAAGGCAGTGACAGTTAAAATGAGAGCTCCCCTTTGGCTTCTAACCTAGGTAGAGTGTTCTGCCCTTGATCACCTCCAGTTGCTGGCTGGGACACATCAGGATCCACTGCTCCAGAGTGGATCCTCTTCCATTTTCATGTCATGCTTTCACCTCCTGGATCGATGTTTTCTTTCCCCTCGTTCACTGGGACCTGAGAGGTGGTTTGGTTATCCCAGTCCTTGGAGCCTTCAGTTGTATTTTTGGGCAAGAACACTCATTTTCAACACTAAGAGCTGGGTGGGAAACTCCATTAGGAGGACATCTTCACACCAGGAGGGAGGTAAATCATCATCTGGCACATAGTCCTCTCTGCTCTCATGGGTTCATTTATTGCAGAGGGATTTGGTGTCTCTAAGGGCTCCATGGTCCCTGTAGCTGATGAAAGCCTTGAACTCACTGCTTGGGGAAGCGGTGATAGACGAGAGCTATTCCCAACCTGTCCCTGATGGTGGAGGTCCATTACAAATCACAGAATGGTTTGGGTTGGAAAGGGCCTTAAGATCATCCTGTCCCAACCCAAAACCAGTTTCCCCTTGCTCTTGTTCAGATCTATAGGTGCTGATTCTCAAACAACCTTCAGCTTCCCCCAGCTTGGCTTGTGTCCTGCCTTCCCTTGACCTCCATAGGGTGAGATGGGCTTCAGTAGCACCATTACCCAGTAGCTTAACTAGTGCTGGTTGATCAAATAACACAGCAGGGCAAAGCCTGAAGCTTGGCAGAAGGTATCTAAAGCTTTGTAAAGTACATGTGGTTCCTGGTGGTGCTAAACTCCATCCAGGTTTGACTCAACCCAGGTTTGACCACCCAAGGAAGAAGGCTTCATGCCTGGGGTGGACAGTGAGGGCTTCACCAGCGTTTCTCTACCATCACACCTTATTGGAGAGATGTGTTTTGCATCCTCCTGCTCCCTGTTGATGTTGACTGTGTCCTTGTGGAGCACTCAGGAGACCTTTGGACCCTGTTTGACTCAGACCATTGACAGCCCTGCATGCTTCAGGGTGGGTTAGGGACTCACCTCCCCTGCTATTGTTGGTCTGGGGATGGAAGGAGGGGGTTGAGGATGTAAATACATACGGATGGGAGCTCTAGGTGCTGACCTGGCTAATGGATATTTCATGTCCCTGCCCATGGCAGGGGGTTGGAACTGGATGATCTTAAGGTCCTTTCCAACCCAAACCATTCTATGATCCTATGGAATTCGTGTTGGCACTCAAAAAGTGGGTCCCTTCTACTTACCAACGGGGGCGTCTCCATCCTGTGCCCTGACATCACATCCCATTGAGGTTGGTACCCCAGAAATCAAGGCCTGGTGCACACCTCTGACACAAAGACCTGGTGTCCCTGAGCACCTCCAAGAGTTTCAGATCTTCAGGCCAAAGCTGAAGTGCTGTTGTTGCCAACATCACTGGGAAGCTGGGATTCTGGTACCTGGGGAAGGGAACATAGGTTAGGGAAAGGTGGAATATCAAAGCAGGTTATTGAATCCATCCTAAAGCCCACTCTCCTCCAGAGGTGATGGATCTTTAGCTTACCTCAGTGCGTCTCCAAGGTGAATTGAACTATATAAAGACTGTAGGTTGGGATGGGTAAGGTCACATAGGAGATGGCTGCTCCACCTTTGCAACCATCCCATCCCTTGTGATGGGGTGTTCGCCCTTTCTCACTGAAGCTTTCCTGAGGTTGAGAGGAGATGGTGCGTGATGGAGGGAGAAGGTTTGAGGTAGTTTTTATCCATTGCAACTGCTTCAGGCTGTCCCCATGCGTTGTGCATCTGAATGGTTGGAAATTGGGTGCTCAGCCCTTCCCGGCTTTCTGGCTAGCTTGGGGACATTAGGAAAGGGCTGATCCATGTTCCTAAGGGATTTGGGAGGTGCTGTGGGACCCTGAGGAGGTGATTGTCAGTGCCAGCTCCTGCTTGGGCTCTCTGGTGTCCGTGGCTACTGCTGCAGCCTTGCACAGGAGGGTGCTAAGTGCAGTTACCCACCTCCAGCATGGGTCCATCTTCCCATGATTGAGTTGAACCTCACCCCATTTGACTGAGCTGGGTGCCAGTGGATCCCAAAGGTCTCAGGGCACAAGAGCAGACTAAAAGGCAGGGAGGAACTTAAAGCCAGGCCTGAGACAGAGAATCCAATGGCTGCAAAGATGAAAAGCAATCAAACCAAACTTGAAGACACACCGAATTCGAAGGAATGGCAAATACACATGGGTCACGCTCAAAAGTCCGTCCTACTGCCATAATGGCCCATGTAAATGTAAGTCTGTTCATTTTTATTCTTCAGATGACCAAAACTACCTGAAGGAGAAGCTGGAGAACGGAGGGGAATGTGCTTCCCATCATTTGGGGAATAACAGGAGAAGTTCAGGTTGGAGATAAGGCAGAAGCTCTTCCCTGTGAGGGTGCTGAGGCGCTGGCATAGGGTGCCCAGAGAAGCTGTGGCTGCCCCATCCCTGGCAGTGTTTAAGGCCAGGTTGGACACAGGGGCTTGGAGCAAGCTGCTCCAGTGGAAGGGGTCCCTGCCTGTGGCAGGGGTTGGAACTGGAGGAGCTTTCAGGTCCCTTCCAACCCAACCCATTCCATGGTTCTATGATTCTATAAAAGCCTTGCTGTTAGGAAGGGCTGGTGCAGGGCAATGTCCTTGCAGGAAGCAAACCCACACACCAGCCATGAAGCCTCCACAGTGATTTGATTAGGAGAAAACAGGAAAGAGAAGGCAGCGCCCAAGAAAGAAAGATGGAAGAAGTCAAATCACTTGGCTCATCCCTATCAGTCTGCTTCAAAAGCAAACCAGAGTTCCAGCTGTCACTGGCTACCACAGTGTGTAGATCCCTGCTTCCTCTTGGCTTTCACAAGGGATCGGAGTCTTTGCTGCACAACTGGAAATGTCACAGCATGAAAATACCCCCAGGTGACCCTAAGAACATCCTGAGGTCCCCATGGGAGCTGGATAACCCCAGAGGACCCTAAGAAGAGCATGGGGCACCCATGGGAGCTGGGTGATGGCCAAAAGGCCTCAAAGTACCAAAAGTTTTAATGGAAATGACCAAACTTATGATAAATGCATGTTTTGTCCCTCGCATCCTCGCACATCTCCCTTATGTTCTATCTCTTCAGGAGCAGGACACCTTCCCAACTCTCCACAGCCTCTCTTGCTCTTGCTGAGCTCAATTTCCGTCTGTGAATCATTTAAAGCCCAAATGTGGGCAGATGAACAGGATCTTATTAAAGTTTCATCATCACAACCAATCCATTGCTGGGAAAAATAAGGCAGAGGAACACCAGCACCTTGAGAACAAAAAACATCCCCAAAATGGGGAGATTTAGGTTAGATACTAGGAAGAAATTCCTTACTGTGAGGGTGCTGAGGCACTGGCACAGGGTGCCCAGGGAAGCTGTGGCTGCCCCATCCCTGGCAGTGTTCAAGGCCAGGTTGGACACAGGGGCTTGGAGCAAGCTGCTCCAGTGGAAGGGGTCCCTGCCCATGGCAGGGGTTGGAACTGGATCAGCTTTAAGGTCCCTTCCAACACAAACCATTCCATGATTCTATGATCCTAAATAGCAGCATGGAAGTTTTGCCTGGCCTGGGGAAGCAAAGGGAATGTGATGTGAGGTCCTGTTTACTGCTTCCAGCACCAGAATTGCATAGAGAAGTAAGACATGAATGCACTTTGTGTCTATAGAGCGGCAGAATGGAGTTTTCTGGTTCACTCTGACCCTTCTTTATTAATCTAAGACTCAGTTTGCATTTTCAAGGCTGTGGAGGGAGGGTTTGCCCATCTTCCCATAGCCCTACAGCAAACAGCCCTTCCTCTCCAGTGAGGCTGATTTATGGGGGTTTCTCTTCCCAGAACCCCATTTGGGGGTGATTTTCACTCCTTCCAACAGCTCAGCAGCAGCAAATCCCTGCACGTGGCTCCAAAGGGACCATACAGTGGATGTGGATGCCCTGTCTCTTGAAGCTGGCACATGAGCAGAGGAAGAAGAGGACCCAGGGACATGGAGTTAGCTTTGCAGAGCTTGAAGCATCATTTTCCCTTTCTTGCCCTTCTTTCACCTCCTTCAGCCCCAAGTCTTTGGCTGCTGCCGCAGGGTCACAGGGGATTTACAGCCCTGATTGTATGCAAAGCACTTGGATGTCTGTAATGAGCAGTTACCCACCCCACCGTCATGCTCCTGGCAATCAATCAGCTCTGCCCTCAGCTTCTGATACAAATGTAATAGCAAAAAGCCTCTTTGGGATAAAATGTGCTGGGGCTGTTTTGCAGATTGCTGAATGTGCTCCTGCAAGAACGGCTGGGCCATACCCGAAGGGCAACTGCATCACTGAGAGCCTTCAGGCATGAGATGCTTCAGGCTCTTGATGCTTTCCCTCCAAAGGAAGAAAAGAGCAGTGGAAATGAAATAAATAATCTTAAATCCTCTAAATTCCAAAGAAATGGTGGCTGCCCCATCCCTGGCAGTGTTCAAGGCCAGGTTGGACACAGGGGCTTGGAGCAAGCTGCTCTAGTGGAAGGGGTCCCTGCCCATGGCAGGGGTTGGAACTGGATGATCTTAAGATCCCTTTTAACTCAAATAACTCTGGGATTCTATGGAATCGTCTTCCTCAAGTGTTTGCTGCCATGCTTTTATCTGCTGCCTCTCCCTTGCACCTCTACCTCTTCGCCAAAGGGGTGTTAGCACCTATCTGCACACATGGTGCCTGCAGCTATTGTTAGCACATCTCTGGTTTGAAGGAAACATCTAAAAGGAAGGAATAAAGGTAAAGGGAGTCAGCAGGAGCCTGGGTCCATGTAGAGGAGCAGGGCTGGCCTGAGGGCACTTATCCTGACAGTGGGTTTAAACATAAAACCTATTTACACCCAGCGGAATGGAGCATAAAAAGAGCTGCTTCTGCTTCTCCCTGCCTCCGTACGCAGGGATAATTCCCACTGTGAGGCTGCAGCAGCTGGATGAAGTTGGTGGGAGAGACAGTGCTCAGTAAGCGTGGTGGTTCCTTCTCTATGGATGGGTTATATTGATCCTTGCAATTGTGGGTATGGGTTGGCCCCTTGGCTTCATGATCCCTGGGGAGGTGCCTGCGGTGGTTTCAGGACACATCTGGGTGATGCAGAGCCCACCAGTGGGGCTCAGGGTGCTGGGCTAGAGGATGCCCAAGGCAAGGGATGGGCAAGGAGCCATCCAGAGGAATCCTAAAAGATCAAATGGGATTTACTGGGGTGCTTTGGGGTGCAAACTGCGGCAGGATGGATAGCCTGAGGCAGCTCCTGCAGGAGCACTGCCTCCTGGATGGGAGAGTTTCTCCTTGGGTCTCATCCTAACCCACACAGCAACGATGTCAGGGGCAAATCCATCCCCATTTCTGCTCCTGATTGTCCCAGCTCACATGAGCAGAGCTGCTTTGTTGGCATGGTTTTCCAGGCTTTTCCAACATTTTCCTTCCTTTCTTAAGGGCATTATGGCTGTTGGGTTGTAATTCCATCTTTGCAATGGGGATGGAGCTCACCAGCATCCTCCCAGTGATGCTGGCAAGAGCCTGCATATCCCAATACATCAATGCAGCAATTCCTATTGCTCCAAATAGCAATGGACATCACCCAAAAGGGCTGTGGACAGCATTCAAACGTCCACCACCTCCCACAGAACCACGGAGGTGCTCAGGTCCAGCCCTGCATTAACTTCCAGAGCCTAAATTACTCCTGCTCTAAAAATACCACGTAATAATTAACCCGGTGCAGCTCAGGCTGGTGCCACAGTGATGAACACTGGGTTGCTTTTGACTGGAGGAGTGAAGGTGAGGGTTGTTGCTGGCTTCGATCCACAGGCAGAGGATGCAGGATGATGCTCAGGACCCTGCTGTCAGCGCTCACAGCCATTTCAGGGGCTGTATCATTATCAAATTACTAAATTACACTGGCCCGGCCTCTTCATCCCTCCCCATCCATTTTCCTTTGTCAGGGTTGCTAAGGAACTGCCCGCGGACATGGATGTGCAATGAGGAGAGCTCCTCTCCTCTCCTCTCCTCTCCTCTCCTCTCCTCTCCTCTCCTCTCCTCTCCTCTCCTCTCCTCTCCTCTCCTCTCCTCTCCTCTCCTCTCCTCTCCTCTCCTCTCCTCTCCTCTCCTCTCCTCTCCTCTCCTCTCCTCTCCTCTCCTCTCCTCTCTCCTTTCTCCTTTCCTCCTTCAAGACTTTACTGGCTCAATGCACAAGGAACCCCCTCCTGCAAAGGGGCCGAGTATGCTCAAGCTACAGGTACACCTATATACAGAGATATAGACCTGTGTGCTCAAGCTATACATACACCTATATACAGAGATATAGACCTGTGTGCTCAAGCTACAGGTACACCTATATACATAGATATAGACCTGTGTTCAAGCTACAGGTACACCTGTATACAGAGATACAGATCTGTGCTCAAGTTACAGGTACACCTATATACAGAGATATAGACCTATGTGCTCAAGCTACAGGTACACCTATATACAGAGATATAGACCTGTGTGCTCAAGCTACAGGTACACCTATATACAGAGATACAGACCTGTGTGCTCAAGCTACAGGTACACCTATATACAGAGATATAGACCTGTGTGCTCAAGCTACAGGTACACCTATATACAGAGATACAGACCTGTGTGCTCAAGCTACAGGTACACCTATATACAGAGATATAGACCTGTGTGCTCAAGCTACAGGTACACCTATATACAGAGATACAGACCTGTGTGCTCAAGCTACAGGTACACCTATATACAGAGATATAGACCTGTGTGCTCAAGCTACAGGTACACCTATATACAGAGATACAGACCTGTGTGCTCAAGCTACAGGTACACCTATATACAGAGATATAGACCTGTGTGCTCAAGCTATAGGTACACCTATATACAGAGATATAGGCCTATGTACTCAGCTCTGGAGCTCTGTGAGCCAGACAAAACAAGTGATAGGGTCACTCATGCTCTGAAATCACCCTTCACATTGCAAACTCCATGAGGAAGCCGGTTTTAGGTGCATTAAAGCCCCAGCTTTCCACATGCTCATAGCCATGTCCTTTGCTTTCGAATGCAACGTGTATTCGGGAATCTTCTGGTTTCAGTCTGGTTTGGAGCATCCCCAGTTCCCTGCGCCTGGAAAGCATCCGGCTTGCCAAGTCCTAAAAGTCACCCCCCTCCCTGCCCTGAAATCAAATCATGTCAAGAAACTCAATTAGAGTGACATGACATTTCCAAGGAAGCTCCGAGGATGCATTCCGGGAATATTTTGGCCCTGCCAAAGCGGTTCAGATGGCAAATCAATAGTGAACGTTTAATGGTAGACGTATTAAAAACCAATCAAGTTATCCATTTCCCATTACGCCAAAGCTCCCACAGCACTGATGGGAAATTCAAGCTGCATTTAATACACCTCCCGAAGCCCCACACAGCTCGAGCTGAGATACTTGACCACAATATTGGGTTTCACTTAAGTCATCCAGATGCTTTGCATCTGAATTAAGTCACTTGGTGACTCCCAGGTGAGATGCTGCTTTGGGTTGGTCTATGGTGAGGGGTCTTGAGTCAAATCACTTCTCGAGACTCTTCCCTTCTCCTTTTGGCTGTATCTTCATCATGAAGGTGGATGAATTTGTCCCCAAGGTTTGGCTTTGGGGCTCGTGCACTCCTCACCAAGCTTTTGGAGCCGAAAGCTGCCAAGAAGTTGTGCATGTTGGGAGGGTAAGACCTATTTTAAGCGATTTGAAAGGAAAATACGAAGGTGTCATCCTATTTCTTTGGTGTCTGGGAACAGGGAGGCAGAAAGGTGAATCCCTCATGTTCTCAGGCACGTCTCAGGTCCCCCAGGTCCATTTGCTCACCTACTGCTGGCTCCAGACCCTCACTGTGCTGCTGATTCACAGTGATAAAACCAATCTTCATGCAATTACTGCTGTTACTGTCTCCTTAGACTTGATGTCAACTTAACATGACTTCATGAATGGATTCGCCAGCCCAGAGCGATGCAACCTCCTATTCCCTAATGCCTTGATGCAGCTGATAGCTGATGTGGGTCAATGAAATGTGGAGCTGGGCTCCTTGGGGAAACAACTTCCAGAAGATGAAGGAAGTCTCCTTCTCCTCTTGGTTTTTGGTAAATAAGTGCCACTTTAAGTTATTACTGAGCTGGCTGGTGCAATGGTCCCCAGGAGGTGATGCTGTGCACCTTCAACTGGAGAAGGGCTCCTGGTGATATCTGTCTCCATTGTCATGGTGGAAACTCACCACTGCAGCTGGTCCAGAGTTACTGCAGCCCCATAAATACGTGTATGCATTATTCAGATATATAAAATAATATATATGGTTATGTGTATATATATATGTTTATTGCCATTGCTAATAAAACAGCCCAGGCTTTGACATGACTTCATGGGTCAGGTAGTGGTGGCCACTCAAGTATGGTAACCCCATATTCCTGCTGGAAGCCATTGGTGCCTTCACTGGAGGAATGCTGGTGAGGCCATCACCATACCAGAGAGAAGCAAGGTGCCAGGAGAGTTATTCTTATAATAATTAATGTTATTAATGAGGTTTTTATGTATTTATTAATTGAACAGTGAGAACTGTGACACTGCCAATGTGTTAACTGGGCTGCTGGTTGTTTCTTAGCAGTGTGTTTCCAATATGTCCCCTTTTCCCATACAAATACCTCTGCTCCAGTCCAGCCTTGGGATGATTTGCATCAAGAAGGGTCATTTGGGGCACAGGGGTTTGCAAGCAGAGATGTCCCAGATCAAATTATCCTAAGTGAACATTTCTGGAAGGGCATTCCCCGCCCTCCATATGGCTGAGTTCCTTTTGCCTTATTCTTCCTGTGTTCTGAGATGCCATTTTCTTTGCACAGTCATGGAACCAACCAGGTTGGAAAAGCTCTTTAAGCTCATCCAGCCCGACCATTCCCAGCACTGCCAAGGCCACCACTGCCCCATGGCACTGAGGCCTCGTCTCCACGCTGTGTGAACACTTGCAGGGACGGTGACTGCAGCCCTGCCCTGGGCAGCCTGTTCCAATGCCTGAGCACCCTCTGGGGCAGGAATTGTTCCTCAGCTCCATCTAAACCTGCCCTGGTGCAGCTTGAGGCCGGTTCCTCTTGTCCCATCCCTTGTTCCTTGGGAGCAGAGCCCAGCCCCTCCTGGCTCCATCCTCCTGTCAGGCAGTTGGAGGCAGCCATCAGGTCCCCCCTGAGCCTTCTCTTCTCCACACTGAACCCCCCAGATCCCTCAGCCCTTCCCCATCACACTTGTGCTCAATTGTAGGAGTTCAGTAACTTGTGATCCTGGGCAAGGTCCCACCTAAATAAAGATCTTCATACCAAGGTGACAACTGAACCTGCAGGCCATGCGCTCCGTTAGGTCTCTGATTTCTTGTGCACAGTGATTACTTCCATCAAGCATGATGGAATGAAAGTTTTTCCTCTTGGTTGCAAATGCTCCCCTGGATGATGTCAACAATCCTGAGCTGATGCAGGAGCTGAAGTTCGAGTCACTCCATGTGTCCTGGGATGCTGAAGGGCAGAGGTTGCAGCATCTACGTAGATGGGTACCCTGAAAGCTCCCTAACCCAACCAGGGCTCTGCAGACATCAGCATCCTGCATCCTTCATTCCAAAGTGCTCCCATCACTGTGATGGCAGGGAAATGTGGAAATCGGGGTGTTTCTCACAATAAACCCTGTTTCTTGACACTGTGGCCACACCTGGGACTGAATAAACACTTTCCTTTGGATGGTGCTGCTCCGTTGTTTGGCTCAGCCAGGAACATCTTGCTCGTTTTCTCAGGGAGTATTTCTCTTGCTATGAAACAAAACCTGAGCGTTTTTCTTGCTGAAGTACATTCTGATACAGAGCATTATTGCGAGAGGACAGGCTGGAAATATTAGGCTGAAAATGGCACTTGTCTCATTGCCAGCATTGACCAAATTCATCTTTTCTTTCCTTTTCTTTCTTTAGCAAAAAAAGCTCTTTTTTTTAGCTATGAAGGGGAATAAAAATCCCCTAAATCTCTGTTTGTCGCTCCTCAGTGCCTGGGACAAGTGGGTAGAAACATAAGATAGTTTGGGTTGAAGGCATCTCCAAAGTTCATCCAGTTCCAACACCCCCTTCAATGAGCAGGGACATCTTCAACTAGATCAGGTTGCTCAGAACCACATCCAACCTGGCCTTGAATGTCTCCATAGATGGTGCATCCACCACCTCTCTGGTAACCACATTAAGTGGGAATTACCCATTAAGGGTAAGAGGTATCCTTTTATACCACCAGTAGCAATGAGGCAACCCTGAAACCAGGGAAATCTGAGCTCAACCTTACCAAATGGTGCAGAAAACTGATAAGCCCCACTGGTTTCCTAACCAACTCGCCAGCAATCCCTTTGCACCACGGATCCTCATCATTATGTTCCCACCAAAGGCATTATGAGGAGGAAAGGCAATTCCCTTGAAGATGCAACACAATGTACATTCATTAATGGATGCATTTTTATCTATATGGGGCAGAAGAATGACCCTTTATAGACATCCTGGGCATGTTTACTGGGGACCTGTTGTGGCAAGAGGAATTGTGCTTGCATCCATGGATGCTCAACTTCCCAAGGCACAGCAGGGCACCCCAGGCAAAGGCAAGGAGCCCAAAATGCTAGCTCCCATGTTGGGGAGATCCCTGCTAAGCTGGTAGCGTGGGCAGCAATGGCATGGTCAACCAGCACATGCCACATCTGAGAGGTGTCATATTTAGACACTTTATTTCCTATCTGGTTGCAACACAACAGGGGAAGGCAAAGCCTTTTGCTTCTGCTGCTTCTTTGGCAAATTACAAGTGTTCCAAAAGCAAGGAGAGACTTTTGTGCCATCAAAGCTGCTGTGACCATTCCCAGGGGCTGGCATACCTGGAGGAGATCCAATAGGATACGATTCCTCTCATCTGGGTCCATATGACCACCAAAACCCAGAAGCTCAGCCTCCCACTTCTTTGATTTCCACACTTCTCCAAGCAGCAGCTCCAAATGCCTCGAGGACCTGGGGTGGCATTTTGCATGGAGAAGCCTGGTTCTGAACCCTGTACTCTACAGTTTGGGATGGCTCTTCTTAACCTACCCAGGGATGCTCAAGTGAAGGAGAAGGTGGGACTTACTAGAGGCCATAGGGAGTTTAGGCTCAAGCTGAAAGGCCATCCCTGACACGGAGACCTAGAAATTCCCACCTTTCTCTCTGCCTTTCTAAAAGGATTTCTGCTTCCAGGTGAATGATGAACTGGAATTATACACAACAACATTAAACCACTTTTATTTTACAAAAATAAACTCCAGGTATGTGTTTTGCACAGCAGTTCTATGGATGAGTGGTGCTGTTGTGACCCCCTGGATATCTCTGCTCTCCTGAGCAATCAGATGGTTCCCTCTCCTCACACCACTTTATTTCCTGCTCATAATGAGTTTTCCAGCATCATCTTCTAGGCATTCCTTGCCTCTTCATGTGAAATGGTTTCTCTTGCTTGTCCAGCTTCTGAGGTGTCCTGGTAATGCTTCTCCCAGCTTCATTCCTCTTGGATTTACACAAGGCAATTGCAGCTCATCACCTCCCTCTGGCTGGTTTTCATAAGCAAGGAAAAGAGAAGACAAAGGGGATGTTGGAGGTTGGCTCAAGTTTGGGCTTCTTCTTGGACCTCTCATGCTCACTGTGGCTCAGGAGGTATTTGATACTATAGGATTGTCTATGCCAGGTCATGATATCCATAAAGCAAATGTCCCCATCCAGACCAGCTCCTGGCAGCATTTAGGCTCAGCCAGGATGAGTGGGCATGTAGAGGATACATGGGCCTGCCTGGATTTGGATGACTCCCACTCCCAAGGGGTGCCATCACCCCACAACAGAGTGCAGATACAGTGCTGGAGGTATCTACAGCTGCTTTGTGAAGCCTACATTGTCTCTTAATGCTTATTTCCAAGGGTAAAGTGTTGGTTGGGAAGAGGGTCAGTTATCGCCTGGTGATGTTGGGACTGGATTTAAAGTACCCAAAGTGGCTTCCCCTCACAGAGCACATCACAAAGAAACAGGTCAGCAAAAGTGGGCATTAACCAGGCTAATTGGGCCAACTGGTCTACCCCGACTGCCCTTATGGGTGAGGGTCTCTAGTGACAGGACAAGGGGTGATGGGTTCAAACTGAAACAGAGGAAGTTCAGGTTGGAGATAAGGCAGAAGCTCTTCCCTGTGAGGGTGCTGAGGCGCTGGCACAGGGTGCCCAGAGAAGCTGCGGCTGCCCCATCCCTGGCAGTGTTCAAGGCCAGGTTGGACACAGGGGCTTGGAGCAAGCTGCTCTAGTGGAAGGGGTCCCTGCATGTGGCAGGGGTTGGGACTGGATCAGCTTTAAGGTCCTTTCCAACCCAAACCATTCTGCATGATTCCATGGGCTCCCCATGAAGCCCAGGGTGTGATGTTAACCCTTGCAGTGGACGGACAGAAGAGGGCACCCAGGTTGGGTTGGCTGCACTGGGTAGCGAAGCCCTCCTTCCTAAGCCAAACAACGTATCCTCCTTCTCCCCACAGAGCACTTCAGCTCTCCAGGGTGGCATTGCCTGTCCTAACCTGGACTTAGAGCAGTGAATATTTGCACTGCCTCCTTTCCTGCAGAACAGGAGGGTTGGGCTGTGCAAAGTCCATTGCATATCAAAAAGATTCAAGTGGATGATGATAACAGTGTGTGCAATGGCCTTGATTTTATGCATAATAGGTGCTTGTCTGAAAACCAACCACCTGAAAACTCTGAAATGAACCTGGAATTATACATCTCCACCTTTAATTTCTTTCTATTTTTTAACATTCTTCAGAAACAGGGAAAATGAGCCTCACCAGAGGGGTTTTTATAATGGATTATGGAGAACTAATGCATTTCTCCTGATGCCCAGAGGGGTTGTGTCCATGTAGAGGAAAGGCTGAGAGAGGAGCATCTTTCTAGGGAGGCTGGTTTCCGCTGCAGCTCATGCTTTGCTTGGTAGCAGTAGTGTTTGCATTACTGTCAGGGCCAGCAGGAGCTCATTTCCCCTGTGATGAGCATGGAGATGAGAAAGGACATCACACACTGACCCCACAACCCATAGACCTGGTAATGGGAACACAGCCGAGCACTTACCACTTCTCTGGGCACCCTGTGCCAGCGCCTCAGCACCCTCACAGGGAAGAGCTTCTGCCTTATCTCCAACATGAACTTCCCCTGTTTCAGTCTGAACCCATCACCCCTTGTCCTATCACTCCAGTCCCTGATGAAGAGCCCCTCTCCAGCATCCTTGTAGCCCCCTTCAGACACTGGAAGCTGCTCTGAGGTCTCCATATGGGAGCTGCTCCAGCCCCTGGTCATCCTCATGGCCTCCTCTGGACTTGCTTCAACAGCAATAGACCAAGTCCAGAGGAGGTGGGTACATTGCGGGTGGGTTTCCTGCTTTGGCCTCACTGCTGGCTGGAGGAGGAGGAGGGTTGGAGGGCTCAGGGCTGCGTTACCTGCTGAGGTTCTGCACTGCTGTTCACATCTCCACTTGGTCTCGAAGCGGTTGCTGTTCCCTTGGCATCCCCCGAAGACAAAGGGCCGGCAGGCGTTTGCCTCTGCGTGGTAATACCAGAGCAGGGTGTAGTGCTGGCAGGAACCCTCGTCCATCGGCTGCAGGCAGGGTTCTGCAGGGGAACAACCCCCATCCACACATGTGTTGGACCCAGGGGGTAAAAGGCCACACTTTGCCACCTACATCCTCCCCCTTGGCTGGTCCAAGGACTTCCACGGCCACACAGTCAACATCTTACTCCAAAGCAATGGGGTTGGCAGAGCAAAGGGTCAACAGGGACCAAGGTGAGGCATCTGGCACTGGATTTCCATAGTGGGATGAGCATAGAATCATGGAATAGTTTGGGTTGAGAGGGACCTTCAAAGGTCATCTAGTGCAATCTCCAACATAGAAGCATAGAATCAACAGGGTTGGAAAAGCCCTTTAAGCTCATCCAGCCCAACCGATTCCAGCACTGCCAAGGCCACCACTGACCCATGGCACTGAGGCCTCGTCTCCACGCTGTGTGAACACTTGCAGGGACGGTGACTGCAGCCCTGCCCTGGGCAGCCTGTTCCAATGCCTGAGCACCCTCTGGGGCAGGAATTGTTCCTCAGCTCCATCTAAACCTGCCCTGGTGCAGCTTGAGGCCGGTTCCTCTTGTCCCATCCCTTGTTCCTTGGGAGCAGAGCCCAGCCCCTCCTGGCTCCATCCTCCTGTCAGGCAGTTGGAGGCAGCCATCAGGTCCTCTCTGAGCCTTCTCTTCTCCACACTGAATCCCCCAGGTCCCTCAGCTCCCTGTTGCTCCACGGCACTGTCCATCCCTGTGCTGCCCATCATGGTGGTGTCTGACCTTTGCAAGGGGGTGATTAACGCTTGTGTCCTGGGCAGGGTGATGTCTTTGCAGCGGTGGTTGTACTTGGGGTGTTGCTTGGGGGACTCTCACTGGACACCCTCCAATTTGTTCACCATCACCTCAATGCCCTGGGGCAAAACCAGCTCCTTTAAGCCCATTCCAAACCTCTGTTATGAGTTGAGCTGTTTTCTGGCATGTGTAACTCCTTCAGCACCACATCCCCTTAATGTCAATGCCAACAAACACTTCCCATCAGGAAGTGTCTTCCCTAAATGCCACTTAATTCAGCGCATCTCACCTGGTAATTGAGTGTGGGCTTCTTGGCGCTGGTGCTGAGAGGGACCCGTTATCTGCTGCGCCTGGGGAGCCACTGGGGAAGCAAATGCAAACCACAAGTAATGAGGGCACACAAGCAAATCAGGCACCATTTAAACAGAGATCACTGGAGCCTCACCTGGCTTTCCACCAGTTAACAAGTCCTCTTAATAAATGTCACAGAGCAACAGGCAAAGGGAGGGAGAAAGGGGCAGCAATAAAAGTCTTACTGGTGTTAAACAACCCCAAAAGGTTGGGTGTTAGTCAGAGAAAATGGAAGTATTTGTGGTTGTTTGCAGGAGATAAATGTCAGGCTGGAGTTTTTGGCTTGGAGAAGCCAGGAGCGATTGTAATCTGGCAGCAATAACGCTCCCATTGCAGAATCCTGTTAACATTTGGAGCTCCTATCCACGCTCATCACTTAGCAGAGGGATTTATGAGCCCTCCTGCCTCGGATCTGGGCTGTAATGGGATTGCTGGCTGGCGATGGCTGCAGCTCCGATTCAATCAGATGTAGTGCATCCCATTGGTCTGAAACTGCCCCGATCCCAAACGCTGCCTTCGTACAAAGTGAGGTTATAGCCAGATAGATGACGTCTTTGATGTATGACACAGACGTCAGGAGAGAGGAAGGTGGTGGGGATTTCAGTCCAGTTCTATGATTAGCTAGATTTGTGGGATTGTTTCAGTCCTTAGGAGATTACATGGGAGAAAAGTAGAGGTCATCATCAACAGGTTTGCCTTAAATCTCTTCCCAAGGCTCTGGGAAAGGTAACCACAGAATGGTTTGGGGTGGAAAGGACCATAAAGCTCATCCATTCCAACCCCTACCACAGGCAGGGACCCCTTCCACTAGAGCAGCTTGCTCCAAACCCCTGTGTCCAACCTGGCCTTGAGCACTGCCAGGGATGGGGCAGACACAGCTTCTCTGGGCACCCTGTGCCAGCGCCTCAGCACCCTCACAGGGAACAGCTTCTGCCTTATCTCCAACCTGAACTTCCCCTGTTTCAGTTTGAACCCATCACCCCTTGTCCTATCACTATAGTCCCTGATGAAGAGTCCCTCTTTGGCATCCAAAGGCAGATTGTTGCGTCCATCAGCATCCCAGGTAGTGGGCAGGCCCATAGGGCCAGGGAAAGCCACCCACAAGCCGTTACCCCATGGGGACAGGAGAAGGAGGATGCCTGCCTGGTAGCTCCTCTGTGCCAATGGGATCATACTGCTCATCAAGTCTGCATGAAGCTGGGCCAAGAATTCCCTCATTGTAATGCTCACCATGGCTCATGGTCAGAAGAAAGGGTAGATGATCTGAAATGCAGCTAAAACTGCCCCATCCCATCCTCTCCCTGCAAAGATGGCTGTTCTCAGCCAGGCAGTAAGGGATTTCTCTGTATCCATCAGGTTCATCTCCTGGGCTTTTCCACCATGACACCCACTGCATCCCAAAGTTGGTCCTGGAGCTTCCTATGCTAACATCAGCTGTGCCTATGGAGTGAGCCATGAACCTCCCTCCAGCCCATGGGCAAAATAGCAGGACATAGATTACCTCCCTATGGCTGAACACCCTTCATCCCCAAAATGATGGTTGTAGCTTGTCTGCCTGCTGCTGCTCAAGATCCTACTGGGATCTTGATAATACATGTGTATCCAGTCTTGGATCATGCTCTTGCCTTCTCCAGTTGCCTGGTGTAGATGCAGATGCAGTGTGAGGTGATGCCACAAGCTCACTGGTGCTCATGTATAGATGGATCTATATTGCATATGTCTTCAGGGCAGGACCTTGGCCCTTGTCCCCCCTTCAACACCCCCCCCCCATCTCTTGGGCAACACAAAGGAACAGAAATAGAGCTGGTTGTTTTCCCATTAGCTGTTATCAGTAGTTTTACCCATTAAAGGGTTCAGGAGGCTCTGGGCAGAAATAGTCTGTAATAGCTCGAGTGTTTGGTCTCAGAGATGTAATTTCTGGCTGATAGGAAGCTTTACTAGAGATTGGGAAGGACACAATGGGAAGAGAGGGACAAAATCAGCCTGAAAACAGCAGCCTCATACCAGCCTTTCAAATGCATCCTTTTGAAGGTGATGACCATCACTGAGGCCACACACTTTGGCTTTTCCTCACCTACCACTCCTTCCAGAGGCATCAGCTCACCTTATCTCTGAGCACGGATGAGCACAGGGGAATCACAGCATGGGACCCCCCATTGTAAATCCCATCACAGCGTTCCTTCTGCCCAGTGCCAGGGAAGAGGATTTAGCAATGGGTTCATGGAATGCTGCAGAAGATTCTGGTTGCCATGACTGGAATGATGGGAAACATGCAGTTATTCTGCTGCACTTACCTGCAATAAGTGAAGGTGGCTTCATGAAGGGCTTCAGTGAGGTCGCCACCGTGGTCATGTTCTGGGGTTTGTTAAGTGTTTCCTCCTGGCTTTCACCATCCCTTCTGCTGTGTTCCCAAGGCTGAAAATCCCCTTGGAGCTGCCTGTTGATTTCAGCTGCCTCCACACCTGTGGGTTTAATCTCTGGGTCAGTGAGGATGAGATCTGGTGCCCTAGTTTGAAAGGCATCATGATGTGACATGACAAACAGTTGTAGCTCAACAGTGACTGTCACTGCATAACACAGGGTGGGAGACCAGTCACAACACTGTGTTTGGTTGGCCAATTCCTGTAGACCATTGAGGTGTGTGGTCAAAGTAGGAAACCTATTGCTAAATCACATACAGTATAGAGAAGGGCAAGCAGTTAAGGAGACATTGTACTGCCTACTGTCTTCCCAAGGAAGGCAGCAAATGGTATGTTAAACTTAGCAATAATAAAAGCTGTTTTTGAGGAATTGGTTCCCTAGAAGTGTGTTGGGCTTCCTTGGGACCTCCATGACTGCATGGACCTCAGTGTCAGTGGGGATGGAGTCATAATCAGAACTACATGGATAATGAAATGCTGCTGGATCAGCATCTCTATGGGATAGTGCTGAGCACTGCCTGTCTTCTCAGGTAGGACTTGTTTACCCACAGGCTGGGAGTCCACAAGAAGAGTTAGCTGAGTTATACACATCCAGCTCTATGTCTGGATGTGATTGAAGCTATGGTCCCATCATCCTTCATACTGGGTATGTCTGATGCCCAGTGTCTTGAGGGACAAGCGTGATCTGGACCAGGCTGGGAGCACATTAGCAAAGCAGGTATTTTAGGAGATCTGTTTTATGGTGGATGGACAGAGTTGGCAGCTATGGGACAGTAGATATAGTGGAGTCTGACTGCATAGAATCATAGAATGGTTTGGGCTGGAAAGCACCTTAAGATCATCTAGTTCCAACCCCTGCCATGGGCAGGGATGCCTCACACTAGACCATGTCACCCAAAAGTTAAACCAAAACAAAGCAAAGTTAACCCAGAAACCTGTTTCAAAGCACTGTGGACCAGCAGACAGAATCCATCCCAGGTTAATGCTCTGTGGTGTGTCTGCTGTGGCTTTGATCTGGGTTTACTTTCCTTTGCTAAATCACCGTGTTATCTAAATGATGCAAGAAGCTGTGGCTGCCCCATCCCTGGCAGTGCTCAAGGCCAGGTTGGACAGGGATTAGGAACAACCTGCTCTAGTGGAAGGTGTCCCTGCCCGTGGCAGGGCTTGGAACTGGATGAGCTTTAAGCTCCCTTCCAACCCAAACCATTCTGGGATTCTGTGATTCTATGCTCTAAGCATGAGGGATGGAGAAGACCACATGCTCCTGGTTGAAGGATCAACCAGGCAGACAACAGGGCCCTTGGGTAACACCTGAGTCATGAAGGGTTCACCAAAGCTGCTCTTTGCAGGAGCATGGAGGCTGCTGTGTCCAAGAGCACTCACTGCGCAGGATTCACTTGCTCTGATTTATTTACATCACAGAAGCAAATGGAGGCTGAGGCAAGGGCAGATCCCAGGTACGGGAGAGGTGTTCCCATGGGTGCAGCTTTAAAAGCTGGGTGTCAAGAACAGTTTGATCCTCTCTTGCAGTAGAGGGTAACAGCAGGAGACCTCTTGGTGTCCCTTTCAATCCTGTTTTCTCCTATTCCTCTCAAGAAATACCCTCCAGAGCCAGTTGGTGATCCAGGGTCATTTTCTGCACTGAATCACAAGAAAACCCACTTATTCTTAGCAACATCTTTTCACCTACAGTTTCAGGCTGGTGAAACAAGGAGAATATCCTTTACTGCATGAATTCACATGCATTTCTCTAGATATTAGCAGCCTTACCCCTTTCGATGAGCATCCTTCCCAACTCACCTCCACAATCTGCAAACATAAGACAGGACATTGTTTGCTACTTCTTTTCCCTATGTAAATAAGATTTTCCAACAAAATCCTTATTTTTTTTATAGGCAGCACATGCTTTCATGGACTGCTTTTCATCCTTTTTCCCCTCTTCAAAGCATTCAAATATACGCCTAACATCTCTGGGCAGAAATGAATGTGGTGCTAGCTCAATGGCAAGTGGTGAACCCACTCCTTGGCCATAGGTAGACCTGATGGCCTTCAGGTAGCTGGTCTCTGCAAGGCAAGGAAAGCAAGATACCCAAAGCCTGACATCCTTGTGACACCGGGATTCTGGGGTATAAACATCCCTTAATGTGGTGGGGTTTCTTACTGTTATGGTGCTGGTTGACAGTTATTCACCACCAGAATGAAGAGGTTTGTGTGTCAAGAAGTAGAGAGGAATTGAAAGGTTGTGATTAGACAAAATGCAGCTCTAAACTTGCCCTGTAACTCAGTGCCTGTCACCAATGGGTGGGGAAGTGGAGATGAGCAGGGAGGAAAAGCTTTGCTGACAAAACAACAAGGGAATAAGTGGGAATAGACAGGGTTTAAAGGGAAGGAATTAAGAGTTAGAGTAGGAAGTCAGGACCATGGCAGAGACCTGGCAACCCAGAGGCTCACACTCATCTCGGAGCATGGAGAGGTGACGCGTCTCCACTTGCTGCTAATGGGTGATATTTGCTCTGCAGAGCCAGCATGTGCCAGCACTCAAATTGCTCCAATTTAGCTGCTGGTGTGTGTCAGAGGGTGGCCCCAAGCATGGCTCAGGGGCCAACTTACCACATCTGCCTCTCATCTCGCTCCTCACCACCTCCTTCACCTCTTCCTCCTGTGCCATGGGGGGAAAGCAGAGTTAGCAGTGATCAGCAGTGAGCAGCTCTGCTCTGGAGCCAGGCTGAGAGAGCTGGGCTGGGGCAGCCTGGAGAAGAGAAGGCTCCTGAACGGGAGACCTTAGAGCAGCTCCAGTGCCTAAAGGGGCTGCAGGAAAGCTGGAGAGGGGCTTGGGACAAGGGCCTGTAGGGACAGGCCAAGGGGAATGGCTTGAACCTGCCTGAGGGGAGACTGAGCTGAGCTCTTAGGCAGAAGCTCTTCCCTGTGAGGGTGCTGAGGCGCTGGCACAGGGTGCCCAGAGAAGCTGTGGCTGCCCCATCCCTGGCAGTGCTCAAGGCCAGGTTGGACACAGGGGCTTGGAGCAAGCTGCTCCAGTGGAAGGGGTCCCTGCCCGTGGCAGGGGTTGGAAATGTGCTGTAGCCCTACATGTAGGTGAGATGTAGCTGCACCTCCTTTTGTTCTTCTCTTCCTCCTTATCAGCTAACACAGTTCCCCATAGAACGAGACATACGGTCTCGCAGTCCCTGTTTCAGCTGAGCATCTTTCATGTGTGATGGCTGGTGTCCTACTGCACTTCACATGGTCACCACCTCTTGTGCTTTTTAAGATGTCAAATTTTGGGCCACTTTCTACATAGGGATCTGGGATCATCAACAGCCTGCATGTGGGACATCTTTACTTACAACACCCATGCTAGAACTAATCCTGCCTTGCCTCCATACACTGGAAAGATGGAAGTACCTCCTTGTGTCAGTCAAACGGCACCGAACACATTTTCTCAGGCAATAGGATGGAGACCCTAAGGGGAGCTGCAACAGGGATTTTGTCCTGACCCATGTGGGTCACCCACTCCTTCAGGATTTATAAGCAAAGGAGCAGCTTTTGCAGCAATGCCAGCTTCCTAATCTTGAAAATGGGGCACATTTCTCTATCCTGCTCTTTCTTTCTATTTCATCAATGGAAAAGGGTTGGAACCAGATGATCTTTAAGGTCCCTTCCAACCCAAACCAGTCTGGGATTCTGTTACCAGCCCTGGGGCATCGGCACCGATCCTATCTGCAAGGAGTTTGAAGCACCACAAGGAGGATGAGAGAGGAGAAATGTGCCTTGGGCTTGGCATCCTACAGCCCAGCACTGCTCCCACCCCAGGCTGTGCACATCTGATGTCCTGGGTAATGGCCAACACTCTCATTTCCCAGATACTCTCTGAATGAATCTGTTTCTCAGCATCTCCCTCCTCCCCTACACCTCTTAGGGGCAGTTTGTCCTATTTTCTCTATTCAAGCCTGTCTAATAGGATGTGATCTTGAGCTAAAGTACTCACAGAAAGACCAGGACCTCCCTTTTCTCCTTTCTGGCCGGACGGACCATTTTCACCCTGTTAAAAACACTTAAGTCATTACGAAAGCTCAGTAGATTGACCATTAAATGCTGCAAGAATAAGTGTGCCTTAGAGAGGAAAAGATAAGCTAGGAAGGGAGATGGGGAGAAAGGCTTACATGATTTCCTATAAGTTTTAGGGATATCTGTGGGTAGCTCACTGAGCAGAAAGGAATAGACTCATCCCTGTGCAAGGCAACATGAACAGAAGAGAGCTGGGTGCAGGCTCCCATGTTTTTGGGGAGCGCTGCTTTATCCATAAGGATATGTTAGCATCCTTATACATCCTATGTAAGGATGCAAACAGCTCCAGTTGAAGCCAGGTTTCTCTGCTATTTATAAAGGACCACAAAGGCTGAGGTGGAGATGTGGATAGGATATGAACCTTTGGGAACCAGATCAGGCTGGGATTGCAGCCCCAGTACTGAAACAGAGGGGGATGCTGAGGTTTGCCAAGAGGGCTTTCTGTCTCTTAGGAGAAAATACCTTGGGCAATTTTCCTTTCAGAACTGCTGAAAACTGGATTTGTTGATTAAAAATACTAAAAAATATTAAAGGAAAAGGAGCACAGGAAGCACGATCTAAATTAAAGCTGTGATAGTCATTTTTCTCAATCCACGCTTGCTTACAGGGGCTGCAGAGTGAGGAGAAATCACATTACCCTCTACCAACCCATGGAGCTAATACAATGCCACGTCCTGATGCAAAAAGGCCTTGAGTCAGTGCTGGCAGCCTGTAAGGACTGACCCAGAACATGGGTTGCAGGTTGGGATCTGGAGATTAAACTCTCATTTGTATTCTCTGATGTGTATTAAAAGGCTGAGCATTGCCCCTCTGTAGTGAGGTCCTGCACTGAGTATCGTTTTGGTCTGCCATGGTAAGCATAGTGCTGACCCAAAATATGATGTTTTATGGAAGTCTGACATAAAGAAACAGGCAGCCCACAGGGTTCAAAGCAGTTGCCCCTTTTGGAGATACCTCCAGGTAGAAGTGTGGTCAGCACTGCCCATATCCCATGCCTGGTGGATATCCAATATCCTGGTGTTCGGGAGTAAAATGCTCTCTGTGCTTTTGTGGTTGCAAGAAACACAACCCTGAACACCCATGGTCCCTGCAGCCCCAGTGCAGAGCTCTGTATTGATGCAGGTTGGTGAAGAACCCCACTGGGAAGCTCATCCTCATACTGACCCTTTCTCCTTTCTGCCCGTCCATGCCTGGTGGTCCCCTAAGGCAGAACTGAGATTTCCCTCTTTTCCCTCGTGGACCCTAGAGGAGAAGAGCAGAGCTCAGTTAGCGATGCCTAAGTACCCTCTAGAGATATCCCACAGCACCAGCTGGGGTTCTCCCCCCCTAAAGCCCAACCTGGACATCAGTAGCAGAAGACACTCAGAGCCCTCTGGATCTCAGATGCTTCCCAGATAGATATGATGGGTCACAGCCCTGGGCTTTGTCCCTTCTACCTTGGGCAACGACACAGTGTTTCCTGTGGTCCCTCCCTGCAGAAAGGATGGATGCTGCACGGGCAGAAGGCAGTTTTCCCTCTTACACTCTGTTTGTCCCAACACTGAGTTAAGAAACAGCCTCAGCAGGAGGAGAAGGCCTTGCAGATGGAGATAATCCCCTCCCACATTAGGAATGAGGGTAACCTCGCTGCTGCAGCTCAGACCCAGGGACTTCCTCTTTTAATCTAGGGAGAAGAGCAGTAACAGTGTGGGTGTGGGAAGTGGCATCCCACAGTCCCTCTTTAATCAGCATCCAAACAAAAGCCATTTGTTATCTCATACACAGCTTTCTGAGCATGCAGTGCTTGTAGCTGCTAATGTAAAAACTTCCAGCCTTTTTAAACATGCATGAGGGGATCTCACTCTTTTGACTCCTTCCTCCTCTCTGTGATTCCTTTGATACATTTTTCATTGCAAGGTATGCCATGGGGAGCAAGGGGAAGAAGAATGATGTTGCTGCTATGGTCTGAAGCTGGATCTAGTCCACTTCTTGTTGTTCTGGAAGGGTCCTTCTACACCTACACCCTATAGGGGAAGGCTGGGGGCAGTCCTTCCTATAATCAACCTGTGAAGCACTGGGTGGGATGCAGCTGTAGCTACAGGATGCTGGAGGCCCAGAGCATCCCCTGTGCGCTTGTACCATGGGGTAGATTGCTCTAGGTCAAGCCTTTATTTGATGGTGTCTCAGGACACAATACAGATGTTCAGTTTGACCGTCTTGCTGCACCACCTCCATTTTCCCCTTCCTTAATCATTTCTTCCCTAAGACTTAAAACCTGGTGTTGAGTATTTTGGTTTGTGGCTCCAAAGAGCAGGGTAACAGCTTTCCCAGCTTCCATATGGGGGAAAACCAGGTTAGGAATCAATAAAGCCTACATAGACACATTTACACCACCCAAGTCCTGCAAGTGCCTTGAAGACAGGGAGACCTTTGAGACCCAGGAGAGCTCATCTGATGAGGTCCAGACTCATTCAAACTGGGTCTGAATGGTCCCAACTTCAATCCTCAAAAGCCAAAGCAATTTTCATTGGTGTATCTCTACCAGCACAGTCCTGAGCTGCCAGATGCAGCTACACATCACCTAAATTCTCCATGTTATTGCATGTGCTTCTCACTTGGTGAAGGATATTCACTGGTGACTAGAGTTTGGAGTATCTGGCTGGAATAATTCAGCAGGGCATAACAGGAAAATCCTTCCAGACTCTCTACCTCCTTTCCTTGTCTTCAAAACACCATCTAATTCCCATTTAGAATGGGAAAACTCAAGTATTTGACAAACCATACACATATTTCTATAGGGATACATCACTCAAGGGTGAAACATGGGATGACAGATACCTGCCAGACTCAGAGGATGGCAGGAGTCAAACCAGGGCTATCCCTCACACTATGGATAGCAGCTGGTCTTTCAGGTAGTTACCCAAATCCAGCTTTTCTTTTGTTCTCAGTTTTCCATGTTATTTATGTGTTCACTTGTCCAAGCCTGAAGCTCAGCAGAGATGAGAAGGGTATTTTCATTTCCAGTCCTCTTTCACTTGACAAGTCCTTCATTACCTAATGGATGCTATCTAAGGGCGGGTGTTTAGCATTAATCTCTATCATCGTCCCCTCTGCATTGTGCTGGCAGCAGCAGGACACTCTTCATTACCATAGGATCTGGGGGCAGAGTGTTCCTGCTCATCAACAGCATTAACATGTTTTGTTTCAAAGTCTTTTTGTCACATTTAAAAGGTGCACAGCATGTCTTGCATGCAAAAACACTCATTAAGGGTGGCCCACAAACAGGGTCTGAAAGCCACCAGCTCCTTCCGAAGCCTTGGCATCCTGATCCCACATAATTAACAATGCAAAAGGTGCACTTAATGCCCAGCTAACTTGAAATTATCATCTTTCCTTTCTTGACTGAGAGGTCACATCTTACACTGCAGAGAGGCAAAGAAGAGAGGAAAGGAAAAAGAAATGAATCTCCGGTGATAAATGCACCAAGAGATGAAGTAACTTGGCCAAGATCCCACAGAAATACAACAGACTTTGCAGCCATCTCACTGTGGGACACATCAGTTTGCAAGGGGAGGGGTGATGTACGTGCACATGGTGATGTGGGGACACATCTGGGATGCTGTGTCGCGTGGGGATGTAAGGTGCCAATCTCACCATGGTTCAGGGCATGCTCACCTGTGGCCCTGGCTCACCCTGTGGCCCTTGAGGCCCATCTGGTCCAGGGACTCCAGTCTTCCCAGGCCACCCCATTTGTCCTTTGAAGCCTCCCAAGCCAGGAACTCCCTTGGTCCCCTGAGGATCACCAACAGAGAAGTTCAAGCACAGCTGGTTATAGAGACAGGCCAGCCAAGTATTACCCAAATACTTCCATGGCATTGGCAATAAGAGGAGACCACTTGTATCCTATTTTGTCTGCTACTGTTGTGCTATTAACAGGGCACCAGTTGTAGGGTAGAGATCACTTTAGCTTTGCTCTTCACCTTTACTTGTCCAGAAGGCACCTCATTGCTTGGTAAGACATGGGCACCCTCTCTCTGGGATGATGCTTAATGATACCTAATGCCCAACTCTCCCTGCACGTGTAAGCAGAATCCTTTAGTCTACAACCCTGGGCCTATAAATCTCCCAATCACCTGCACCACTGTGAATGGTACAGATGTGTAGGAATGGCAACAGCTCCCATTAACCACAGCAAAAAGAAAGCCCTCCAATTAACCCAATACCCAACCTGCAGCAGTGGCTGAAAGGAGATGTTTGTGGGAGAGGAGAAGAACAGGAGAGGAAGGGAGTGATATTACCCAGGAAATGACTCCCCAGCCTCCAACCATTCATAGCTCAGAGACTCAGTGAGCTAGAAGGGTTGCTTGACAACAGAAGAACCCTTAGTGTTCAACACAGATGACTATTGCGGAGTGATGACCAGAAGCGTTGTTATCAATAAAAGCAATAAATTCTTTAAGATCCCAAATCAGATGGACACCAGATGGTGGAGCTGAATGAGAGAAGGGCCTGAGGGGCTGGAAAATGCCAGAACACTTGATGGAGGCTGCCGGGATTAATGTCTAGTTTTCTTTTTTAACTGAAGCCCTATTTTTTCCCTCCATGGAAAGGCACAAATTTTAGACTTGATCTTTTAGGGAAGAAAATGGAAAATTAAGCAATGCAGAGAAAGAAGATTGGAGGGGGGTGATCATGGTGGGGATTCCTCATGGGGTTGAGAGCAGAGCCCAGGAACAGGTCAGCTTGGAGACCTTTCCCACCACTGTGTCCATGTGTCCAGCATTATCCAGCTTTTCTGCCCCACAGCATCCCAGGCACCCTTTACCCTGGGCATGGTGGTGTTGAATAAACTCCAACAGCTAATCCCAAGAAGGGTTTGGATGGTTTTCCTCACATTAAGCAGGCTTCCTCCTGGGGTTTCATACATGGGCAGAAGGTGAGTTTAAGGGAACCTCCCCTCTCCTGCCCTTTCCACCTGCAGTTCCAGCCTTAATCATTGAGTCACAAAATAGTTTGGATTGGAAGGGACCTTTAATGCTCCAGCCAGTTGACATTTGACCACTGGAAAGGGTACCTATGATGCAGAAAGTGTATAACTTTGTTAACTCCATCTGATGGATGTCAGATCTATCCTTCTATAAATGGCAGCTTGATGCAGTCTGGTGAGCACTGACCTTTTCTCCTTTCTCTCCAGGAATCCCTGAGGCACCATCATCCCCTGATGCTCCCTGTTCACCCTGGAAGGAGCCAAGATAAAATCATGGCCAATGTGGACTTGGCAAGGTTGCAAATTGCTGCATGAACCAGCTTTTCTTCAGATTACACTATTAAGTGGGCCTCTGAGCCTGTGCATTGGTGGTACCCAAGGAAACAAGGAAATCACATTAAGAAGCTCCATTACTTGGCACGTGCAACGATGCCTGTGGAGCATCAGGGATGGGGTGGATGAACATGGTTGAGTCTTGCAGAGGTAGTGAAGGGGTCCCTACTTCAGTATCCAAGCATCTTTGCTCAGATCCATGTTGGCTTATAGGAACAGATCCAGAATAACCCTGTTTATGCCCTTTGAAAGGAATTAGCACGTTGCAGAGGTGGATTTGCAGCATTTGCAAAGCTTTTTGAAGCCTCTTACTTGTAGGAGGTGCCTAATTTAGATACCTTTGGTCCATACTGTCCATCTGATCCTTGGATCCCTGGTTTTCCAGGACTGCCAGGTTCTCCCTGTGGATGAAACAGCAGAGGGTGTGCTGTAAGCACAAACAACTCCTACAACATTGGGAAAACTGGCCCCAAAAAGCCAAGGTTAGGTGCTACTTGAGGGGGAACAGGATGACACTCCTGGTAGCAGAAACCTAAGTATAGGCAAAGCCAGTATAAATGCTAGATTGTCCCAACTCTAAGCCCACCTACATGAAAGTAGGTGGGAAACCCACTGAACAGTGCTTCATTTACCCAATAGGCCAATGAAGGCAAATATTAATAACAGCAACAATAATAACACCACCACATCCCATCAGCTCAGCTGTTAACAGCTCCCTTAGTTCTTATCAAGCTTTCCAAAGCCCTTCATGAAAAGACCATTATCCCTGTTTATAGAGGAAGGTCTAATGATGCTGACAGCCAGAGTGATGTGCCCAGCACTGATTGCAAATTGAGTCCAGGCAGTTGCTAAGCCACAGGGCAGGAGGGGATTTGGGCAAGGTCTGGGTTTTTTAGTTCCCTTCAAGCCTTAAAACCTTTCCATCCACTGCTGCTTGCTCTGCAAGGCCATATCCCACCAAGTGGGACTTGTGCCAGAGGGTGGCTTCTTCATGCGTAATGCTATCCTGGGATGAGTGGGAAACACTGCTGGAAGTGGGGCAGTCAAAGCAGGATGGAAAGCTGGCCTTAGCTCACCTTAATGCCTTTGGCTCCGGGAGCTCCGATGCGTCCTGGAAGCCCTCGTAAGCCCTGAGGATAAAGCAGATCATAGGTGGTGACGTTCAGTCAAGGTGAGGGAAGGAGTGAGGGACTCTGTGTGTACACAGGGTTAACTCCAGTGTAGTTGCTACTATGGTCTAACCTATGGTCTATAACCCTAACCCTAACCCTTGTTGTTGTTCTGAAGTGTCTTTCTACACCTGCACCCCACAGGGAAGGCTTGGGGAAGTCCTTCCTATAATCATGCTGTCAGTGGTGCAGCATTGGGTGGGATTTAGCTGTAGTTATAAGATGCTGGATGATGCTGGAGGCCCAGAGCATTCCCTGTGTGCTTGCACAATGGGGCAGGTTGCTCTAGGTCAAGCTGCAAGCTGTTGTGTTCCTTTGCTCAAAGCATCCTTCCTCATTAGCCTCACTGCAGCTTGGAGCTTGAGCTCTCTTCCCTGCTTGCCCAAACCTCTGCTTCACAGGATCATGGAATGGTTGATGTTGGAAGGAAGCTCTGAAGGACATCTTAGACTCATAGAATGGTTTGGGCTGGAAAGGACCTTAAGATCACTCAGTTCCAATCCCCTGCCATGGGCAGGAATACCTCACACTATCTTGTCCAAGCCCCCTGCTCAAGCAGAGCCATCTAAAGCTGGTTGATGAGTACCATGTTCAGACAGCTTTTGATTATCTCCACAGATGGAGATCTTACAGGATCTCACCCATCTCCTACCTTTGCTCCTTTCTGTCCCGTGTCACCAGTGGTCCCAGCATCACCTTTTCCTCCCTAAATAAAAAAAGAAGACAAACGTATAATGCACAGCCTGAAAAGTAAAGGATACGGCCCTGGTGATAGCATCACATTGCACTTACATTGTGCTTTTAATCACCAGAAGCTCCTTGAAAATCAGCAGATGATGCTAGTAATGCAACCAGCTCTGTGGTGGGACAGGGAATGACCTTGCAGAAGATGGATGACTGCGACAGTACTGCTAGTGAAGTGGGACAAGTGCTGTGATGGGTCTCCACCGGGTCTGTAGCTTACAATGGGCAACATGTAGACAATGACCCTTGGTGGATGTGTGTGTTGGAGTGGATGCTACTGAGGTTTGGAAGCTAATTAATGGAGTGGCTACAATCACAAGGACCTGCACTATGGAGGTGCTAAGATGGTCTCACTCAGCAATTCTGTTGGTCACTGCCTGTGGAAATACAGGCTGTCACTCAAAGCCTGGATCCTTCTGGCACTACCTGAATGATCTAGAGGATGCTCATTACTTTCAGTGAGGTCTTTCTTTCCTGATCCCTCCCAAAATCTTCTACTGTTTTCTTCTCTCTCATGGGAAAACAAAGGAGAAAAACACCAGCAGATTTCAGCTTGTTTCCAGAGAGTGAAGGCGTGTTCCCACCAGGAATCCCTTTGGAGATGTGTTTTCAGTAATAAGGGGGCTAAGCCCCATCCATGTGCAGGAACTTATCTGGGGACAAGGGAGGCCTTCTGTTGTGAGAGAGAGCCAGGTCTTCCATAAGAGCTTTAGCAAATGATTGCTTTGTTAACTGCTCCCTTCATCAGGCAGGTCAGCATCGAGGAGAACTGGACCTGGTACATGAAGGAACTTGAAACTTAGGCCTTGGTAAGAAACAAAGGAAAACTCATGCTGGAAAACATGGGAAAACTTAAAAGTCTATTGCTAGAGACATGGATTCTCTGTTGGCATCCACAGAATGGTTCCTCCTAAACATCAGGCCAGGACGTGCACTAGAGACTTCTCCAGGATGTTTAGGGAGTGATTTCATCTCTGTTTTGGAAAAAACATGAGCAAGAACTTGACTCCAGTATTGAGGCACACAGGGTATGGAAGGAGAAATGAACTTGGATATAAGAAAGGCACAGAGCCTCTTTCTACCTCCCAAATGAACCACGTCCCTCCTTGCTACTCACCGGCTTCCCCTTCTCCCCCTGAAGACCTCTGTCACCTTTGGCTCCCTTGTGTCCATTCTGCCCATTGAGACCTGCTGCACCCTGCCAGAAAGAGGAGAGAAATGCATTCTGTGTCAGCCCTTGCAGAGAAGGTGGCTGAGGACAGTCATCAGGATGGAGACTCCATAGCCTGGGTTGCATGTTCCTGCGGTCAGAGGTCAGAAGCTACCTTAATACCTTAATACTAACACTTAATATCTTAATACTAAGACCTGAGGCTGGGATTTAGCACCCATTCCTCGTAAGCTTGTAAGCCACTAGCAAATGCAACCTGTGAATTGATATAATTACAGCTTGGGAAATAGAGGCATGTAGCAGCTAAAGAGTAGTCTTGGGCCAAGAGAATTTAGGTGGTGATGGCTTTGAACCCGAGGCAAGCAACACTGGGTGGTGAAATCTGGTTTGGTGAATGAGGGACCCAAGCACGATGTTGCTCACAGCTGCAGTTGAGAGATCTCTCATCTGGGTGGTTGGGAGCTCAAAGAGAGATTGTCACCCAGCCCAGACGCTGGAGCCAAGTCCAGCACTGGGGCCTCTTTGCAATGGGTCTCCTACTGCTTTGGTAGCAAATTGAAAGCTACTGGCAATGCACTTTTTGTTTCTGCAAGGTTCCCACAGTTTACTCATCCATTCTGGCCAATTTTGATGGTAGTCTTCAGAGCCTGGATGTGAGATGAAATTGGATTTATCCCCACTTAAGACACTGATTGCGCAGGGCTGTGCTCATTCAGAGAATGAATTGGCTGTTTAAGCAGATCAGGAGATGAACAAGTGATGTTCTCCACTTGGGATTCATTTGCAGCTGGTTGTTGAAAGGAAACACATTTATTACCCAAAAATATAGTGAGAAAATCAGCCACCAGATTTGTGCATCAAATTATTCCTCCTTTTAGTGACAAATGGACACTTCAAACACAACCACAGTGACAAGCAAACATCCCAGAGACAGCCGGGTGGGATGGTGCTGTACCAGACCACAAGGACAGATCCATTACCTTCTCATTCCCAGGTATAAAAGTCCACGTTCCTCAAGCTCTGCCTACACTATCAGGCACAAACATCTTGTGCAAGCTCTTTATTTACTGGTAACTATTTATTCACATGATCAATATATTGTTCCATCTGAGGAAGTAAATGGACCATAAAACCCCAGCTAACCAGAGCGTCTGTTTGCTAGGAAGGCAATAAACCTTTTGGTTTGATGGTTAAACCTCACCAGCCCAAGATACCTTCAAGTGCCTCATGGTTTTGAGATAGCTGTGAACTGGGTACGGATCCATCTGGCCAGGGATTTATACACCTGTATTCAAGGGGATGGGCTAAAAAGCTTATTCTTGAGCACTGCTTGATCCTGAAGGAACCTGACATTAAATAGAGATTTCCAAATTTGCTTTAGTATTCTCTAGGTTATCCCCAGTGTCTTGCAGAGACAGAAAACAAGGAAAGGAAAGACATTTCCTTGTTTTCCTGTGCTTACTGTGAAAAGGTCTCTCCTTTCCTTGTTTTCCTGTGCTTCTTTATCTGCACATGTCCAACTTTTTCTATCTGCCTTAGATCATGAGATGCTTCTTGCCTGCTCTTGACCTGAAAGGAGCTCAAATGGCTTTAGGAAGAGTTAAGCTCACAATATGTGCTGGTAGGCTGAAAAGCAGCTGGGTCTAAGCTACACCTATTTGTCCAGTAATCATAAGCAAGATTTTGACCTGGGTCTTATCTTGCTGTAGGTGGACTCCTACTCATCATAGGCTGAAAAGACTTTGTCATATGGACTAGAAGGTTTGGACATGACAGCAGGTCTGTCCCTGCTTCATCCTGGGGGGGGAAGAAGGTCAGAGGGGTGATGCTTTCCAAGACCATCTGCACCAAGGACAAGAAAAAGATGGAATAGAAGGAAAAAAAACCCCAACCAAACAGAGGAAGAGGAAGACATTTGAGACCAAGCAAGGGAAAGAAGCAGAATGAAGATTTGTTCCCTCCGATTTACATTCCACGTTCTGCTGGGCAATAAAGCTCGTCAAATGGTAGTTTAAAGGCAATTACTGGAGTACTGGAAATGGCTCTTGCTATTTGGTTCTGTTATTAAAGTGTTGCTTGGAACAGACTTCATTTAACTGCAGAGGCACCAGGTACCACGAAGGCAGAGCAACGCAAAGGCTTAGTCATAAGTGCTGAGCGTTGCCTGTTGACGCAAAGATGTCTTGGAGCAGCCGAGGATCAATGCTTCCAGGCACAAATTCCTGTGAAGCTTTGGGCTGGAGCCAGGGAGGAGCCTGCCTTGTCTCCAGGCTCCTCACTTCCACTCAGATGAACAAGATGGGGAATTAGCTGGGACACCCTGGGAAAGTGGGAAACTCATCCGCAGAAACATCGCCTTCAGGCATGCCCTGGTAGGATCAATCTGTTTGAAGATGCACATCAGAGGACTAATGCATTCCCAAACCCTGGTGTAGGCTGCAACCTCTGCTTAAAGGTTTCCCCACCTCCTGGGCTTTGGTGCTCAATATTTGATGGGATGATGCATATGAATTAGCTGGGAGTCTCAACCTCAGAGTTTCATCTGTGTTTTTATCCCTTCCCTGCTGTGTCTTTTGTCTAGACTGTCCTGTTCACAATTATCTGATGCAGTTCTGAGCATCATCCCCACCAGAATCCTTTCCTGATGTCACTGGCCCTCATAGCCGTAATGTGCATTCATTCTCAGGCACTACAGCTCAGAGATGGGTTAGCCTGATACCCTCCTGCGAAGACTCCAAGGTATCCTGGGCAGAGATTCCACAAGATCTGGGTGACAAACTTCCCTTTGGCCAGCCTGGACTCATCAGAAGTGCTCAGGAGGCATCAAGGCACCCTCCCAAGGCAATGACTTGTTAGGAGATGGCTTTTTCCACTCTGAGTGGCCAAATGCACCTCTTGTCAAGCCTGGGGCAGAACCCCACTCTGCACCTTTGCTCTCCTGTGTCTCAAAACAGCCCACTGCTCAGCAGGCAGGAGAACTGGGATGCCATATGGATCCACCCAAGTTCCTGTGCAGATGAGGGAGGGAGATAGACCTTTCTTGCTGGTACCTTTCAGATTTGCCTATCCACCACCCTTATCTGTATCAAGAGGTTACAGAATCACAGAATGGTTTCATCCATTTTCAATGGATCATCCAATTCCAACCCCCTGCCATGGGCTGGGATACCTCAAGGTCTTACGCTCTTAATATCTATTGTAAAGTTATGGTTATAGGCATTCTCACACCTACCATACTCTGGGTTATAGGGCCTTGATCATCATTTAGTGTCAGACCCTTCAGAGTGCTGCCTGGTTTTCACTGTAGCAGCGACAGGCTGCTGGCTGGATACAGAGCCCAGCTCACAAGAAGAGGTGAAGATCATATAAGACCTAATGAGGAGGACTGCAAACCAGGATGGGGAGGGCCAAGAACACTGGTAATTGTAGACCCAAGAAACCCAAAATAGAGAGTAATGGCAAGAGAGAGGGACTGGGGGACTGCTTTAGGGAGAATAATAGGTTAATCTGCCTGTGTATTAATCCACAAAGCATGGGAAATAAAGAAAATGAGCTGGAAACATTAATATCTGATCAAGATGATAATTTAATATGCATAACACAGATTGCAAGATGAATATAAAAGGGTCAAGCACGGCAGGAATGTCATTGTAAAATAGTGCAGTGCTTTTAGAAAGGAGGAAAAAGGAGAAGGAGGTGTCTTGAATATCAAGAATACACTCGTGTACCTTGAGGTGCAGTTGTAAAGTCAACTAGATCTATTGTAATGGTTACAGGGAGAAGACACAAATGCTGTCAGCTTGGTTGGGAACTCCTATAGATCACCGAATCAAAAGAGTAACTGGATGAGACTTTCTACAAGCTGGTTAAATTACTCAGAGGGAATTCAACAGGACAGAAAGGGACCAGCAAAAGTTTGCAGTGAGTTGGTGGCAATATGTGGATATGAAAGAGGGAATTAGTGGGAGTCAAAGGAAAATGAGAGCTGCTACCCCATTACCTTTATGACTTCGCATAGGACAGATTTGGTGTAGACAGATTGGATCAAATAGTGTCTTGTCTTCCAGAAAATGGGAGAAGAGGACTTGGGGAATGATACATGAGATCTGCAGAATAACTTGGGGAAAAAATAAAGTATTTAGAAGATAAAGTGAGACATCCGTTTGTGAAGAGCGAGTCACATCAGGATGTTGCATCCTAACACAGGTTTCTGAAATAGATGATGTGAATCACGCACTAAGAGTACCCTAAAGCTGTCAATAAACCAAGTCTGAGCAGTGAAGAGAGCAGACATTAGATGAGTTTCACCCAGGATGTTGTATATCACAGCTCTTCCAACAAGGCCCCAGCTCTGATCTGACTTTTGCAATTTTAGAAATGCAATGAAGGACCAAACCCAAGCTCTATTATCTCATCTCGCTTCAAGCGCAGCACAGACAGCATCAACCTACACCAGCAGCATCCCATATTTCCAAAAGAAAGATTACTTGGATTTCCTCAAATACTGGTTGACAAGATACCACTTTCTGGTAGCTAACTGTGTTAACGTGTCAATGCCTGTGGGTGCTAGTAGAAAACAGCACATCATAGAATCAATCCCAGACTGGTTTGGGTTGGAAGGGACCTTAAAGCTCACCCAGTTTCAACCCCTGCCATGGGCAGGGACACCTCACACTAGAGCAGCTTGCTCCAAGCCCTGTGTCCAACCTGGCCTTGAACACTGCCAGGGATGGGGCAGCCACAGCTTCTCTGGGCACCCTGTGCCAGCGCCTCAGCACCCTCACAGGGAAGAGCTTTTGCCTAAGAGCTCATCTCAATCTCTCCTCTGGCAGGTTCAAGCCATTCCCCTTGGCCTATCACTAAACATCCGTGGATGGTGGATTCCTCCTGTGCTTCCTTTCCACTCAGCAACCTCAACAAACACCTTTGCTCTACTCCTGCACTACTACTGGTTGTCACCTATGGATTCAGATGTTCCCTACAGAGCAATCTCAGTGCAATGCCTACGTGCAGTGATGCCAGATGCTGAGGTCTTACAGCACTCTGCAAAGTGCTGATTGCAATTAGGCAGGGGTGGAAATACTTAATGGAATGAGGGCTTTTTAATCAGTAACAATTGCCAGGTTGCATTATGGGCTTGTAAATAGTTACACAGCCATGAGCAGTAATCAGTGGGCAGCACTGCAGGGCTGTGGGCTTTCACAGCAACAGATAGTTGCCAAGAATCCCCCACTCAAACACAAAGATGCATAACTGGGGAATAGAAAACACTGATATTTCTTATTGCAACCAAACAATTGCAAAGACTCCTATGGTCTGAGAAAAAGTCCCAGTCACTTTTTGGTGTTTCCTCCCCTCCTATTCCTTCCTTTAACAGACAAAAAGAAAGCGGGGGGGGACTTTCTTCACTTTGGACAAGCTTGGGAACCATTTGTTCACTTCCAGGTGAAACAGGGAAGTTCAAAGGCATGTGAACACTTCTGAAACCCAAAATTGCTTTGCTTTTTGTTTTCCCAATTGAAATACATCATGAAATAAGGTGAACTCGGGGATTATCCAGATCCTCCAACATAACTGTTCCCCCTGGCCAGCAACATGCACCCACTGAGAATAGCTACTTCTAATCCAGTCTCTTAAGAACATACACATTTCTCATTGGATATATAGCCTATAGTAGCAATTCTAAAGCTATCTGAACATGAAACATCACGTTTTCATATCTGGCAATGCCCCTAATACATTAAAGGCATTACAAATAGTAAATAAATGCATATTTAATGCATTCCTTAATGCAAAATGCAATACCTATTAAAGCATACCTCTGGCTGTGGTACCCCATGCCCATGGCTGGTTTCCCACCAAAGCCTCTTTGAACGTGGGCTTGGTGGAGCAGCACCAAGCCAGCATCACCTCATCCCACCCTGCGACCCACACACATGGTGGTGTGGAGAACACCAGCAATGAAAAGGCAGAGAGGGAATCATGCTTCAACTCACAGCAGAGCCTGGCCAGCCTGGTTCTCCCGGCTCCCCCTGGAAGGAAAGTGGAGATGAGTTACCATGGCAAAGAGCTGCATCTCCTCTGGAAATGGGGACTGCTGTGGGAGATACCTACAGCTGTGAAAGAGGGGCAAGGGGACCTTTGGGGACCCCTCTGCAGCAGCAACTGAAGGAGGGGAAAAGTGGAATAACCCAAACATCTCTGGGCAACTGAATGGAGCCCTACATCTCCATTGACTATTAACTGGGGCTTGGACAGCAGTTCACACCTCACACCTGGATATTGACACTTCACTGGGTCATTATGACCATTTTAGCCCAGGAAAGCTGCCTTACAGAATGGGAGATATCTCTAGGGCTCTCCTGGAAAAGGGCAGCTACTTCTGCTCTCTGGTAGCCCCATTAACACTTGAAGAGGGAATGCAGATGTATATTCTGCAACAAAACGGTGGTGGGATCTTACCCATCAGTTCCTGTGTGATTTTACACATCAGTTATTGGTGGGATACCTTAGCACTGTACTCACCTTCTGCCCCACTGGTCCTCTTGCTCCAAAAAGCCCCATCACTCCCTTGGAGCCGGCTTCACCCTTGCCTCCCTAAATTTAAAATCCTTGTCAAATACACATTGAATACACTTGTTTCCCTTTAGAGAGGCCAGAAGAAGAACCCATGAAGATGACAGAGAGGATCAAATAAAAGCATTGTTTCTACAGCAGATTTCAGCCCTGGGGAGCCCGAAGGTCTGCATGGGAGCCACTGCTGGGGAAGGAAGCTACCAGCTTGGCAGAAACCTCAGTGAATTGTCCTGTAAGAAAGCTCAAGACCAGAAACGGGCATGGAAGGAAGACAAGCAGAAAAGGGCCTCAATGCCTCTGGGTGAGCTGCCTCCCTGAAAACACTCAGGTACAAGACCCTGCTGGACTTACTGGTAGTGGAAATACTACTCTGGGGCTCTGTCAAAGTCACTCAGATATTTGGCTGAGAGATGTTCTTGCTTTAAGAGATAGAATCATGGAGTTATACAATGGTTTGGGTTGGAAGGGACCTTGGAGCTTATCCAGTTCCAACCCCCTGCCATGGGCAGGGACCCCTTCCACTGGAGCAGCTTGCTCCAAGCCCCTGTGTCCAACCTGGCCTTGAACACTGCCAGGGATGGGGCAGCCACAGCTTCTCTGGGCACCCTGTGCCAGCGCCTCAGCACCCTCACAGGGAAGAGCTTCTGCCTTATCTCCAACCTGAACTTCCCCTGTTTCAGTTTGAACCCATCACCCCTTGTCCTATCACTCCAGTCCCTGATGAAGAGCCCCTCTCCAGCATCCTTGTAGCCCCCTCCAGACACTGGAAGCTGCTCTGAGGTCTCCACACAGCTTCTCTTCTCCAGGTTCAACAGCCCCAGTGTTCTTAGATGATCATGTAGTATTTTCTTAGAAAGCAAACTGACAGATACCATGCACGGGCTTTCACCCAACTTAAAAAAACAACTATCCCCCCCGCACCCCCCATGGGAACATCTCTATGGGTTTCCTTTATGGTAGCTGGGGACCTGATCAGTGCCATCAGTTGAGGCAAAAACACGAGCTGCCTTTTCACATGGGAGATGTGCACGCTGGGTCACGCAATTCCCACCCAGAACTACACTGATTATACAGGTCACCATGGGAAACAAAATCACAGAATCCCAGGTTGGAAAAGCCCTTTAAGCTCGTCCAGTCCAACCATTGCCCCGCACTGCCAAGGCCACCCCTAACCCATGGCACTGAGGCCTCGTCTCCACGCTGTGTGAACACTTGCAGGGACGGTGACTGCAGCCCTGCCCTGGGCAGCCTGTTCCAATGCCTGAGCACCCTCTGGGGCAGGAATTGTTCCTCAGCTCCATCTAAACCTGCCCTGGTGCAGCTTGAGGCCGTTTCCTCTTGTCCCATCCCTTGTTCCTTGGGAGCAGAGCCCAGCCCCTCCTGGCTCCATCCTCCTGTCAGGCAGTTGGAGGCAGCCATCAGGTCCCCCCTGAGCCTTCTCTTCTCCACACTGAACCCCCCAGGTCCCTCAGCCCTTCCCCATCACACTTGTGCTCCAGGTCCTCCAGGAGCTGGATGTCCAGCTCAGACAGGGATGCTGCTGTTGTAGATACTTGTATTTTATTCAGCAGAGTCCCCATCCTGGGTCATTCTTCTGGAGCAAAAAGCATTAACATAATATGAAAATAGGTATGATTAGTACATGGAGATTTAATCCGTGACTCAGTCTGAGAGTGGGAGCGTTACGTGTTTCCTCCCAGCATCATGGTGATGGGTTGAGACCTCAAAGAGCAAAAGCAGATGGAGGAGCGACAACCTGCTCTGCCACCACCCAGGGGACAGCTCTGTGTGAAGAAGAGGAGCCAACCAAGCCTTAATGCCACCAGAGCTGCAGGGTTTGAAGCAGCACAGCCAGCTTGTGGAGGGAGAGGGAGATGTGGGATTCTTACAGTGCTGCAGTAATTGAATGGTCACCGCATCTGTACTGCAGATGTGGTCCCAAAACTTGTCACTTGCTAAACTGGATGTGTATCACCTTCCCAAGCTCCAGCCCTGCATCCTCCTCTCCCTTCCTTTGGTAAGAGATTGTGAGTGTGCCCTTGCACTGTGTTTTCCAGCAGGCATGCGGGAAGGGATGATGCAGAGCTATCCCACCATCAGCGACCTTTTGCTGTGTCCCTCAGTTGCATTGGGAGGTTCATACCTTTTCTCCTACAGGCCCATCCTCTCCCTTCTCTCCTTTGTCTCCATCAAAACCTGGCAGGCCCTGTTCCCCCTGAAAGGTAAGACAGGGATTAGTCTGTGTTAGAAGTTAGAAGTAGCCCTCAAGTGCTACTTCTCAGTGCTCATCTCAAGCTGTGCTTGATGCTGATGCCAACAGTGGGGAAGGTACAACTTAAATAGTCAATAAAAGTCAAACTTACAGGATCTCCTTTACTGCCTTTATAGCCCTGGGGTCCAAAAATAGTCATGGGCTCACCCTAGAGAAAGGAGACACAGGGAGATGTAGACACCCGGTGATACATGAACTCGTTGGTCCCAGTAGATGGAACTGCCTTTGCTATGGTGGGCAAAATGGTCATTAAAACATCTGGAATGGGTGAGCACTGCCTAAACTATGGTCTCTATGCTGGGAAACGCACGTGTGCTCCACAGTTGTCCTTAACTAAAAGCTGGATGATGAATGTGCACAGAAAACAAGTCCTGAGGTTTGACAGTGACCTCTTGCTCCAAAAACTGTTGGGGTCCAGTGGCATTACCCCAGTCTAAATGTCATGGCTGGAAATGGAGCTGTGCATGGCATGACCCTGGGGTTCAGTTCCTGACCTGAGGCTGTCAGTGGTGGATTGATTCATATCTGACATGGTGGCTTGGCTTTGTTGTCACTGCGTGTCACCCAGGATGTCAAGGATGTCATCGCCTCCCAGGTGTGGGAGCTGGATGGTGAAGGGGTCTATTCATGTGTTGTGATTTATAGATGCATAGTTGGAGCTAAGGAACAGGACTGGCACTTAGGGTACCCTTCAGAGGTATGTTTTGGAGGGTCAGAACCCCCAAACTGTCATCCAGTAGCTACAGGCACACAGTAACCCCATGGACACATCATTGCCAAGTCTCTATCAGCCCAGCAGCTGAAGAGGGACGTTTTGCTCCTCAGAGAGTGAAGACAAGGCTATTCCTATGCAAGAAATGGTTGTGTCTCCAAAGTGGTGATGCTGTTTATAGTACAGAGGGAAAAGGGCTGAAGCCACCTTCTGATGGGCAACTGTAGCCCATTTGGCTCCCTTTACACCAGCTCTCTTCAGTTTTGCAAGCATCCCCATGCAGGGTGAGAGTGCCTTGCTGCTGGTGTCTTAACAACCACAAAACAACCAATATTCCCCAGAATTAGACAATCTCTTGCTGTTTATCCAACCATCACTATAGGATCCTGACTAAATTCTGGCTTAATATACCCTCCTGTCTCCCTGCTCAGGAGGGTCTTTCAGGACACAGGAATGGGTTCAATCGATTTTGAGAACAAAAAGGAGAATAAAGACCCTGTAGCTTAACCCAATACACAGCACAGGGCCTGGATTTCACAGTTACTCCTGTATTGATCAAGGGAGAAGCAGAAAGAAAGTTAAGCGGCAATCATGTGAACAAACCCAAGCCAGTTATCCCCCCCTTTTCTGTTCCATCTCGTACTCCACCTTATCTTTTATTAACCATTCTTTGAAAATAGCATTAAACATTCCTGGAGCTTGCAAAGTGTTTTGGGGCATCTTCATGAAGCAGATTAAGAATTGATTCATCTCTAGAGCAAGCCCCCTTTTGCAAGTAACTTCCTCGGAGACAAATGGGCCTTAATCATTTCATACTGCATGACTCAAAGGCAGAATCATCATGTAGGGTTTCTAAACCTCATTTTCTAACAAGGCATTGCAGCCAGGAAGGAAGTTAACAAAACACTGGGCAGGAGTTCAGCAGTTTCTCTGCGTTATCCAGAAGTGTTCGGGGAGTTATTTCCACATTACCTGCTATGAGCCAGCTCAGGCTGTTTAAGATCGCTTGGATGCTTTGGGTGAGCTGCTTATACCAGAATCAGTGGCAATTTTCTTTCTCCATTAATTCACAGGAAACCTTTTTGTGTCAAAGCAAATAGGGGCCAAAATTACTTTATTTTTTTCCTGTTTTTTGTAGGATCCCATCAAAACTCAAGCTCAGTCCAGAGCGTTCAGTGCAAGGATGGGATTAATAAAGTGGGTTGAAACTGGTGGAGACTTGAAAAGGAGTGGGGCATCTGTGTGTTGTCTTCTGCTACCTACATGGGTGTACAATGTAGAGAGGACGGATCATAGAATCATACAATGGTTTGGGTTGGAAAGGACCTCAAAACTCATCCAGTTCCAACCCCTGCCACAGGCAGGGACCCCTTCCACTAGAGCAGCTTGCTCCAAGCCCCTGTGTCCAACCTGGCCTTGAACACTGCCAGGGATGGGGCAGCCACAGCTTCTCTGGGCACCCTGTGCCAGCGCCTCAGCACCCTCACAGGGAAGAGCTTCTGCCTTATCTCCAACCTGAACTTCCCCTGTTTCAGTTTGAACCCATCACCCCTTGTCCTATTACTCCAGTCCCTGATGAAGAGTCCCTCTACAGCACCCTTGTAGCCCCCTTTAGACACTGGAAGCTGCTCTGAGGTCTCCACGCAGCTTCTCTTCTCCAGGCTCTTGGAGGCACACAGTGAAAGGACAAGTTGCAACAAGGGAAAATCCTAATAAAAGGAAAATTGTCTTCACACTAGAACTGGCCAGATTCCTGAGAAGGGACACACAGAAGCACACATGACTCCCTGAGCCTCAAATCCTGAAGATATCATTGGCAATGACACCTTCGTCCAGGCACATGGATGGGACTGCACACAACACCATGGATCGAAAGTGAAAATCAGTAGAAATAAGTAGAAAGTCCTCTTCAATGAAGGGCATTTGCACCCCATCATCTGGGAATCTTGCTCAGTGCTCTACGCTGAGCGGGCTATGCTCACCCACATGTAATGATATGAATACTTATAAAACCAGTAAGACCCCAGATATACATCCCTGGCAGTGTTCAAGGCCAGGTTGGACACAGGGGTTTGGAGCAAGCTGCTCCAGTGGAAGGGGGTTGGAAATGGATGAGCTTTAAGATCCCTTCCAACCCAAACCAGTCTGGGATTCTATGATATTTGAAGGCACATATAAATATTATTTACTATTTACATCTTTACCTTCTATAATGTCTGACTTATTAAAATAACTGCTCACTGTCCACCTGATCGCTGGTAACTATAAAATCCTGAATAAAAACCTTTTACCCCATCTGTCCCAGAAAGTCACAATCTGGAATGTTCTTACTCTTTCTCCCTTGGGTCCCAGAAGTCCCCGATCACCCTGCACACAGGAAAGAAAAGAAGACAGTGAGTGATTCCCTTTACCACACCTTTATGCCTTAACACAACTCTTCTTGTGTTGCTCAGTCCACTGATGCGCACTCCAAGCCACTAAGCTCTATCTATGCTGGAAGACAGCTCCTCTGGGCACTCTACATCCATGCAACTAGAATTTGTTGCACTGACAACAAATAAAGACTCAGAAAACTGAAGTGATTTGCCTGAATTTATGCTCAATACATCCACGATGTGAAGCTGCTGCTGGATTTCAACCTCCCAATGGGATGTAGGACTTCCATGCTGCAAGCATGTTCATACACTGAATCTAGGGTGGGATGGCATCCTATACAATACAGGATTTCCCACATTTCAACCTCAAATCTGGCATACTTTACTGTAAATCCATGGAATAGCAGCTGTTCCTGGACGTTTTTTATAATCCCTTACATTTGGGATGCAGTTCTCAGCACTGCACTTTCCATGGGTTGCAAGTGGGATGCAGAAGGAGACCAAGGAGACTCCCGCTCATCAGTGAGAATGAAAGGTTATGTGTTGCCTGTTGGGCACTCATTGTCCTCTCTAGCCCTCTTCCCCTAACCCTTTACATTTTGGGATTAACCAGATTATACCTGGGGTCACCTTCTGCCCAAACTCCCAAAGTTCCATTCAAAACCACCTAGGCACGCATAAAGACAGCACGTGCCTCATTTCAGCCCAGCCATTACAGGGGGCTGCTAATGTCACTACACACTGATTGAGGTCCCCTCCCAGTCCACTCCATAAAGTGCCTGGATTATCCCCACTGGTTTAACAGAGGCATCATCAGTGTGTGCTGTTGCAGATAAAGGCTCCCACAATGGTGCCTTTCTCCAAGGCACTGTGTAGATGAGATGATTGTTACTTACTCTTTCGCCTTTTGGACCCGGGAAGCCTTTCAAACCCTGCAGGAACATAAAACAACATGTGAAGGTAAATGCTAGCATGGGGAAGGTGTTAGGAAAGAGCAGACAATACTCAAAGGCAGAGCTGCTCCAAGGATGGGCTTCACCATGGAGAAGCTACTGGTAGGATCAGCACAGGAGCTTCTACTCTCCTTCGGCTGTTTTCTCTATTGGAGTGAATGTTACTATGAACAGGATGGTATGAAATTCCTCACAAGACCAAGGGTTATTCCAGTACCAGGTTTCACCCCAGGATCTCATCCCTGAAAGGCTTATTCTCATCTGGGGATCCCCATCACCTCCACCTGGAAGAGCCCTCTGGGAGCAACCCTTCCCTTACGGTGTCTAAGAGGTAGAGGCTGCCTATGTTAATGTTAAGGGTATGAAAATCACAGTATGTAGCTTGCAAAATCATAGAGGAGTCATGGAGTGGTTCGGGTTGGAAAGGACCCTAAAGCTCACCCAGTTCCAACCCCTGCCATGGGCAGGGACCCCTTCCACTAGAGCAGCTTGCTCCAAGCCCCTGTGTCCAACCTGGCCTTGAACACTGCCAGGGATGGGGCAGCCACAGCTTCTCTGGGCACCCTGTGCCAGCGCCTCAGCACCCTCACAGGGAAGAGCTTCGTGGCCTCCTCTGGACTTGCTCCAACAGCTCCATGTCCTTTTTATGTTGAGGACACCAGAAATCTCCCCTTTATTCTATTTTACCACTCACCATTATGCCAGGAGGACCCCGGATTCCCACGATGCCTTCATCACCCTGTTAGGATGAAGAAGGGTAGCGATGGACATCAGCAAAAAGAAATGCAACACACACAGTCTCAACTCTGCAAACCATCCCACTGGGGACAACAGGAATTAAGCAGAAGCTGAGATCCTCAAAGGAGTTGTCCAACCTCTTCACTTGTATCTCTGTCAGGATTAGGAACCGTAATGTTCCTATGGATCTGGATCAAAGAGCCTAAAGGGCTTGAGATCAGCCACATGTGACTGCAGGTAGACACTGCAGTGTTTAGAGAATAATGCTCTGGTCAGGTTGAATCTTCAAGCTTCAGCTTCTCCTCAGCCCCTGAGAGAAACAGGCATTTGTGAGATATGCATCTGATTTGGCATCATATAAATCACTCCATAAAGGTGTCTGTTCCTTCTGTTGGTATAGAGAGGCCCTGGTAGGACCAGCTCAGAAGAAGCCATTTGAAACTGGATGACCTGGTCTGTCCCTCCCCAGATGTACTTACATCTAACAAGGCAAGGGACAGAGCTGTGAGTTGTCCCTGGGATACAGAGGCTTATCCCCCGCTATTAGAAGCCTCAGTAGTGTTTCTGCACATAGATATCTCCCTGTTGAACATGATCCCAGCAGGACTGACACAATGAACAAGGCAGCCAGGAATTCATCTGAAAACTCATTCCACTGACTTTCAGAAAGAAGAGGCCACCAGTCAACTGCTCAACAGCAACTCGTACCTTTGGAGACCAATGTGAGGCTCATCTTCACACCCAGATGTGGTTTCCAGATGCTAGACCTTGTCCTGAGCCTCCCTTTAAGTGTACTGTTAGCTCCTTATGAACCTTGCTGTGAGGTATAGCTGTGCTGGTGGGTCTATGAAGTCCTTTTACGACCTCCCGAGGTAAATCCTACAAGACTTACATGTCTTTAAGATGCCTGAACTTCGTCATTGTCCTACGAGGCCCCTTTAGATCTCATACAAAGCCAATGCAGTTTGAGATTCTGTGATTCACTTTAGATTTACACTGGAGTCAGAAGAGCAGAAACATCATTTCATCATTTCCTCCCCGTAATGAAGCTTCACCCCAGACCTTTCACAGCTGGTGACATTCCCAGTAAGTGTTTTGTCTCAGGGGCCTCATTGAACACTTCCTCTGGCAGATGCAGAGTTTGTCTAAATGGATTGCAGCATAAAATGAGTTTATTTGTGCAACAGCCACAGAAGGAGCAACTTGAAACATGGCTTTTGAGTACAGCTCAAGAGGGGCTTTGCCAGAAGGAGACCAAAACTTCTCAGCAGGAGGAAGAAAAGGGAATGCTGCTGCCCCAGTGATGGGAGCTGGTTTCCCTCTGCCAGGAGAACAGGAGGGAAGATGGGAATGAGGATAAAGAAGCTGGAGGGAGGTTTCTGAAGGAACAAGCTTGCAGGTAGCATCCCCAAAGCACACAAACCCAAGGTGGTTCCTCAACAAGTCACTGGGATTAAAACACGCAGATACTGGGGTGTAGATATTGCCTTCAACACTCCCATCTAGCCAGTGAGAGCATAGCCAACACAGAAGGGCAGGATTCACTTGGCCATGCAGTTGGCCAGTGTGACCTGCAGTGATTGAGGGTGTGGAGGAGATGCTAATTGCAACCTATTGGACAGATTCTGCTCTGTGCCAGTTCCAGCTCCTGATGGACCAGTGTCCATCACCTCCAAATCTGGCTGGTGAAAAATTGAGGGGTCTGAAATCAGCCCTTTTGGCATCTTCTAAGATGGGTGAGTGGAAGTGATGCCATAAAGCTGTCTCCAAAAGAGGGTAGGCTGCAAGAAGCCAAGCCAGGAGCATTTATAGAGGGACCTACCTGAGGGCCAGGCAGTCCATGAGGTCCTCTTGGTCCAGCTGCTCCAAAGCCAATTTCTCCCTGCAGAACAGAGAAGCCCAGAGGTCTCACTTGGAGAAAGGACACCACATCACATGGCTGCTGATTAGTTTGGCCATGATTTAAGTCATAGAGTCACTTCCATTGAGTTGCTGATGCTCTCTCTGGAAGATGCTCCAGCAACCATTGGGAAGAAGGGCACGAGGCAGAAAGAAGGATGAAGTGGCTGGATGGGGTCAGGGGTAAGGAGACAGGGTTAGGGTTAGACTGGCACTGACCTTGTTGCCTTTGGGTCCCGGTGTCCCAGGAATCCCCTGTAGGGCAAGAAAAACAAAACAGAAAGGGCTTTGCTTTGCAATTCTCTGTCCTGGTGTCCCAAGAGGGTGAATGCACTCTCAGCCCAGTCCCAGGGCCTCAACCTCACCACCAGCCATCCCTCTGCTGCTCACAAGACACAGGGGCAAGGTACAGAAGTCACCTCCTTTCCTGGGGATCCTGGTGGTCCCGGGGGTCCAGCAAATCCATTCCGGCCTCTCTTCCCACGCTCCCCCTTGAAAACAAAACCCTTTAAGGAGGAGAACACCCTGATGGGAAAGGTTCTGCTTTCCCCATCCACACAGAGAGCAGGAGCTGGTGCCCTCAGGTGTTGTGGAATAGCCTCATTGTGTGGGCTCCTTGTTGTTGAAGAGAGGGGACTCCAGCTACATGGAGACCTGATTGCTGTCCACCACCCCACCTCCAGCTAAGTCTCCATGTTCCTGAAATAAGACTTACCCATTGCTTCCTCTGTTTCCAGAGGCTAAAGACCCCAAAACCCTTTGCTAACATCTCCTGTGCTATCATCACCTCTTTCCTTCCCAGTCTCCTTTCTCTTTCCCTTTCCTTTCTCTTTCCCTTTCCTTTCTCTTTCCCTTTCCTTTCTCTTTCCCTTTCCCTTTCCCTTTCCCTTTGCCTTTCCCTTTCCCTTTCCCTTTCCCTTTCCCTTTCTCTTTCCCTTTCCCTTTCCTCTTCTTTCCTCTCCTTTCTCCTTTTTCTTCCCTTCCCTTCCTCTTGAAGGACATCCCTCTGCACCAAATCTCTTGGCCTGTTTATTCCCTAACAATATCAGTTGGTCTAATCAATGTTGTTACCTCTCCTTCTGCAACCAGGCTTTGCTCCTGCTTCCCCGACTACATATAGACTACATACAGACTACATACAGGCATACAGAGGAGACCTGGATAAGTGGGAGCCTGACGCACAGTGCACACCCAGCACAGTCTCAATAGGGTTATCATTGTTCTCACCATAGGGTGGCTGACACAACACACGTTGATCCCTCACCTCACAACACCTACCTTCTGTCCTGGCATCCCGGGCAGACCTGGAGCCCCTCTGTCTCCCTGTGACCCTGGGATGCTGGGGTTGCCACGAATGCCCTGGATGCCTTGAGCTCCCGGAGATCCTGGGGCCCCTGGCTCACCCTGTTGAGTAGATCACAAGGAATTTGGGTCTTAAGTGGTATTAACTGCACCCCTAAAGGTCCTGGTAAAAGCCAGGGGTGTCCCCTTGAATTCACATGACCATACACAAAACACCAGTACCAGGACACCCCTCTATCACTGGTCCATAACAGAGGTCCTAGGGCTGGAGTCCTTGGGCTTGATGATCTTAAAGGTCTTTTCCAACCTAATTGATTCTATGACTCTATGAAAGGGCTGTACCGTGACTTTCTAAGCAGGGAGCCCTTATCTGCAGACCTTCAGAGCTCTCCAGTGAGTTCAACCCCTGCAGACCTGTAGCACACGGAACCACAGAATCCCAAGGGTTGGAAGGGACCTCAAGGGATCATCTGGTCCAAACCCCCTGCAAGAGCAGGGTAACCTAGAGTACATCACACAGGAACCTGGCCAGGCGGGCCTTGAATATCTCCAATGTGGGAGACTCCACAACCCCCCTGGGCAACCTGTTCCAGTGCTCTGTCACTCTCACAGTAAAGAAGTTCTTCCTGGTGTTCACATGGAACTTCCTATGCTCCAGTTTACACCCATTGCCCTTTGTCCTATCACTGGATATCACTGAAAACAACCTATCTCCATCATCCTGACACTCACCCTTTACATATTTGTAACCATTGATGAGGTCACCCCTCAGTCTCCTCTTCTCCAAGCTAAAAGACCCAGCTCCTTCAGCCTCTCCTCATAAGGGAGGTGTTCCACTCCCTTCATCATCTTTGTGGCTCTGTGCTGGACTCTTTCAAGCAGGTCCCTGTCCTTCTTGAACTGAGGGGCCCAGAACTGGACACAATATTCCAGATGCGGCCTCACCAAGGCAGAATAGAGGGGGAGGAGAACCTCTCTTAACCTACTAACCACCCCCTTTCTAATACACCCCAGGATGCCATTGGCCTTCTTGGCCACAAAGGCACATTGCTGGCTCACGGTCATCCTCCCATCCACCAGGACCCCCAGGTCCCTTTCCCCTCCACTACTGTCCAGCAGGTCAACCCCCAACCTGTACTGGCATCCCAGGGGATCACAGAAACACTTGTCTGCTGAGACTGCAATTCCCTGGATTTCTCACAGCCATATTTCACAGCCTGATCTAGTTGAAGATGTTCTTGCTCATTGCAGGGGGGGTGGAACTGGATGACCTTTAAAGGTCCCTTCCAACCCAAACCACTCTATGATTCTGTAATGTTTATCCTCTGGATCTCGCCTGCTTTGAACTGCCCCTTTGGAGGGCACAGAGCACTCATTCTGTCCCAGACACATATGATGGTGTTTGCCATCCCAGGCTGGGACTGGCTTTGGTGCTTTACCTTTGTAGCCACAGACAGATCTATGCTTCACATCCAGTGGTGGAAAGCCCTGGAAAAAACCCAAGTGAGATCCTATATAGCAGAGAAGAAAGGCTTACCTTAAGTCCAGGTGGCCCAGCCTGACCAATAGGACCTCTGAACCCAATTCCTGGTTCTCCCTGTGAAGAAATTAGGATCATTCCTTTGACTGTAGGCCCATGAGAATAAGAGCTTGCTTCATGCTGCTCCCTGAAGCCCCTCATAGCTTATCCTACATCGAGGGTTTCTACAGAGCCCTCACTGACCATCACATCTGCTCTGGATGATCTGAAGTTTTATCCAACCTGGATAGAAAAAGCTCCTGAGAGCATTTAAACAGCTCTAGAAAAGAAGGAACTGAGTTGTGGGAATATTATAGAATCATGGAATGGTTTGGGTTGGAAGGGACCTTAAAGCTCATCCAGTTCCAACCCCGGCCATGGGCAGGGATGAATTACCGTATCACTGGAGATGGTATCAGAAGACTCTGGATGAGACTCTCGTCTTCTGACATTACTCATTTATGAGGTAGGTGCTCTGTCTATGTGATCTGAGTCCCTCCCTGGTCAACAGCGAGACACCAGGTCCCTAGTGAGTGGCTGGCCACTAACCCCACATCTAAAAGGTTACCTGAACACCTTCCCCTGAGACAGAAAGGTCAGGGTGGCAAAAAGAGCAGAGTGTAAGAGTTGCCCCTGACTGTGGCACCAGCATTGTTCTTTACCTTTTGACCATTTTCACCTCTTTCTCCTTTGGTGCCCTATGGAATAAACAGAGAGTTACCAAGCTTGTGCAAGAAGCCGTGTGAAATATCACCTCAGTGCAGCCCTGAGCAAGAACAAAGGTTTCCAGCTGTGCTCACAGAATCACTCAATGGTTTGGGTTGAAGGGACCTTAAAGCTCATCCAGTTCCAACCCCTGCCACGGGCAGGGACCCTTTCCACTGGAGCAGCTTGCTCCAAGCCCCTGTGTCCAACTGGCCTTGAACACTGCCAGGGATGGGGCAGCCACAGCTTCTCTGGGCACCCTGTGCCAGTGCCTCAGCACCCTCACAGGGAAGAGCTTCTGCCTTATCTCCAACCTGAACTTCCCCTGTTTAAGTTTGAACCCATCACCCCTTGTCCTATCACTACAGTCCCTTATAAAAAGTCCCTCTAAAGCATAGGCTCCCTTCAGACACTGGAAGCTGCTCTGAGGTCTCCATGCAGCTTCTCTTCCCCAGGCTCAACAGCCCCAATGTTCTCAGCCTGTCTCCATACAGAAGGTGCTCCAGCCCCTGAGCATCCTCATGGCCTCTTCTAAACTCATAGCCAGAGCAACCGGACCCTCTGGCTTCCACCTCTTTTCCCTAGGGGAGACAGGCAGTAGCTATGTGCCTAGGGAAGAGCCAAATGCCCTCACACAGAGCCCCACTGCTCATGAGAAGGAGATGGAGAACTGGATTGACCCCATCAATATGGACTTTCCTATGGCAATCTCCACTGCTGGATTTGGGCCCCTCAGCTGGTAACACTGTCCTGCTCCAGCTGCTGATGCAGATCCACAGCTCACCTTTGTTCCAGGTTCTCCCATCTCCCCAGGCTGCCCCTGCAAGACAAAAGCCATCCACTTTCCAGCTCCCTCCATCCCTCCTCATGCCTGTGTGCCCAGGACTCTCCACTACAGAGGTGGTTAAGGGGTAGCCCATGCAAAGTACCCCTTCCCCATCAGGCTGTGCTTTTCAACAACCACCTGCCTTGTCTTCCTCCTGAATATCTGGGTCCCATCACCCCAGATCTGCCATTAGGTCCCTATAAGCCTTTGCTGCTAGAAGTGTTCATGAAACAGTGTTTTGTGTGGCCCCTCTTCCACCCCTGTCCTGGTGCCAGGGCTGGCTTTTGCCTGTCACTTGGTTTAGTCCATTGATCCAGCAGAAAAGGAGCATCAGGAAAACCTCCTGGATTTTTCCATTTGCTGCAAGGGGAGGAACAGAAACACGCAGCCAGATTCGGGGATAAAGGTGGAACTGCGACAATCCCAATTTATACGGGCACAGTCTCTCATACACCTGAATGTTATCTCCATCAGCACATCCCCAGCTGCCTCTCCTTTTCCAAACCCAGAGCCTTCTCCTGGTCTCAGAGGTTCAGGCCGAGAAAACACTATCACTACCTTTTCTCCTTTGTCTCCCTGGACTCCTGGAGCTCCCATTTCTCCCTGGAAAACAACAGGCAACTCTTTCAATTGCAAACACACATTGCCACAAGGAATTTTTCTTTCCCCCTTTAGACCAGGTGGGTGCTGCCCTCTTTCCTGCATCAGCTTTTGGCAAACAACTTTGGAGGAACCCCTCATTTCCACCACTTGTAACCCCAACCCCACTGGGGATGTCCCTGACCCCATCCCTCCTATCCTGTGCGGTGGAAATGCAGATGAGTGGTAAGCTGAGGATCTCCCTGCCCCAGGATACTGCAGATGTTAAAGGATGCAATGAGTTTGGGGGAGATAGAGAAGTCCACGGAGGACAAAACTATTGAGGATCCCCAAAACACAAACCCCACGTTTGGATCATCTATGAAAAGTTCAAGCCTGGAGTCATGGAATGGTTTGGGTTGGAAGGGACCTTAAAGCTCCTCCAGTTCCAATCCCCTGCCACAGGCAAGGACCCCTTCCACTGGAGCAGCTTGCTCCAAGCCCCTGTGTCCAACCTGGCCTTGAACACTGCCAGGGATGGGGCAGCCACAGCTTCTCTGGGCACCCTGTGCCAGTGTCCCAGGGAAAGTGCTCGTTGCCAGTGGCGAAAACAGTTGATTACTGCCTCTTGAACCTGCTGGCACCAATGACTCCTGGGCCACCAGATGAATCTGCTCTGGGAGGTGATCGCTATCCTGCCTCCCTTCAGGTGCTGTTTGGTGTCAGCATTAAAAGGTGAAGCAAAAGCACTGACCTTTTGGCCACAGGAGGGTGGATCTGCTGGGCCAGTTCCCTCCTTCTGTAAGGACAAAATGCACATATGGAATGGGGTTGGGATGTGGTGTGACAGCAGAAAGGACCAGCAGCATCCTCACTGTGCTCAGCTGCAATAAGAGGAGTATGACATGATGCTGTACCTTGATTCTCCTCGACTGATGAGGCCCTAGGTATGCCTTGAATGGAAAAGAAAGGAGGAAAGTGTGAGAGCAGTTGGAGAAACTTTCTGCCCTTGGGTCATGGAAAAGACACTTGTGAGCAGCAAGACGTTAGGCAGCAAGTGGAGAGGCTGGAGGCATCTCCCAGGGAAGCCACAGGATCACAAGAACCCCATTGAAAGGCTTCTGGTTGGATATGGGGTGGCTTCCAGGCTCCTTCTGACCTGCTACAGCATGGATGGGACATCTAAGAGCTGGTGCTGCCCATTGCAGATGGGCTGCCAGGAAATCAAGAAATGAACCATGAAGTCACGAGCCAAGAAATGCCTCAGAACCAGGCTTTTGGCAATAGACCTTAACCCTGTCCCTTCATGGAGAGCTATGATGGATGGAGTGGATGAGCTTAGCTCAGTGCTGCCATTCCCCTGGGAATGCAGGGTGAGGGGCCACTCACTGCTTTTAAAGGAATTCATTGAAACTCAGGGGAAATCTGTTCAGAATCCTTCATCTTCAGCTCTTAAATGTTGTGAAAAAACCCTTTGCACTTCCCCTCCCTGGGATATTGTGTTATAAGTTGACAATGTAATGATGCAGGTACATACGAGATGCATTTATAAACATATTTCACACATTTAAACACACATACAGATATCATCTAAGCCCTCAGGACACAAAACACCCTTCACTTACGCTGCCTTCCCCATGAACCAGGTTATTACGTTCCCTCATTGATTGAGTTTGATTTTCCCCACTTCTGTTTCCAAGGCCCTTGCTGATACAGGGACAACAATCCGCTCTGGCAAGAAAGATGCTTCTGCAGCAGCTCTTTCTTGGTTTATTTATTCATATCTATCAGTAACTTTTCACCCCACCCTCTACATTCACTATGACTTTGCACAAGTGGGCAATCAGCATTCCCTTTGTGTCCATACAAGACACCCTTGCATGGGGTCTTCACTCACCGCAGATCCAGGCAGTGATTTCCGAGCTCCCGAGGCACCAGGAGGATGAATCTGGAATGGAACCAACATGGGAAGGTCACCACTTCCTCCTGGATCACACTGGTGGCACATAGGCAAGTGCAAAGCTGCTGCAGTGAAATGGGGTGCTTACCTTGTGTGTCTTGTGCTCAGCAGATCTCCTGGCTCTAACATGCCCTGGGAGCACAGAGCCACCATCGGAATTCACATCTTCCTGGGGGAAGGGAAAAAGCACCCTTCTGAGCACCTCGTATTATATAGTATCAATAGTAATAACAACAACTACAATAATAATGAACATAACACTGCATCGAGCTCTGGGGCAGCAGCACAAGAGGGACGTGGAGCTGTTGGAGCGAGTGCACAGGAGGCCATGGAGATGCTGCGAGGGCTGGAGCAGCTCTGCTCTGGAGCCAGGCTGAGAGAGCTGGGCTGGGGCAGCCTGGAGAAGGCTCCTGAAGGGGAGACCTTAGAGCAGCTCCAGTGCCTAAAGGGGCTGCAGGAAACCTGGAGAGGGGCTTGGGACAAGGGCCTGTAGGGACAGGCCAAGGGGAATGGCTTGAACCTGCCAGAGGGGAGACTGAGATGAGCTCTTAGGCAGAAGCTCTTCCCTGTGAGGGTGCTGAGGCGCTGGCACAGGGTGCCCAGAGAAGCTGTGGCTGCCCCATCCCTGGCAGTGTTCAAGGCCAGGTTGGACACAGGGGCTTGGAGCAAGCTGCTCCAGTGGAAGGTGTCCCTGCCCGTGGCAGGGGTTGGAACTGGATGAGCTTTAAGGTCCCTTCCAACCCAAACCTGTCTGGGATTCTATGATTCTGTGATTATTAAAGCAATTCATTTTCTTCCATTTAAAAGAAATAAAACCCACCTAAAATATTGCAACTTCGGACTTCAAATGCCTCCCTGCCCCAGTCATGCCTGAGTAACACATCAGCTATACACTTACTGTACCTTAACATACCTGATTGGAATAAAACCATTATTAATGCCCATTAATGCCTACACGTTAACCTGCCACTTGGTGATATTTGCAGTGCTCAGGATTTAGGCTAATAAACTTTTAAGGCACACACAGTAAAGCTTGTGCAAATAGTTACTGGCATGGTTTGTTCTTCTTCATATTAGCAACGGTAAATTATCTACTTGCTGTTGTAAAGACGATGACATTCCTCACTGCTGGATATCTCTGGGTACAGCAGTGATTCCCTGAACCACACAGTGAGAGCACTGTAGTGTGGCTCTGGTGAATATCTTAATATATATGTTGATGTATAATAGATATAAATCTCTATATATACATAATTAAATATATATTATATACATATGAAGTATATATGAGATATATATATATGAATGAAAGCTCGGCATCTCCTTGCACCCAAACCTCAACCCTGCCAGAAGGACATGAAGGAGAGGGAAAAATCACTAGTTATTTAGCACTATTCCCACTTTTTTTTTTGCTGCAGAAACAAAGAGCAGGATTAATCTCAATTTATTTCATCTAAAAGTAAGCGTTGAGGCTTTTAGATGGTTAAAGTTAAGGGAAAGTAAATCCTAAGTGAAGGGCTTCCAGGAAATGCTGCTTGGGGCAGCCCTGGACATTACGCTGTCAGGTTTTTGGGGATAATAGCAAAATATCCTGTTTTGCTGGATATTCACTGCCCGGATGCGAGTTTTACCTAATGGCAAATGAACTCAGGAAGTTTCTGACTCACCAAAATACGTAAAGGATTAAAAAAAATAGTATTTTGGTCCAATTAAAATGGAAATTCTTTACTGAAAGACAGCGAGGGTGACGGAAGGAGGAATAAAAGACAAGTCAGGGATGTGCTGGTACAGCTTGTTCAGGGGAGGGCCCATCAAGGCTCTGTTTTTTAATGGGACAAGCAAGTGGAACATCTCCAGTGCTTACATGGAAGTGACTTAGATGGGTCAGATGGTCCCATTAGATGAGACCACGTGGATTTCTCATGATAGTTCATCCTTAACTCTTAAATGTTGTAAAAACCAACTCTTTGCACTGATAGCAAAGAACTTTTAGCTCTAAAACACTGCTTCTCTTCAGCACGGGTCCACGTTCAACTCACAGACATGCTGAACAGCATCACAAGGCAGCGGTAAAGCAAGAATGGGCTGCTGAGACCTGACTGAGGTTTGAAGGTGACCCGTGTGCCTTTCATCTCATAGAGCTGCCATTTACTGGGGTGCTGGGAAATTGCAGGGGGTAATAACTTGCCTTCCTTCTGCAATTCCTCTGCAATTTCAGCAGTTTCCTGCTTGGAGGTGCCAGCAATAAGGCACCTCTAAGGAAAGGAGGGAGGCTGCTGCTTTCTAAAGGAATGATTTACTGAGGGTGGGTGACGGTGTGAAAAAGAAGGGAAAAGAGAGGAAGAAGGAAGGAACAGACAAAATTAGAGCAGGGAAGAGAAAAATGACAATAAAAGGGGAATGAAACAATATGCCAAAAAACACAGGAAAAAGGGAAAAAGAAGAGGCCAAGCAGATACCAGGCAGGAAAATTGTGACTATGGGGTTATCCACATGGAGATAACCAGGATAACCAGGGGCATTTATCTGAATTAAGTCTAAAAATGAACTACCTTTACTGCATGGGAGATGGAGGAGGCAGGGGTTGGCTGTTAAGGTCTTGGAACACCAAAGAAGCGGCTCACCCATAGAAAGAGTAACCGGTCGCTGCTCCTTGCACAGACACACGTACCTGGGCTCATCCTGCCTCTGTCTATCAGTGAGTTTGCTTCCCCATTAACTCCTGCCAGGCAGTAATTGCACCTCTGAGATGAAGCTCTTGGGCTATTACTGCTGCTTCTCTCCAGGGCCTCATGAACCTTTTAACAGGTAAAATTTGTGATTACAGCTGCTGCTGACAGGAAAACAACTGGCTCTCTTCCGCTCCCTTCGCATCACTGGGTTCACTCTGAGAGCCTAAATGAGCTGGAGCTGCAGGGAGAGAGGGGCTGCTGCTGTTCCCCTGCCTCTGGACCACACTTTTGCATCCTCCTGAGGATAAAAGAGACTTTACACCAACTGCAAGTGAGGAAAACACTCTTGGGGTGCAGATCCCATCGTGCTGGTGGGGGTTGAAGAGCCTTAAACTTGTGGCAGCCCTTCCACTTTTACAAACACCCCTACCAAAATGGGGATCATAGAATCCCAGACTGGTTTGGGTTGGAACAGACCTTAAAGCTCCTCCAGCTCCAACCCCCTGCCATGGGCAGGGACCCCTTCCACTAGAGCAGCTTGCTCCAAGCCCGTGTCCAACCTGGCCTTGAACACTGCCAGGGATGGGGCAGCCACAGCTTCTCTGGGCACCCTGTGCCAGCACCTCAGCACCCTCACAGGGAAGAGCTTCTGCCTTATCTCCAACCTGAACTTCCCCTGTTTCAGTTTGAACCCATCACCCCTTGTCCTATTGCTACAGTCCCTGTCGAGGAGTCCCTCTCCAGCATCCCTGTATTCCATCCTCAGATACTGGAAGGCTGCTACATTCATCACACACACGAGCAGGAAGGGTGATGCTATCTGCCTATCTTTCCAATAGCTCTTCATTTGATAGGGAATTCTCTGGACTGGGATTCAGGGAAAGGTGTTTGATAACACCACAGCTCAGGATTGCACCAACGATTACTGCCAAACACCTTGATGCAGCATCACTGTAGGGTAGCACTGACATTGCACCCACTAATCCATAGGGCTGTTGACCACCAGCCCCAACAGGGCAGCAGGTCATCTCTGCCAACCCAAAGTGAAAACTTTTCCCTCTCCCAGCCCTCTTTGCTCTGCTCCTGATAACCCAGGGAGCGATGGACAGGGAATCACCTTCTCATCCCATCTCCCTCCAGCCTGCTCCCGGGGTTAATCAACTTGAGCTCTAATTTCCCCTTTGAATTACAAGTATTCAGCTCCCTCCCTCTGGCTCTCCTCTGCCTTTCACCACAAGATTAAAGAGCTCTTTAACATTCGGTATGTTCTCCCTGTGAAAACCTCGGATGCAGAAATCAAGTCATCTCAGGCACTCTGAACTGGGCTAAAAAGTGACCAGTCTTGGGTCTCTGGTGATAAATGAGCCTGAAAGCTGCTTACAAATCAGTTTTGGGGCTCTGCTCTGAACTTCCCATGGGGATTTAATAACAAAAGCATTTCCAACAGGACACAGAGATTGGGTTTGGTCCTTGGGATGCAGGGATTAAATTAACTGCTTATAATGATGAATGAGGACAGTTCTTTCTGCCCAAATGCCACAGTTGACAGGGCCACACAGTCCTTTTTCCTTCCCAGTGCCAATGGCCACAGTGTCTGGGCACAGAGATGGACTTAGCTTCCAGACATCCAACAAACAGGGATCACTCCCATTTCATTGAGGAAGGAGATGCTGTGTGAGGTATTCTGATTTATTAAACAACTCCACACAGGGATGTATGTGTAGCCTTTAGGAATCTGCTTCCCAAAAAGCATCCAGAACAGCTGGATGTCCACAGTTTCAAATGGAGCGACAGATTCGGGATACCCCCATTGCATGGTCTATGGGTACAGGTCCATAGGGACTGAGCTCTACCTGCTTTCAAGAGCAGGACACCAAAAAGCTGCCACCTCAGCCAGCATCGTGCAGCCCAATCCCATAGGAAATGAGGGGGTTTAGGCTCCATCCATTTGTTCTTCCAGGTATTTCTCCAGCTTAACCATTCCCAGCCAAGCGAAATGGTGCATCCAGGAGGAGAAACAAAGCTGATGGATGTTCATGGCACAGGCCACCATCTCCAGAGCTACAGCGAACACACATACAGATATGTGGGGTGTGTGAATGTGTGTTTGTGCTGGGAGCCCTCTCGTGGCTGCTGCCACATCCTTTATTCCAGCTCCATGATTCAATGTGTGTTAGATGGAAGCAAAAGGGTTCAGCAGATCTCCTCCAACAGCATCTCCCCACTGTGAGCTACTCCCTCATTGCTATGCCTATACACTCATTAATGCTGTTCCTATCCATAACTGTGGCTGTAGTTGTAAGCAAACAGCAAAGGGATTTTTCAGTTCATTTTTTAAGCCTGTTGGGATCCTGTCTCCGAGTATTCCCCAAAAGAGCATTCCCCCCATCACACAGCAGCACATCATTGTGCAAAGGTGTTAAAGCAGCACGGGATGAAGGCATTTTCCCTCTCCATCACTGGGGATGGTGTCACTCAATGTTAGGGTCTGTGCACTTACAGTTACAATGATGTTCAAAGTGGAGGGTGCTGGGTCTGGTACATGGCAGAGGAGCATGGTTTGGGTTCTCAGGACAAAACGCATACCAAGGAGGGCAGAAACCAAAAGGGAAACTGGATGCTAGGGATCAGACAACCACACTGCAGCAATCTCACAACTTACTGCCCATCAGCTGAGCTGTGGTAACTGCTGCTACCAGCTTGAATGCACCCTCCAACCTTGCTGAAAATGTTATAATCTCTTACACATACACTTTTAAACCAGCTCTAACTCCTGCCTATGGAAGAACCCTCTACTTTGCTGCTGTCCTGTAGCTAAAGTGCAGCAACAAACCACTTTAGACCTTGAAGGAAGAGGTAAAGTGAATCACTCTGCATCATGTTTCAACTGGGACATCACCTTGGCTCACGCGATGCACAAAGGCTCATTACATTACAATTTGCCCTTGTTGGTGAGTCCTTAAAAAGGAGAAAATCCCAAATTCCTGCTTAGACACTAAAATCCTCTTCTTTAAAAGAGTCAACCTCCGCATTCCACAGCTGGGCTCAGGAGGGTGCATACCAGAGTCTAAAACACTAACTCTGTGCAGGGAAGCCACAGGGTCTATGAACTATTCTGAGATACCTATGGAAAGTAAGTAGGCAAAGGAAACATCTTATCAGGACATATCTTCACTGTCTGGGGTCTGTGTTGTTGCTGGAGCTGAGTTTAAATAGTACTGAGAATCATCAAGTATTCAGTCAGCCAAGCCCAGATAATGGATGGATGCTGTGGCCAGATGGATTTGGATTAGGAAGAGATTTCACTTCTTTTTCCCACAAAACATTTTCCAAGGGCTCTGTCTGTATGCATTGGACATGGTTGGCCATGAGCTTCCAGCCCAGGTCCCACTTCCAAGTACTACTGTCCTGCAGGGATGTGCGAGGAGCTGCCCCAGAGCAATGGTTGAGAGATGTGCATCCCGGTCACTCCCAGTCCATCACTTATCTCCATAGTGGTCTAATGCCCAGAACTGCTGGGGAAGACCTACATGGCTGATGTCCTGCTGTGGTTGTCCTTCCACCCTGTCCTCCAAGGACTCCTGAAGCTCCGTGGACTGATTTCCTTGTACATCGTCTTCTGGGTGTGATGGGGGCGCAGCCAAGCTCTGCAGAGGGTGATGGATAAGTGACAACGTAGTATCACTAATAACCAGGGCAGAAGATGGAAAGCCAGACCCTTTTCCAAGCTCTGACACTGATTCATGCAGAGATCCTTTTCCTTTCTCTAACTTAGTGTTTCACTGCAGTAAAATAGGGCAAACCTCACAGAACTGCAGTGATTTGTCCAGTCAAGCTCTAAGAAGAGTAACTCCTTTGCATCTATTAAACCAGCACTAATGAAAACCTAATTAAAAGTCACCGAACAGGCATTTACTTACACTGCTGAGAGAAGTGTTTGTCCCTTTTGAGTCTCTCTGCTTCCTTCCTTCCTCAGGTGTTTTCTCCAAGGGCTCAGGAGGGTCTCCTAGGGACTGATACTCAGGTTCAGAACCACCAGCAGAAGGCCCCTGTGGAGACCAAAGCAAGTTACTGCCTTTCCTAAGCCAAGACATCATCCACAATACACTATCAACGCTGCCATTTATCCAACAGCAAGCTCAGAGCCAGCAGGACAAGGCTGGGGAACCAAGATGCCAAGACCTTTCTTGCACTTTACTTTGGCAAGTGCCACCTAGACGGGCTGGCCCAGATGGTCCCCAACCCCTTCTGCCAATTCAGATGGGCTCCTAAAGCCCAACAGAGACAGTTTTGGTGTCCCTGTACCTCAAATCCCAGCAGTTTGGTATGCTGGTATGCATCCAGTTTGTGTCTCCTGGTGCAAACACATCTACTGGTGAGCACTTCATGCCCTCTCAAGCTCCTAAAGTGCTACCATCATCTAGGTTGCAATGATCCTGAAAAGCAACACATCTCCCCTGAGACCACAGCAGGAGCCTGGGGCTGAGAAGGGATGAGCCTGGCTCACCTTGCCTAAGTGCCTGGGCAACAGGGTCATCACTGAACCAACCAGAGGAAGACAAAATCATCAGGAGCTGGCTCCAAACAGCTCTTGTGCTCCAGTTAGAGACAGCATTTCCTACCAGTGACCTACAAGAAGAGGATAAGCAAAGCCCCACCACTGCTGCAGGCACTATTTCCTGGACTATCTCTTATCAGGACTGTCTGATCAGGCAAATTAAGATCCATGACTCCTCCAGCAGCTATGAGATGATCTGGATATAGCCCTCTGATGTCATTCATGGAGGTGTGCTGCAGTTTGGGTCCAGCATGGAGAGTTAGCCTTTAAATTGCTAGTAAGTTCCTAATTCCCATAAACACAACCTGTTGCTTGAAGTTGCAAAGGATGCAGGTGACTAGATCACCTATAGCAGTTAGCCTGGTTACTGAAGCAAATGAGGGCTGTGGAGTCATGGTAGGGACTCTTCTCTTGTGCAGTCTCAATCCAATCTAACAGCAGGATTGGCTCTATTCTTGCCAGGGCAGGAGAGATGCACCTTGACTACAGCCTCCAAGTGAGGAGAAGTTGCAGGGCGTGTTCAACATGTAACCAGCATGGAATGGCTTGAAACCAGCCCAACCTGTGCTGGGTTTTGGCTCAGAAGACAAGGGTGGAAAGGAAGGGAGGATGAAGATCAGAAGGAGGCATCATTGGAACACGGAAGCTCACAAGAAGCTTGTATACATTTGATATGCAATCTCCTAATGTTATTTCTGCCCCAGACCAGATGGAGCATAGATCCACACTTCATAGAATCAGAGAGTGGTTTGGGTTGTAAGGACCTTAGGATCATCCAGTTCCAAACCCCTGCCACAGGCAGGGGCACCTCACACTAGATCATATCACCCAAGGCTATGTCCATTGTCTTTGTAACCACCCTTTAAACACTGCAATGAGCTCATCACATGTGAGTTCTTGGAGCTCAAGTTTGTCATCACCACATCAACCCATTTATTTTGATGTTGCAATCACTGGTGTTTGATACTACTCATAATGCCCCAGTCAGCACGGAGGTAACAGAAGCAGCACAGAACCTGGAGGTGGAGGATCAGTTTAGGGTGCCAGGGTCTGCAGACTCCCTAAGGTGAAAATAAACAGCAGAACAGATGGATGCTGGAGAGGGGCTCTTCATCAGGGACTGGAGTGACAGGCCAAGGGGTGATGGGTTCAAACTGAAACAGGGGAAGTTCAGGTTGGAGATAAGGCAGAAGCTCTTCCCTGTGAGGGTGCTGAGGCGCTGGCACAGGGTGCCCAGAGAAGCTGTGGCTGCCCCATCCCTGGCAGTGTTCAAGGCCAGGTTGGACACAGGGGCTTGGAGCAAGCTGCTCTAGTGGAAGGGGTCCCTGCCTGTGGCAGGGGTTGGGACTGGATCAGCTTTAAGGTCTTTTCCAACACAAACCATTGCAAAATCCCATGGCTTCTAGCTACTTCCATCAACAATAACAGTAGACTGATTGCTTTATTTTCACTGAAAAGAGTGTTTTGCAATCCCATCAGTTTAACCTGAAGATCCAGAATTCTGATATGCGCCATTAGCCTCTTCCAGCTTGACTGTTTCTTCAAGTGGCTTCAAGTCACCACAACCTGCTTAATGACAGAGGTGACCCTGAATCCTTCAATGACTCATTTCTGAATCTCATTTCCTCCAAGGTCTGTGTGCCCCAAGGCTGACAGATGACAATACTCACACTGTGCTCAGTGACATGCAGAGCTGCTGGCTTTCTCATGGAGGTTTGGCTTGTCTTGGAGCCACTGAGCTGCTGCACCAGCACATCCAGCCCATCCCGCAGGAGTGCGTTGGAGAGGTCCTTCAGCAGTGCCAGCTGCAACCAGTAGAGACCATTAAGGCAGTAGCACAGTGCACCCTCCTGCCTAAGAGCTCATCTCAGTCTCCCCTCTGGCAGGTTCAAGCCATTCCCCTTGGCCTGTCCCTACAGGCCCTTGTCCCAAGCCCCTCTCCAGCTTTCCTGCAGCCCCTTTAGGCACTGGAGCTGCTCTAAGGTCTCCCCTTCAGGAGCCTTCTCTTCTCCAGGCTGCCCCAGCCCAGCTCTCTCAGCCTGGTTCCAGAGCAGAGCTGCTCCAGCCCTTGCAGCATCTCTGTGATATAACATGGCGAGCTGTAAAAGGACATGCCATAACCCTGCCTTCTTGTGAGTGCAGTGCTGGACCTGGGTGAGCACACATCATCTCCAGAAGGCCACAGGGAACAGATAGAAAAGCTTAATTACAATCACCTTGTCAGAAGAGGGTCAAAGCTTTACAAATATGTAAAGGGTGAGTGTCAGGATGATGGAGCTAGGTTTTTTTTCAGTGACGTCCAGTGATAGGACAAAGGGCAATGGGTGTAAACTGGAGCATAGAAGGTTCCATGTTAACATCAGGAAGAACTTCTTTGCTGTGAGAGTGACAGAGCACTGGAACAGGTTGCCCAGGGGGGTTGTGGAGTCTCCTACATTGGAGATATTCAAGGCCCGCCTGGACAAGTTCCTGTGTGATGTACTCTAGGTTACCCTGCTCTTGCAGGGGGGTTGGACCAGATGATCTCTTGAGGTCCCCTCCAACCCTTGGGATTCTGTGATTCTGTGAAAGCATTCCTACCTTGATACCATTTGCTTCAAAAAGCCTCTCCAGATCCTGCAAGAGGAAAGAAGGGTCAGAACTTCCCCTCTCTTGTCCAGACCAGGAAGCTGGTGCTGTGGGTGGCAGACAGCTAAGCTTATGGACCCAAACCGGGTCCCCTCTGGCACCCTAACCCCAGACAGAGGGAGGTGTTTCCAACATCAATATGCTCTGTAAATCTTATTTACCTGCATTTCCACTCCTTTGCCTGGTGGACCCGGTTCTCCCTTCAAATGAACAAGAACAACCCATTAACTAAGTCATTATCCCAGTGAGTAGCGAGAAGAGAAGCTCTGAGAAGGGGCAAGAGTCACATATGTGACTCTTACTCTGCTACCAGCTGATGCTATAACCCCAGATTAAGCCCCATCAGGCTCAATCCTCCCCTGGTCAATGGGCTCCTTCACTCCTCCATTGAATACAAAAGCTGTCTGCATATATAGGGCAGGTATGGACCAGAGCCAGACAAGAGCATCATCAAAATGACGTTTGGACCAGAGCTTTGCACAATCCCCTTCTCCAACTCTTGGCTATGTTCAACATGTAAATAAGCAACAGTATTTGAGGCCCCTTGGTGCCACCAATGCTGTCACTGTGGTGGCAGCAGTGCCGAGGTAGCAGCAAAGAGAAGGGTGGCCAAGGTGCCACCATGGTTGACAGCCCCTTCTGGATGTGGCCAGTGGTGCTGGTGGCCCTACTTCACACGATGCAGTCTGGGTCAAATACGGGTTGGATACCCAAGAGCAAGTCACATAGTCAGGCTGTCCATCTCTCCTTGCTCTCATGGTGACACTCTCCATGTGAGTGATCCTCCACCACCACCAAAGATGAAGCTACAGATGAGCTGCAATGGCTTGGGAGGTCCAGCACTGCAGCAAGGGACATCTGCTGAGGTGGGGGTGACCTGCCCCTCTGATGGGCTTCATTTCACTGAAATCTGCTGTCTGCATTGACAGATTCCGGTGGAATGAAGGGCACCAGGAAGGCCCCAGTGGTGCTGCAGCTCCATGCCAAGGTTAAGGATGCATCTCCATGAGGTGCAGGAACTGCAATGGTGCGCTGGTTGAACTGGGTACATCTGAGGCTCCTGGATAAGTCTTTGCCTTTACAAGGACCTGGATCTCATGCCAATCAGGAGATCTACCTGTACCCACTGATGCTGCTTTCTGTACCCTTTTCCTCTCCATCGACTGAAGGAGTTGGTTCCAACTCTAAAGTTCTCTAGATGTGTGTGGTATCAGAAGCCATTTCTTTCATCCCTTTCTGATGTGTTCTTCAACTTGCAGTGGGGAGGAAAGGAAAGAAACATTCCTGAACAGTTTAGAACTTCATTCCATTCAACTCCTCAACAACATCTCCTGACCTGAATATTGTGTATCTGCTTCATGGAGTTGTAGGACTACATCATCACTGTGACCACACGCTTCTGAGCCCATCTCAGAAACTGCTTTGAAAACCCAACCTTTTAGAGAGCCAGAAGAGACGTGAGATGGATGCTCTACCCCTCCCCAACACAATGGCATCAACACAAAGATGATCCACGCATTCAGAACATACCTTTGGGCCCGGAGGACCTCTTTCGCCTTTCAATCCATCCTTCCCTCGATCCCCCTGTAAACAAGAAGGAACATGTTCGTTCTTTGATCCCTCTACAATTGCTAGTGAACATGGTGGTTTCATCATACATTGTGGCATTTCTTGCTTGCTGGCCCCAAACTAACAGCACTTTTTTCAGATGGACCAGCCAGCCTTGTCTTGTAACTATCATACTAATTCACACAATGAAGTTAAATTTGGAGCAGCTCTGCTTTTAGAAACACAGAATGGTTAGAGTTGGAAAGGACCTTAAGATCATCCACTCCCAACCCCCTGCCATGGGCAGGGACACCTTGGAGCAGGTTGCTCCAAGCCCCTGTGTCCAACCTGGCCTTGAACACTGCCAGGGATGGGGCAGCCACAGCTTCTCTGGGCACCCTGTGCCAGCGCCTCGGCACCCTCACAGGGAAGAGCTTCTGCCTTATCTCCAACCTGAACTTCCCCTGTTTCAGTTTGAACCCATCACCCCTTGCCCTATCACTCCAGTCCCTGATGAAGAGGATGATGCACTGTGGTTGGAGGATCTTTGTTGCTAGAGGTGGGAACAAGTATTTGCTTAAGGAGTTTCAGGCTATGTTTGCAAACTCTGTCTCGTAAAAGTAATGAAGCTACAGAATACACAACATGTGGAAAATAATCACATATTGAACTTCAATACCCACCTTCTGCAGCAAGGAGCTCTTACCTTGTCACCTTTCAGGGTAATGGTGTTCTCCAGAGAAGATACCTGCCAAAAAAGAGCAAGCTTTTATGCTTTTCTGTGCCACAGTCTCCTTGCAGCATCAATAACACACCACCTGTGGAGGGATTCATGCATATACCTATAGAGGAGCTAGCTGCATCGCTTTGCACCTTCGATAAGGCTAGAAGATAAATCCATTCCATAACATGCATGGTTGGAAGCAATACATTCTGGCAATGTGTCCTCTGTGGTACCCAGGATTCATGATAAATCCCAGTACGCCCCTTCCCTGAACAAATGTCTAGGTCAACAGCAGTAGGTGCTACTCACAGTGCTTCCAGGAGTGCCAGGCAGCCCAGGCTCACCCTATGAAGATACCCCCAACCCCGAAACCCAATAGTGAGTGGTGCAATTCAACATTTGAGCCCCCTAACAGACTCTTTCTCATGCAAGGTTATAAATGGGAATGTGCAAACCTACAGGTTCACCCTTGTCTCCTTTCTCTCCAGTGATCCCCTAGGAGGTGGAGAAAGAAACAGGATGAGAACAAGCCATGGTAGGAGATCTCAGCAGTCTCTTGCCAGCTGAGTGTTTGATGGATGAATAAGCCCATCTTTGAGCTAATGAAATCTGGGTTTCAACATCTCTCCTGTGATGGGTTCTCTGATATGTAATAAGGGGTGGGATTATGAACCTCTGCCTCAGTGGGAAGGCTCAGCAGGGACTTCCCTCTACTCAGTTTCACAACGTATGCAGAAACACCATGTCTTTGAGATCTCTGACAATGCTTCCCAAAGTCTTAGTGCTTCCCAAAGCTATTAGAGGGAGACCACACAATGCATAAGTGCGTAATTACCTTTCCTTACCCAATAGACTGAGAAGCATTTTGTTTCCAACAGTGTGGGTCTGGGGAAGGTTTTGTACACTCAGAACCCCCCCAGTGCCCATCCTGCTCTTTAATCTGTGCTCTAGGTAATCAATCAAGAGGGAGAAACAGCACTGATCTTCCCTATGAAGAGGAGATGCCCTTCCCCAGAAGACAGGGAGGGAGCTTTCTATGCCTTGCAGACGGTAAGGCAGAAGAAGAATATGGCTTTCTCCAATTGGCATTGCACTATCCCAAGTCCACCCTCCCTCAACTGCTCCTTTAGGGATTGCCTTACATCCTTTCCAGGTTGTCCGGTGTCGCCTTTTATCCCCTTCTCTCCAGGCCGTCCTGGGAGCCCTCGTGGACCCTGTAAGGAAGGATTTGGGGAAGCAAACAGAAATAGAGCTTCCAGCAGCTCAGGGAAGTAAATCCAACTAGAATGTTATCCCCTCCATGACTTTTCATGCACACGGATGTTTCTAAGTGGGGACTTTCATTGGGATGGAGAGGGAAGGAGCAACCTCCTCTGATGCCCCATCGTAACCTGGGCAGAAAATGATAGTAATAGCAACTATTACCCTGATTCCCCTCTTTCCTGGCTCTCCAGGGGCACCAGCTTCTCCCTGAAAGAGAGGAGTAACAGCTTTTAAAAGCTTGCTTCCATCAGGTTGAACCTTTATTGGTGATACTAATTTTACTGCACTTAAACCTGGAGGAAAAGTTTAATGGGAGAGAACCGAGTACACCTACCATTCAGTGGCTCTAAGGCAGGTTAGATCTCCTCTTTGGCATTCTTAATGTTTGGAAAGCCAGGACAAAGACAGGTTTATGGGATGTCTTAAGTTAGGGATGGTGTTTTACAGCAGTCCCATAAATGAAGTAAATGGGGCAGAAGGTGTAGGGTGACTGTAGAGTGTTTATATTTAGGGGTAGAATGAGGTTATTTCCACCAAACCCCACCGTTATTTATGGCAGTCTGTTTCCCACATCAGCTGCAGAGCAGAAGAACTATCTCCCAAAGAAAGCATCGTTTAGTTGTTTTTTGGTCTTTCTTTTTCAGCCTGTAGCTTTGGAAGATGAAACCAAAGCTAAAGTAAGAGAAAGAAAAGCCAAGGGCAAGATGAAGGGGATTCTTCATGGTCTCACCTAACCTAAGTACAAGTAAACAGGGAATATAGTGAGCATGGGTCAGCTTCAAAACAAACCAAAGGGATTTGTTTTCCAGCTGCTGTTTCATTAACCTATGCAGTGCCTTGCCCAGGGTTTTGAGGGTGATACGGGTTTATGTGGGCTGGAAATTAACGGAAGCAAAGTCTTCCAAGGGCTATTCAACCCATGAGACATCACCTCTCACAGAGGACATCCTGCTTTTGTATTGGTCTAAAGATGTCCAGGGATGTTTGTCACTGTTGGGGATGCTGGGCTGGACAGACCTTCACTCTAACTCAGTGCATTCCCTCTCTACACCACTATACCCACAGCTCCAGCTCTGAGCTGCATTTGGTCCTCATGTAACTCCGGGAGTTGTGGGCTCCCCATTGATTACCTTGGTCCCAGAGGTGCCTTTCCTCCCTGCTTCTCCCTACAACACAATGCAGAAGTGCTGGGTTTCACTTCCACCCATGACCAAGTCCTTTTTACCCTAATTCCCTACTCAGGTTAAGAGCTCTTGCTTTGACATCACCAGTGACTGAAGTCAGGGTGTGGAGCCTCAGGATCAGAAACGTGGCTTCCCTTGATGATCCCATTCCACTTGATCTTGAGGGACCAACTCAGTCCTTTGAACTGAAGAGATGTCTTCACTGCCTGTGGTTAGCAGAGGCTTTCCAGAAGCCAGTTATGATGCATTTGTGAGGGACCACCTTGTTTGATCCTAAGAAGTAACTATTATGCCCTCAAACCACAAGCAAGCCCTTGAGGGCTGCTGTGGCTGCACACTGTGCTAGTTCCCTAGTTCCATGACTCAATGATGAAAAAACATGATGCTGAATAACATCATGAATAAACATGGCCTAAAGCACACCCTGATGACAACATGCAAAGGATCTGCCTCCTCACTTGCAATGGGAGAGCAGGCAGATCAAAGGAGAAATTAGAACCCTCGATGAGCAAACCATCACGTCTAATCAGAGGTAGTTGTCCACAACCAGTTGTGTTGAGACCTGTCTCTTCCCCAGCCTGTAGAAGATGAATGAGTGGTCCCATCCTGTCACTTGTCCCTACTTGCTACTGCAAGGGCATAACGTGGAGTTGTTAGCTTGGTACAGAGCAGTACACCAAGCGGTTCAGCACGACATCAATCTGACTGGATTGATAGCTTCTACTTACATCTTTACCTCTTAGTCCGGTCTTGCCTGGTTTCCCAGGTAATCCTGGTTCACCTTTCTGTCCCTTCAGGCCTGTATCCCCCTAAAGAAAACAAGACTGTCGTTACATTCCTCTTCTGCATTTCATCGTCCTCATACTTCAGACACTATGCCCAGGTCCTATAGCCATGCAATTGCTTCCACGCTCCTGACTGAAGCTTGGGCTCAGAGCATTACCCTGTCCTATGATGGGCTGTGTTTATACTGCTTGCTCAGTGGGTTAGGCTGGAAAGCATCCATCTCTAATGCAGTCCATCCAGACTACACAACCAGCCTTGGCAGACACTGCAGGACAGACCTTTATGAGGTTCTCCACCTCCAGGAAGCTCTGTAGCTCAGCTGAGGTGGCCCATTAGCAGAGACCCAGGAGATGGGGCCTGTCTTGAGAGCATGGTGTGGACACAGGATCAGTTCCCCCTCCATGTTTTAAGTATTCCAGTGTAAAACCAGTTGAGCTCTCATTGATGGGTACCTGATTGATCTTTGTAAAAGTCACTTTCCTCATCACTCAACCACCTCACCATGCCTCATCCCAACCCAAAATACCCTTTGCTGCCTTTTCTGCTTTGCAACAGCATGGACACATCCTGTCTTGGATGTCTCTCCTTTACTGCTTTTGACATCCAGTTTCTCCATGCCCGTGAAGCTGATCCAGACTGGATATCCTATTCACTGGGCTATGTATGCATCATGCTGTAACATTTCCCAGATCCACATGCTCCTTCAGCCCAGCCTGGGGAGCAATGCTCTTTGAGAAATGCTCACAGTGAGACAGATTCATTGAACACCACATTAGGGATGTTTCTCTCGACTGTTTTAGAACCTTTGCAAGGAGGAATCCTAAAAGCCAGGATTTGCAGGGTTTTTTAAGGCCTTGTTAAAGATTGAAGAGCACCTTTTCATTGTTATTCTATGCAGGGCTCTGTGTGTCACACAGAGACTCGAGCAAAGCAGGACCTGTTTGGACCTTTCAGTGTTTAAGCCCTCCCCATGTTTTGACACAAGCCCCATGGCAATGATAAACCACCCCTGACTCAAGTTGCCTTGGGTGACACAGACATCAGTACATGTTGCAATCACTGCACACACTCACCTTCTGCCCTGGTTTGCCAGACAAACCTACATTTCCCTGCAGAGATACAGGCCATTAGTCACACGGAAAGAATGATACACGTAGAATAATCTCATAGAACCCCAGACTGGTTTGGGTTGGAAGGGACCTTAAAGCTCCTCCAGTTCCAACCCAGCCACAGCTTCTCTGGGCACCCTGTGCCAGCGCCTCAGCACCCTCACAGGGAAGAGCTTCTGCCTAAGAGCTCAGCTCAGTCTCCCCTCGGGCAGGTTCAAGCCATTCCCCTTGGCCTGTCCCTACAGGCCCTTGTCCAGGTTTCCTGCAGCCCCTTCAGGTATTGGAATTTAGGCACTGGATTTCGGGTGAAGGTCCTTCTGTTGTATCTAAAGGGTGCAAACATCAGGCTCACTGCTGCAAAGCTGCTCTTTGAAACCATTAATACTTGGTTGACCACCTTTGATAGAAGGTTGAGGACCACAAAGGTGTAAGCTTTGCAAGATTTTGCTGCTTTAAAATCGAAGGGACTATTGATGCCCATGTAGAAGGGCACACCGAGGCATTAACCCAACCCTTACTAGGTATCAGTGAACTCACATGGGAGCCAACAGAAGCTTGCACCTTCTTAGACACAGTTCCAGGAAGATAAAGGTCAAGTTCTCTTTTAGGACACGAAACCTTTGGAAATGGGGCTTCCTTGGCTCTGCTGTTTGCAGAGTTACCAGTTGAGCACTGACCATCTGTGCCCTCTTGCATGCTCATGAGTGATCCTCTTTCTGCACGCCTTTGCACTGACTGTGGATGACAAACCCCACCACACAAGACCACCATGGGCTCATCAAACACAGGGTGAGAGCCCAGCTCCTTGTCACCACCTCAGTATTAACTCCCTTAGGGATGAAACCCAGCAAATTCACATACATGGAAGCGACAGAGAGATTCTATCTCTGAGGCTCCCAAGTTGCCTTCTTTGCCCTCCCCTTTCCACATCCCAGCCTTTTGCCCCACTCACCCTGTCGCCTGGGTCTCCCTTTAGACCAGGTTGACCTGGAACGCCGAAACCTGGACTTCCCTGCAAAAAATCAATGATGATGTGTGCATCAGTGTAATGCAACTCTATGTACAACAGAGACGCAGCAAGAGATAAATCCCGTGCTGGTGCTGCCTTTCAGTTTACCTTTATGGCCACCATATAGAATCCCAGATTGGTTTGTGTTGGAAGGGGCCTTAAAGCTCATCCAGCTCCAACCCCTGCCACAGGCAGGGACCCCTTCCACTGGAGCAGCTTGCTCCAAGCCCCTGTGTCCAACCTGGCCTTGAACACTGCCAGGGATGGGGCAGCCACAGCTTCTCTGGGCACCCTGTGCCAGCGCCTCAGCACCCTCACAGGGAAGGAAGAGCTTCTGCCTTATCTCCAACCTGAACTTCCCCTGTTTCACTTTGAACCCATCACCCCTTGTCCTAGCACTCCAGTCCCTGATGAAGAGCCCCTCTCCATCATCCTTGTAGCTCCCTTCAGACACTGGAAGCTGCTCTGAGGTCTCCATGCAGCTTCTCTTCTCCAGGCTCAACAGCCCCAATGTTCTCAGCCTGTCTCCATATGGGAGCTGCTCCAGCCCCTGATCAACCTCATGGCCTCCTCTGGACTTGCTCCAGCATGGTCCCTCTCCCCTCCTAATCACACTCCTTGCCACTTCTGGGATATGCTGTTGTGGATATCCAACCTTCACTAGAGTTCTATTTGAGGAACCCAGCACGTGCTTCACTTACCCATCCTGATCTTGCAGACCTTGCCTGCAATTCTTCCATCACCATGCACACAACGTGGTGGCATGACCCTGCTCTACTCATTGTTGCACTCATGGGAACACATCCTATGCCATGCTCACTGTTGGCAGTCTTAACCTCAGCACTATTGTGCAGTCCCCTCAAGGGTTAACCTGCTTCCCATCCTTCCTGTAACTGTGTTTGGTGCTAAGCAAGATTCAGGAGGTAACAGCATCTCACCAGAGCAGCTTCCAAGCTCAGGACACAGCTTCCACACCTGAAGCTGCAGGAAAGGACAGAGCAGACCCTACTCATTTTCAACCATGGGCAGCTGCCTGACCTGAGCTTTCATAACTGCATCTCTCGCTGACATCCTTTCAGGGAGCTTTTGACTTCTAGATGGGACAAGTCCCCCCTTGGCTTTCAGCACATGGGTGCTCCTTGGTAGCAAGACTTGGGAAGGAATTCCATCTGCCTCAGAGTTTGCTTCGTGGACATGAACAAAATAAACCCTTCTACCCATAAAGGATGCACCAAGAAAAGCAAGTGTGTTACCTTCTCTCCTTTGTCTCCTTGCATTCCTTTGTCTCCTTGTGGTCCCAAGGCCCCACTTGGTCCAATGTCTCCCTGTACATAAAGGCATTCCCAAAGCTAATAATACCATGCAGGAAGCCCTGTTCATCTGGCTCCCTTGAGGTGCATTTTGCACTTCCAATGCACTCTGAAAACCATTCCATTGCCAAATCCACTCGATTTGGGGTTTACATTGAAGCTTTCTCTGTGGTACCTGGTCTTCTGCCATACAAAACTCATCACAGGACTTACACCCTCCCCAGCCATGCAACTGGTATGCTGTAAACCACCAAATGTACATTTATAGTGGTATAAGCAGGATAAAATCCCGATCTTTTATTTCTCTGAAGGGTGGCAATGAGGTTATCATTTAATAATTATCATTATCTTAAATATGTAAGATAATCCAGGCCACATTCTATCATGAGGCCACTGCAAAAACCCCAGCCCACTTCCTAATGCAGCCAGCCTGAAGGAATAGAGATACTTTGCTAACCAATGTTAAGCAGTCTGGACAGTAAGACCAATGAAGGGAGATTACTCCAACATCCAAGCAGAAGGAAAAGGGCAAAACTCATCCATATGGAGTAAAGGAGTTATGGAGGGCATCTCCTTGGGTTGAGAAATTCAATTCCCTCTGCTCATGGGGAGGCCAAATACTGCTTGAGGGGACTAAAGACATGGAGAACTCTCCATCCATGGGGATGCTCAGCACACAAGGCCCCAAGCAACCCGACCCAGCTTTGAAGTGGGGTCTATTTCAAGCAATAGATGGGATTAGAGACCTCCAGAAGTCCCCTCCAGCCTCAGTTCTGCTCTGATTTTATGTCAATGCCTCCCTTGGTTGGAAACCAGCTTCTGTGAGTGGCTGGATTTGCACTTGAGTGATGTCTCCCTTCCAAAACTAGCACATGGAAATCCCAGTTTTCCCTGCAGAATAGGGCTAGGAAGAGAATGACAGATACAAAATGTTAATAAAAGCAAAGAAATACCAGCAGGGCAAGGCTGTTGCTACTACTTCAACCTCTCCTCCTAGTCAATCACAAGGGAGATAGGATTCACATGGTGAAACATGGTACGACCTTCCCTGTTCCAAGCAAAGATCTCACCTAAGTTTCAAGCAGTGCTGATTAATGGACTTACCCTGACACCCTTCTTTCCTGGAGGTCCCAAAACCTGAGGATAAATCACAGAAATGCTCTCTTATTTAGGAAAAGGATGTTCAAAAGAGGGTCTATTCATTTTACCTTTTCCAAAGCAAGAGAATCTCAGCCTTGCTATGGGATAGGAAACCCATGACCAGCACTCATGGCTAGAAAAGACAACAAGCCAAATCCCAATCCCAGTGAAGCTTATGAGGAACCCCACCAACTTCAATAGGTTTTGGCTCCAGAGATGGGAATGAATGGTCACTCATGTGTGTTATTGGTAGCCTTCTCTTCTCTGCTGTAGCCTTCTCTAACACACACCAAGGACCAACCTTCAGACAGCAATGTCCCTGCTCATTCCAGTATCCTCCAGGACACATCAGTTTGTCCTGGTGGTGGATCTCAGTCCTTAAAACAACCTCCATGTGCTCCCTTGCAACAATGCCATGGGGCACGCAGAGGTGGCCACCACCAAGGTTTCACCTCAAAGCTGCCCTAGCATTTTGAGGACATGAAGAGCAGTGCTTCTTCAGCAGAGACTAAAGCATTCCCATAGGGAATGAGGAGCTAGAGCAGGAGAATAGGTCTGGAGCACAGCGTTTCAGTGCTGGGAGGCTTTATCCTTGTGTTTCCTTAATAGCAGTGAAGCTCCTTTGAGAAGACAGTGGGCAACTGGGGTGCAATGGCTGGGTATTCAAGAAGTGGATCAAGGGAGCAGAAGGCTGGAGGGACAGGGAACGGGTCTGTTAGTTCTTCCTGCAGTTCAGTGGGACACATCTCTCTTGGTCTATGGGCACTGCTGGTGGTGATGCCTTATAGCTATAGCACAAGAAGGGCTGTAATTTGCTCATAGTTACCCCCATAGCTGGAGCACCTGGAAATCCTGGGTTTCCCTGCAAGGCAAAAGGACATAAAATGAACAATCTGGGGCAGTGAAAAATACCTGCCCATTGCCTTCCCCCATCTGTTCCTTAAAACAGCCCAAAACTCATCTCAGAAGCACAAGAGCAAAACAGAGACGAGATGCTGAGCTTAAGCACCTCCCTGCTGGCTTCATCTATCTATAAACACACTCGACAGTGCTTGCAAAAGCTGCACACATGGAACAAGCTGGGACAGTCAGGATGGCTTCACCTGAGCTATTGAAGCATCTTGTGCTCTTACTGCTTTACTTACTTGGTCTCCTTTCTGCCCTGGAGGTCCTGCGAGTCCCTGTAAGACATCACAACAGAATTTCCACCAGGCTGAAATCAGAGTCAGCAACTGTTGGTCTCTTCTGCAGTGAGAAGCTCCCAGCCAGAGGGAAGAAGGAAGATCTTCAGCCCAATCTTTCACTAACTACGAGACAGATTGGCTATAAGGACTCTTGGGTGAGAAACAGAAATCCCCGTGTGATCTTAAGGTCCTTTCGAACCCTAACTATTCTATGATTTGATGCTGATCTCCAGGATGCCTTATTGCCATCTAGCAGGAGACCAAGTGGAGAGCTACAAGCTCTCACACCAGGTAAAGATACCAAAGATGGTCCTTTGCAAGCAAGAAAAGGTATGGAGATACTCATGAGATGCATGGGAGCTACAAGACTAGGTCAGTCCTTTCCATAACCCAGCCCCATGAATCTGCTCAGAACTGGACACTGAGTATATGGACCTGTTGTGCTCGCATGGCATTGCTCCTGCAAGGAACACTGACTCAGGGAGGACTCAGCCTACTTCTGTGGCTGTTCTTAGGAAGAAATATTGCTGTCTCTTTTGTTCTTTGAGGTGATTTTTGATCTTTGAGGCTATAACTAAATGCAAGCGCAGCTGCAGGAGCTGCAAACCTGAAACACAGCCCAGTAAAAGCAACCTGTGATACTCAGCATGGACCATCAGAGAGAATTCCAGGTTGGTTTGTCAGTGTTTGCTTGCTGCAGACTGTCCTGGGGACCTGCCACTGGGGCAAGGTCTATCCTCAAGCTGCAAGCTCCTTGAACCCTACAGTTATGTGGTGTGTACCTATGTGGCCCAGTTATATCTGGTCAAACTGGGAGAACCTTTAGGGGAGATCTCAAATCCTTCCCTCTGGATCTCCAGCCAGGTACCTCAACTGCTCTGTCCTGAGCCCAAAACCAGCCAGAGCTTCTTCCCCTCCTACTCTGCACTCCCATGCTGGCCAGTCTCACCTTTTCCCCTTTAACACCTCCTTGCCCTTTGTTACCCTGGAAAACAGAAGATGCTTTAGTTAAGGCAAAGCCCCAGTGGCAGAGCAGGATGAGACTGGAGGCTCCCATGCTGCAGAACACGCTGAGCATGTTCCCTCCACTGGAGACTGTGAAAGCAGGGAGGAAAGCAATGGAAATAAAAGCAAATGTTAAGTTTATCACATATATATCATATATAGCATGTTATATACCATATATAGCATGTTATATATATAGTCCATGCTATATTGCATATTAATTACCTGCAGAGTATCTAGAATATATTAAGGTTTCTTGTATAATCAAACATACTTTATATATAATGACTAATATTAAAATGCATGCATATTATAATACATAATGACTGTATAGTTATGCCATAATTATCTACCATATAATATACATATATTACTATATGTATGTACGGACTGGTCTGAGCTTGATCAGACTGAGCATAACCAAAAGGAGTAAAGTGAGATACTGGTCCAGGGCACAGTTACTACAGTTCTCTATGATACTACAGCTTCTCTATTTACATATGGCTTTTTCATCTTAAATTGCTAAAATCTCATAGAATCCCAGACTGGTTTGGGTTGGAAGGGACCTTAAAGCTCCTCCAGTTCCAACCCCTGCCACAGGCAGGGACCCCTTCCACTGGAGCAGCTTGCTCCAAGCCCCTGTGTCCAACCTGGCCTTGAGCACTGCCAGGGATGGGGCAGCCACAGCTTCTCTGGGCACCCTGTGCCAGCGCCTCAGCACCCTCACAGGGAAGAGCGTGTGCCTAAGAGCTCAGCTCAGTCTCCCCTCGGGCAGGTTCAAGCCATTCCCCTTGGCCTGTCCCTACAGGCCCTTGTCCCAAGCCCCTCTCCAGGTTTCTTGCAGCTTTATTTCCTGCTTGAGTCCCTTCCTTGTCCTGTGTCATCTTTGGCTTCACAGCAGAGTTACCAGATTTGAACTGGAGCTATATTTTTCCAGTCTCTTTCATCTGGCAGCATCTGAAGCCAAAATCATTCCTCTCCACCAATGCCACGCTCTTAAGTATGGCGAGAGAATTGGTCAAGGTTCTTTTTTCCTCCAAGAGTTGGAAAAAAATGGGCACTTCCATTAGAAGAATGGAACTTCAGGATGGGATCAATCACCTCTCACAGGGGTGATCTTTCTCCACTGGATATCTGGGAGTGAATCTGGCCTGGAGGAGGCTGTCAAAAATGCAGATGTGAGACAACCTGCTCTTTACACCTTCCTCCCCAAACACATTTAAAGTGAATTCCCACAGTTCTATAGAGTTTCACTGGCCACAGAAATGCCATTTATTATTTGATTAAAAAAACCACATCTTGCTACCATTCCAGGTCTGTGCAGCAATGACTCCCACAGACCAGGGACTGCTGATGTGTAGAATTACTCCCTCTTAGCTTTTGCGTAGAGGGTCAATATTCCCACAGCCTATGACAATGCGATGTGCTCTACAAATCTAAGGATGCCGCAATATTCCTGCAGTCTATGATGATGGTCAGAGCCAGACACTTTCCTTGGCACCTGAGTACCAGGCACAGGGACTCAGGTTCAGCATTTCAGTACCCACCTTTGGTCCTGGTGCTCCTGGAGGTCCCATAACCCCCTAGAAACAGGAGAAACAATGAAAACTCAGACTTTGAAACCCGATGTCTTCCCTTCTTAGTTTGTAACCACAGGATGTGCCCTCCAAGGAACACCTTGATAAGAGGTATTGGAGGGGACTCTGGAAACACTGAACCCTCCAAAGGGATTTTAGCTGCAAATCCCAATCAAAATTGCCAACAAACCTGCTCTCCTTCCTCCCCCTTCATTCCAGCAGTGCCAGGAATACCAGTTCCTGCAATCCCCTATAAGGAAAGCACAGCATTCACTCAGGAAAGCTGGTCCCCAAGGTTGCAGAATGTGGCATTCAATGGAGCAACCCTATATCGAGTGGACAGCAAGCATGCAGGGCTTGGGCCATGTCTGGGAGGAAACACTGTTCTTGAGAGCAGGAACCACAGAGGAGATCTTCCACTGACTGGAAACAAGAGGATGCAGAGGATGATAGACTTGGATGGAGATGGAGCATGTATTCAACCACACACAAACTCCAACCCCTACAAGCAGGGAGAGAAGGGGAATGGTGGAAGACCCCAGTGTGCCTCCCCACATGTCGACCTTCCTATTACTTTGTCTCAGCTATTCCTAGCTGATGGATTCAGCAGGTATCTAAGTAATGACCTTTTCTCCCCTTGGTCCAGGCAGTCCAGGAACACCATGTGGCCCCACAGGGCCCGGCAAGCCAGGTTTCCCCTGAAAAGAAAGATACAGCATCAAATCTTTCTCTTCCAAACCGGCTGTTACCAATCCTACTAAAGAAAAGGTTTAGTTTTAAGTCTGCAGAAACACAAGCAGAGAAATATATACCCTGGTGTCTACCTAGGGAGTTGGAACTGGATGACCTTAAGGTCTTTTCCAACCCAAACCGCTCTGTGGTTCTATGAACTGGCCATTGGCGAACCACTCACTGGCTCTCCTATGCCTCCCCTGTCACCCTTGAGGCCATTCCTCCCAGGAGGGCCCTACATGGAGCACAGGACAGTGTCACTGCATGTCCCAGCAGCCCTTTATGAGTCTTGATGGACACCTAATAGGTATGAAAGCCTATTGCCAGCTTAGAAATACTACTAATAAATGCTTCTCATCACATGCAGAAGTAAAGCCAATCTCAAGTACTTACCCTGATGCCTGAATCCCCTGGTTCACCCTGAAACACAAAGGACGATGTGAATTACCATAGGGTGGTAATTTAGAGAGGGGTCATCTGTAAGTCCCAGTAAAAAGCTCCTGCAGGCTGACAAACCCAGAGACCAAAATCCTCATCCCCAAGGGAAGATAGAGCTTTAGCAGAGGTTTCTGCTATCTTGAATGGTCCAGATACCTCAATTTGCAATACCTGGTGTCAACCCCTCATCCCTTTGGGTAAAGCAGGGGAGTTTAGGTCTCCTGGTGTCTGCTGCGTCTTTCTAACCCATCCCCAGTGCAAGGAGACATTTGGTGATGACCATCAGGCCAGTTTTGGCACAGCACAAGTGATACTGTGAATTCCACTCCAATCACTGCACAGCTGTCCTAGGGATGTTGTTGGAGCTGGAAAAGGCTTGGCAGCCATTGAATCTAGTCCCATGTCAGATGAGGCTAACTGTAACCATTCCAAGTTCCACCATCAGCTCTCACTGTGTTCAACAGCAGGGCCCTGATGATAGGCACACTTTGCAATGCCTCCTCTGATATCTCAATGAGAGAATCCCATGATGGAGAGGAGAAATGTGCATTCCCAGGGCCCTTGATTGAAGAGTATCCAGATTATGGGCTATGCTGCATCTCCTCCTTCTGTGGCATATCACAGAACCAAGCTTCAAATCACACTTACCTTGATGGGGATGCCTGGTGGCCCCTGTGGCCCTGGTAAACCTGGTGGTCCTGCTACCCCTGGAACCCCTGGCTGCCCTTTTTGTCCCTGCAACAATGAAAACCAGGATAGGGATGGATGTGGGCTCTCTCACTGCTCCCTTCCTTTCTCTGCTAGCCCTTGGGAGGCTGAAGGGTCCAGCACACCCTGGGTGTGATACTCACAGGGGGTCCAGGCTGCCCATTGCGTCCAGGAATCACCTCCACTCCTCCCAGTACATAGCCTGGTTCACCCTGAGCACAAAGGGAGAAGGATTCATTCTTAGCTTCACCAAGCAGACAGGCAGTATCATGACTTAGAGGCAACTTCATGGTGTGCAAAAGCAACTTTAAAGCCAAACAGCTGTTTTCAAACCACCTACTTGCAGAAACACCTTAACAGAGGTACCAGAACAGCTATGACATGAGGTTTGCTTACTGGCATGGAAGAAAATTAATCCCAGGGGAAGAATAAAAGGTTGGCTTTCAGCAGGATCTGTTCCATGATCTGTAGCCATACAGGTGGATGCAAGGAAGAAGGAGGAATGTGCACTGGGGCTTTGGGAAAGACAGAACAATTGCTCCTGGGATCTGCCTACAACCGGTCATGAAGCCTTACCTTTCTGTGTCCTAAAGGTATGCAAACAGGCTTGTTCATAATGGAAACTCAAAAAGGCAGAATGACCCAACTCAGGGCTACCTCCTTCTGCAAATAGCCAAGATGTGCCAAGAGCCTGTGACAAGGACTGAGCACTTTTCTCCATAAAGACATTAGCTTCCACCTAGCAAAGCTGAAGACCAACTCCCCAAGCTGGAGACTTGTGTAGGGCTTGTTAATGGAGCTCAGAAGCTCATATTAACCCAAGGTCACTGTGGATGCCCAGAAATTAGAGAGCAGAGCAATGCAGTAGCTTTTTGCCAATGAAACATAGGAATTAAACTCACTCTGTCTCCTTTTGGCCCCGCTGGTCCTGGATAGCCAGGAGATCCCTGGAATTAAAACACATCCTGCTTCATTAAACAGCAAAGCACCCATAAGACCATCATTGTGGAATGTTCACGTTACAGATCTGCTTCTAATAAAATTCCATTTGCTTTTAAAGTGAATATGAAAATAGATTTCTGTCCCAACATTGATGATAACCATGTATTTGTCACCTGTGGGGCCAGTGTGTTGTATGTCCTTCTCTAGTGATGGGTGCATGTAGGATGGACACCTGATGTAGTAACAGTACAGTATGCCCAAGAACCAATGGATGCTGTGCATTCTTACTTACAACATCTCCTTGGATGCCAGGAGGACCCTGCAAAACAGGAGAGAAAGATTAGAGAGCCATGGTTACTGTTCTCTTCAATGGCACTTGGACAAAGCTTGTTAGAGCAAATACATACCATGAGTCCAGGGGGACCAGGAGGACCTGTCCGCCCCGGTCTGCCCGGCAGCCCGGGAATGCCATCCTTCCCAGGTAGACCCTAAACATGGGGAAAGTAACAGCATGTAGGTTATGGGCCCAGACCTGCAAACCCAAAGAGCTTCAAGAACTTTGGGTATAACCCAAAGTGATGTACCTCTCAAAAAGCATCTCTTGTGAGAGTCCCCAGTTGCCAGCACACATATGTACACATATTAGTTCCCATTTGCCCAATTTTCAAAGCCACCATGGAACCAGATAGGCCAAAACACCAACGTGAAAGATCTGAAGATGATTCCTTGGTTCTAATCTCTTCCTTGGTTCTAACCATTTAGATAGATATTAATCAACTGAGTGGATGGTTCATGCTGGTGAACTCACCCGCTCTCCTTTCTCTCCCTTTGTAGTAAAGCTGTATGGGTCATAGCCACCATGAGCTGGTGAAGCCCTGGAGCTCTGGAAAGGAAAAGGAAAACAGAATATGATCAGGAAATTATTATCCACCAAAGGACAGCAAATAAACTCAAACCAGAGTGATCATGAAACACAGACTGGCAAGCTTGCCTTATGCAACAAAAGCAAGAAGCAGAGCTGACCATCCAGAAGACCTGTTCCTATCCTCACACTATTTAAAGTCCCTTGGAGGTCATACATTATTTATTTTGTCTTTGGTTTGCACCAAAATTGGGAGAACAGAATGAAGAACACAGAGTTGTATGAGGACAAAATGCAGTCAGGGGATGTTTTGATGCCTCAAGTAGTCTTGGCCCATGTCATCTACAGTTCAGGATCTTCTTTCTGTCTCAGTGACACTCTAAGTATTCTTGGTTACATATCTACAAGACTTCAGGATAGCATCAATGCAATTCTTCTTACCCACCACGGAAGAAACTGTAGAAATAAGTTTGGCAGAGATATAAAGACCCTAATTCAACCATCCATGGACAACATTCATCTCACCTCATTTTAGACTGCCACAGCATCAACTTCACTTCAGTGTAGACACCTGTCTATGAACTGAATCATGACCAGACTTGGCGGACCACACTGACCAAGCTACTAGAGAGGGGCTGTTCAGCCTGGAGAAGAGAAGGCTGCGTGGAGACCTCATAGCAGCCTTCCAGTATCTGAAGGGGGTCTATAGGGATGCTGGGGATGGACTCTTCATTAGGGACTGTAGTGATAGGACAAGGGGAAATGGGTTAAAACTTAAACAGGGGAAGTTTAGATTGGATATAAGGAGGAAATTCTTTCCTGTTAGGGTGGTGAGGCACTGGAATGGGTTGCTCAAGGAGGTTGTGAATGCTCCATCCCTGGCAGTGTTCAAGGCCAGGTTGGACGAGGCCTTGGGTGATATGGTTTAGAGCGAGGTGTCCCTGCCCATGGCAGGGGGGTTGGAACTTGATGATCTTAAGGTCCTTTCCAACCCTAACAATTCTATGATTCTATGATTCTATAAAGCTAACACAGACTGCTCAATCTTGTTAGCTACAAGCCACACCAGTCAACTCACTAGACCAGCACATGGGCTCTGGGTCTGTTCTACTGTTCTTCATGTCCTCTGGCTTTCTGCTTGATGGAAGGAGTGGGTAGATTTGCCTCCTCACATTTTATTTCTGAAGTCAGGAGCAGTGGCAGCTGCTTGGTCTTTTCAGTGGCTCCCATGGAGCCTAGAGCTATCTGAGATGCCACAGAACATCTGGGACATCTGCATGGGTAGATATGATGTGGGCTCTATGGAAGGCCTGCAGCTCATTGGTTTGCTGGGAAGGAGCACAGGAGGCTGCTGCATTTCCCATGCTGAAATGGTAGCTTCTAGGATGACCTTCCCAATCATGGACATGGTTTCCAAAGTTAAGGGTCTTGACACTGATATAACTCCACACCACACAGATATGAGAAGTGACCTGATCAGAGCAGTCATCAATGTTTCTTTAAATATAGTCCCCTAAGCAGACACCAATGAACTAATTCTCACCTTTAAACACCAAGGACCACAAGCCTTCTCTCCTCTTTGGATATGCTGTTCGGTTGATGATGGATCAGGGATGTGTGGCTCGCTCTCTGTGTCACCAAACGGTAACCGCTTGTCAGCTTCATGTCTGGCAACCTACAGCATGGAGGTTGGCTTAGATTAGTGATCCTGCAGGCTTTGCAACCAGACACCAAACAACAACCTTCAGCAGGTCTCAAGACATCTCTGTGCTTTTATATCACCAACCTTTTCATTGAAACAGCCATAAAATATCACTGTTGGAGATACTCTGCAGAAGAGCTCACATCCGTACCAATGACCCATCAACCATAGTTAGAAGAGGGCAATGAATTTATAACACACCCAAGTGCTCTGCAGTGGCTTTATTCAACAAAGCTTCCAAACCCATGGTCTGGCTTCCCCAATTCCACCCCCTTGATATCAAACTTTGTTCCTTATCTCTAGGGTTGGACAGTGAGGTCAGGATTGGACCTAGTGTCCTAAATCTGTTCTAACTTTGCTTTAAAACTTTGCCTGAGGAAGAAGATTGCCCTTTGTGTGCATGACCCACACCAAGAGATGGCTCATAGTCAAAGCTCTAAGAAGGATCTCACCTCCCCAGATGGTAGCTGGGTCCCTGAAGGCTGTGGGTCAGAACAAATGACTTCTATGAGCTCTCTGAGGATATGAGGTAGGTCATCAAATGTGCTGACATAGAACACATTTTGGAGGTTCTGCTGCAGCACGATGCTGTTGAGCTCAATGGGGTCAGCTCCTGAGACACCCACAGCAATGACGCGGATCCCTGAAACACATTGATCACCCAATTGAAGCAAAAGTGTTTGAGGTCAGAGTTTACAAACCCTTCATCACCATTTTCCTGTTAATATCCTCTGCTGGGATCAGTTACTCCTATAACATGAGAACAGACCTGAAGCAGCATGTGTGAGCTATAGCAAAAGAAAAGAGACACAAGCTAGGAGCAGAAAGAAGCAAAGATAAAGGAGTGAAGAGAGCCAGAACACACACATCACACAGTGTACCACCTTGCACCCCTTGGAAATCCATGGAGAACCAAGGACTCAGGGAAATGCAACAGGGAAACTCTTACCCAAAGCATGGGCTACTCTGGCTGGTGGCAACACATCATCCTGGGATTGCCCATCAGTCACGAGCACCATCATGTGAGGGAAATCTGGTCTCATCCCTCTGGAGGATTGAAATAGCTCCTTCAGCATGTAGCTTATACCACGACCTGAGCAAACATAAAAAGGATTAGAGGCAGCATTACCCAGGAATTTGCAGTCTGACCGGTTTCACCCCTGCTTTTTCTGACCTGTTCTTGTATTTGGATCAGCCTCATTTTTCTGTGTTCCTGACCAGTACTACTGAGCCAGGAGGAGGTATTTAAGCCTTCAGTTAACACACACTGATGCCTCAAAGCTTCCCTTTATGCTGACTGATGGGAAGACATTATTTGGGCCATTTAGAAATGGTAAGGTTAAAACAAGCTACTTTCAACTTAGTATTACTGCTCATGTACCTTCAGGGATCCAGGTAAACCCTATTGTCCCTCTGGGAATAAGCAGTTGGAAAGTCCTGCCTGTCTCTGAGCTTTTGAACTACATAAACCAAAAGTGTCTGGATTTCTGATACCCTGAGCTAATGAAGAGCTGTTCCACTTGTCAACACATGGGAACAAAGGATATTAGGTGATGAAAATAGGACAGGGCACATAGTTTTGTTGCTTGGGTTATACAAGGCAATAACAGACTTTGCTGATGAAAATGTGCATACAGTGAGCAATAAAGATGCTCCAGCATCAGCTCTCCTCACCTAATGTCTATGGGGTTTATCTCCAAGCCAGGTATAAAAACCTCCTTCAAGTGCAGGCAAGGTTATAAAATTATGAAGGGGAACCCAGCAGTAAAACTGGTATGTAGATATAGGACATCAGGCTACTTGGAAAGACCAACCCTAGCAATCAAACTACATTCAATTCTCCGTCCTCAAACTTTAAAGAACTTTGGGCCATAACTTTCTAACCAAGTAAATGGGTTCAAAACACTCAAATGCTTTCCCTGGCTTTCAGACTCTGTCTTGGGGCTAGAAGGTCAACCCCATGTCTGCAGCTCAGCCATACCCACCCGTTCTTGTGTTGCCTCCAGTATAGTGCAGCCCCTTGATGGCTTTCAGGGCACTGTTGCGGTCATGGTGCTGGTTGAAGTAGAAGGCTGCCCTGGGCTCCTCACTGTATTGAGCAACAGCAACCTGCCAAAGAGAAGGGGGTTAAAAACATGGAGGGCTCAGGCACACAACAAATGTGCCATCACTCAGTAAACTGCCTTGAGTTAGATGATATGTGGAGACCTCAGAGCAGCCTTCCAGTATCTGAAGGGGGCCTATAGGGATGCTGGGGAGGGACTCTTCATTAGGGACTGTAGTGAGAGGACAAGGGGTAATGGGTTAAAACTTAAACAGGGGAAGTTTAGATTGGATATAAGGAGGAAATTCTTTCCTGTTAGGGTGGTGAGGCACTGGAATGGGTTGCCCAGGGAGGTTGTGAATGCTCCATCCCTGGCAGTGTTCAAGGCCAGGTTGGACGAGGCCTTGGGTGATATGGTTTAGAGCGAGGTGTCCCTGCCTATGGCAGGGGGGTTGGAACTTGCTGATCTTAAGGTCCTTTCCAACCCTAACTATTCTATGATACATTAATTAGATAGCTAATACTAGTTAGATGATAACTAGTTGTGGTGCAAAAAGAACAGAGACAAGAGATTGTGTTTCTTCCAGACTGAAACCAGGAACAAAAATGTCTGTCAGGTTGGCAGGCACACAGGGCACAATCCATATGCTTAAGGGTAGGTAAGATACTCTTTCTGACTCTCCAGGGCATCAGAGATTCCTGCACAGGCTGGTGGATACAGAATACAACTGGCAGAAGACTGGCACACTTCAGGCTGCTCATGGCTGGCTGGGAGAATCTCCTGCTGCAGTACCTCCTATAGCAGCACCATCACAGAATCACAGAATCCCAAAAACCCAAAAACACCCAACCCCCCCAAAAAACCAAACACACACAAACCCACCCAACACCTCCTGAATGAAACCCTTGCTGGCTTCCTTTTGCAGTCAACAGAGATCTACTCATCTCATATTATAGGACCTAAATTGTTTTCATCTCCCCAGAATTCTCTGATAAGCTGGGGCAACTGCATCATGTACCTAAAGCTTCAAAGCTGCTTGCAAAGCAAGTGCAAGAAGTTCCCATCTCCTGATCAACTGAAAGGGGGCTATGTAGGTCTCTTTATTTGAAAAGCTAGTTCAAATATTACATTAATTAAGCACAAATGACCCCAAATAAATGATCTACTGGGTCTTCCCATTGGCTTTGCTGTCATTTGCTGTAGGCTTCATTTGTCCTTGGGGTGTTTCACAGCACAGCCTGGGGATCTCATCCTCTGCTTGTCTAGAGGAGGCATCTGCTGGTATGTGCCTTGTCTCCCATCTGGGCCCCAGCTTGGGTCTCTAACCATCAGCAGTGTGGATGTGGGCACAAATGGGGCACTAAAGGGGTACATGCTCCTAACACATCCCTGGACTCCATAACCTAGACACCATTTCAGTGGATCTGGAATTTGTTTTATTCCTGTTGAATTTCTGGTCTTGGAAAAATAACCAAGAAATGGAAATAGATCCAAATGAGTAAGCTGACATTTAGGAGACTTCTGTTCGTGTCTTTGTTGGACAAATACACGTCTTTAGGCAGAGCACTTAGTCCTTCTGATAAACAACATGTAAGCAAACAGACTGCTCTCATAGCAAGGGTGAGCAAATGGTGAACACTTGGAAGGAAAACACCTTCAGGAAAGAGAAGAACAAAATCTTGCCTGTGTCCCTTCAGGCCCAATCTTAGGGAAATAGGATATGATCCGGAAGAGAAAATCCTTCACTTTATTGAAATTGCTTTGGCCAATGCTCGAGGATTCATCCACCAGGAACCCAATGTCTGCTTTGAACTTGCCACAGACTGCAAAGGGAAGAGAGGATCTCTGTAAACTGGGGGTTCCTAAAGCAGAAGCATGCTTCTTTATGTTCAGAGCAACAAAACAAACCCAATACCTCTTGTGATGCCCAGAGCGGGTGAATGAGCAGGCAGCACCTTCCCCCGCATAGTTCTAAGAGCTTCATTCCATTTTATAGGCTTTGTGTCTTCCCTTTGCCTGATACTGTCCCCTCTCACTACTCAATGAATAAAGGCTACTTTTGCTTCTGAGATCAGAGAAGACCATTGTCCCTGGTGGTTTTTGGCCTACTGCTACATCATTATCATATCACGCACAGATACACACTCACTTGGCCCAGGGACAGTCGTCAGCAGTGAAGACACTGCAGTGGTTGATAGTGGGGTCTCTGGGGTTAGTGGTAGATTTGTGGTGGTGGCCAGTGGAAGAGGAGTGGTCCCCACATTGCTGGGAGATATGGATGTAGATATCATCATATCCAATTCACTTGGAGTGATAGGTGCAGGTGACCCTATGTGAGGTCCCGCTGTAAGAGACAAACAGAAGAGGTGTTTTTAAACCTCTTTTAGTTATGTTTTAAACCTCTTTTAGTCATGATGCCACAATCTACCAAAAGTCATAATGGCAAAGAAGCCAAGAAATTAGCCTCAATAGCATTTACCTAGATAAAACCGCTACACAAGTCTCCAGCCTTCATACCTGTTTGCCCAAGGAGAGTTGTTTCTGGTCCCTTGGCATCTCCAAAGACTGCTCTTATAGAAAACAAATACATCTCCTTGGCACTCAGCCCCATCACTCGATACGAGCTAGAAGCTGCTGGTAACAGTTCCTGGGAAACATCAGAAGCTGTGAAAAAGGGAAAAGAAACCATGCATTGACTGGGAGCCAGAGAAACTCAAAATAACTCCCATTTCTGCAGCATCCATCTTCCAATAACATCAACTTGGACAAACGGGAGCTTGGGTATAAGTTGGGTCCTTGGCTTCAGAGCGGAGGCTCTTGGTAAGACATGTTTGCAAACTGCAATGGTCAGGTCCTAAACCAGATGAAATAAGCTTGTTTGCATGCAAAAAGGGAATTTTCGAGTACATGAACAGGAAAAGAAAATTGGAATTTGTACAAGTATTTAGAGAGGGCATTTGCTTTAAGTGGTGCCTGAGGCTGAGCTCTGTGATAGACCAATGGTTGCAGTGGTTGGCATGGTTAGAAACAGGCTTTTTTGTTGATGAATGGGAAGTTTGATGAAAAGTTGAATCAAACTTACTTGAGAAATACAATGGATGGTTTGGATTTAAAATAATGATAGGAAAAAATCTGCAAAAAATGTCATAATCATGTTTTGACATTTTAGAAGTGTCTTATTTTGGAAATACTGAACGAAGAGTTTTGGCACTGTTCAAAGTGGAACTTACACCTTTTCTTTCTGAAACAATATTTTCCCTTCAAAAATATGAAAAAGCTCAATTCCTATGGAAAGAAATTACTCAGCATAAATGATTATTCCATTTTCATTAAATGTTCTCAATTACTCCCCAGAATTTTGGAAGGGAGATTTTGCTCCTTCTTCGAGTTTGACTCAAACCATTCTACTTCTCTCCCTTTGGGTAGTTAAAATAGTAACTGGTTTAAGATGCCTTTTTCCTTGCCCAAAGAAATATGATGTGTGAAACACAAGCTGACAGCACTGGTGAAGCACAGATCTACAGGAGTCTACCACCCACTCTAGACTACCAAACAGGCAAGTTCAGCTACTTCTCCTTTTGCAGCTACACCACTGAGCAGCGCTAAACCCCTTTGATTCACATAATAGGGATTTCACATAAAATCCCAGACTGGTTTGTGTTGGAAGGGAGCTTAAAGCTCATCCAGTTCCAACCCCTGCCACAGGCAGAGACACCTCCCACTAGAGCAGCTTGCTCCAAGCCCCTGTGTCCAACCTGGCCTTGAACACTGCCAGGGATGGGGCAGCCACAGCTTCTCTGGGCACCCTGTGCCAGCGCCTCAGCACCCTCACAGGGAAGAGCTTCTGCCTAAGAGCTCATCTCAGTCTCCCCTCGGGCAGGTTCAAGCCATTCCCCTTGGCCTGTCCCTACAGGCCCTTGTCCCAAGCCCCTCTCCAGCTTTCCTGCAGCCCCTTTAGGCACTGGAGCTGCTCTAAGGTCTCCCCTTCAGGAGCCTTCTCTTCTCCAGGCTGAACCAGCCCAGCTCAAAGTGTCATAGGAGAGGAAGGCTAGCTCCGGATGGAGCCCTACTGACATACATGTGGTTGGGTCCTGTTTAACACTGGACAGAGGAAGTCTCCAACTGGGACAACCTCAAGCTGTGTAGAAGGGGACCCAATCTTTTATAGGTCAGGCTGGCTAGAATCAGCCAGCAGGGAAGAGAGCATTATATGAGCTGAAAAGGGGGGGGGGGGGGGGGGCAAGGAACACGGGTAATGAATGAGCAGTCATTTAGGAAAAAATCAAGTTGTGGACAAGAAAATTAATCAAGACACCAAGAGACCCAAAAGAAAGGAATTCTTAATTGCCTTTATGCACTAATGTTGGCAGCTTGGGTAATTAAACAAGAGAAACTGGAATTACCCACTTATAAATCTGATCTCTTTGGTACTATTGAAATGTGGTGGCAAGATTCAACTGATTGGAATGTGAAATCAATAGTTATAAACCTATTTCAGAGGGATTGATCCAGTGAGGGCACAGGGGGACTGTCAGACATGGTGTTATCCACTTCTGAGCCCCTGACAACGCTGAAACCAATGATTTTTGGATACTTAGGGGTCGATACTTTAAAAGCATGGCACAGGAGGGGAACAGTTGCATTAGATCACTTAAATCACCCTCGAGAACTGAATGTTCACTTCCTTAATCACTTACCCATAATATGTAGAGCAACAAACTGATGCTACCACAAGAGACTTCATCCTGAGTGACATATGCTGCAAGTCTTAAGCTGCCAATACCAAAATGTCCTTGGAATTACAATAAGAATGAAAGCTGAAGACCTGGTAACTCAAAAAGCACTGCAGGGAGCACAGGGGAATTGTGTCAGGTTTCCTTTTCTTTATTGACTTGGGAAGATGAAGGGATCCCTAGCAAAAAGTCAGTGGCTGAAGCAGCAATGGCAGGGAAGTTGCTATATTCAAAGAGATTTAAGCCCATTCCAGGAAAGAAATGATACAGCTGGTGCTTGAAAAGGACAAACCCTCTAAGGGCAAACCAATGGGAAAAAGATATACTGGACGTCATGAGCAATGATTAAGGAAGTTTTGAAAGCTCTTTACCATAGAGAAAAGCTTTTAAACAGAGCATTAAGGTTCTATGGATGACAAATCCCAACTTTTTGGTTCACTGCAACTATCCTTGATGGACAGGTAGTTACCCTAGAAGAAGAGATACTGATAATGCCCACCAGCAGAGCTTTCCTAAGTTGAATCACAAGGTGGTTTGGGTTGGAAGGGACCTTAAAGCTCATCCAATTCCAACCCCCTGCCACGGGCAGGGGCATCTTCCACTAGAGCAGTAATTTTCATGTCTCCTTTTTCTTCTACAGAGGATTTTGCAATGGCCAAATGGATCATCTTGTGAGCCTCCTCAATGGGCCAGCATCTATTTCTCCCCTTCTTTTTAAGCCAAGTGAAGAAGCTGAGATGAAGGGACATAATGTATGTAAGGCTTCAAGGCCAACTCTCTGTTCTGCTAAACAAAGTCCAGATGGGTCCAAAAGAAGGAACGGTATTGGTGCCAACAGTGACAGCATCATCTATCCCAGGTCAAACTGGGTAGCAGGGAGACACAAGTCATGAGGCTTGAAGGTAGCAGCAGCCACTTAAGGGTAGTGGTGGAAAGAAGTTTTCTAGCTAGTACCTGCCACTTGCATCTTCTGCAGCATCAGCTGGCTCCAAGACCAGGTACAGACCAGAGGGCAAGCCAGATACACCCATGCTCCATCCTCAAATCCCCCTGGGTCATAGGGAAGCTCACACAAGAGGGGACCAAATTCCAAGCCACCCTTCTTCCCCTCACCAAAGCCACATTACCTGAGGACAAGCGCCACATTAACATGTACATGGATGCTCCAGGAACAGCCCTCCAAGTCAGCACAATGCTGGTCTCTGCAGCCTCCTGCACTGTGAACTCAGTCACTTTGGGTAAATCCACTGTTGGAAGAGAAAGAAACAAAGCTTAGGGTGGGTAGAAGCTACCACTGAAAGCTTGGTTGAGCCAGAAAGGAACCGATGCATCCTTTGGGAGATGCAAATCCTGACCCCACTGAAATCAAAGGAAAAAGTCCAGATAGAAGTAATGAACATGAAGCAAATCTTTGCTACACTTGTTCACAGCTCCAGTTGCTGGTGAATCACTGATGATATATCTACCCTAGGGTACAAAGATGTGTGTGCCAGGAAACACATCTTAGCCTGAAAACAGCTCTGGAGATCTTCTTCCTCCTAAAACACCGTGTTTCTGGTATGAGGAAGAACCCTGCAGCACTTCAGGGTTTTCCAGAAAGCTGGGTCAAATCAGATCTCGAACTGGTGGGAACTGGTGGGGTTTTAGCAAGTAACCGTTGGCAGATCTTTGTTCGGGTGTTTCTCTAAACTGACTGTGACATTTGAACTGTTGGGATGGAAATTGAGATCTTGCCTGCTCATGTGTGCCAAATGTTAATGCTCCTTGATGCCACAGCACTGGATCTACTCCCCTGACCCTCTCCACCATCTCATCTGCAGCATCAACCAGGTTGCATAATGCCATAGCATCATAATTGATGTTTGCCTTTTTCTACTGGAAATGGTCAAGATATCATGACTAAAGAGATAATTCCAAGACAATGGGTCACAAAAATAACATCTCGTGGTGGTTTTTGACAGGGGAAGACAGGCAAAGTCCCATGGTTTCGCAGTAATAAGAAGAAAGGACCAATGCATGTTTTCTAGCATGCTCCTAGTGGGACCTGAGAAGTAATAAGGTGTCTATCAGTCAATATTGCTCTTTTCCACCCTCACCTCCCATTATAGCCCCTAGGAAGAGACAGCCCCATGGAGATGTGTGAGAGGTGCTCTTGTCCCCATCCAGCGGTCCCATACTCACAGGTTTTGGCTGTGAGGAGCGTGGGGCTTCCCTCCTTTCCCCTGATCACTGCAGACATGCAGATGGTGTAGGTGGTGCTCTCCTTCAGTCTGGGGATCGTGAAGGAGTTTGTCTCTGCTGCAACCAGCTGGGAGGTTTCCAAGCCACCTAAGAGGAGACGTTCCAAAACCCCACACAGTGTACATAGAAAGGACCAGGTAATTCCTATTAACAATCATTGTTACAGCAGCTTATCATACAGAGTTTATGGGACTTGGCCATGGAGGAGTGTCTGAGCTCATTTTGCATATGGGGAAACTGAGGCACAGGGAGGTAAGAGATAGGGTCACAAAGGCATCCATCACATGAGCTGTTGGAAGGGATCCGCTTCTTTGGCTTCCCAAATCCCAACTATGCCTATGTCCAATGGATGTCATTGTTAGTGACTAAAACCTGGTTCAGTGACAGGGCTGCTCCCTGTCACACTATGGTTCTTATGTGCCCTGATAATCTGTGGGAAAAAGAACGAGCTCATCTAAGTTCCTATTTTTGGGGTTCCTTGTGCTCTGTCCTTATAACACACTTGACAGAGAGACCAGGTTGCTTACCATTGAATGGCACCCAGGATATCTTATAGTGAGTTACTCCAGGAAGCCTCTTCCAAGACAGCTTCAAACTATTTATGCTAGTGTCAGTAATCCTCAGATCCTGGATGGTCCGGATGGGGTTGGAGTCTCCAGAAGATGCTGGAAAAACGATCTAGGGTAAGATGTTTGAAGTAACACTTCAAGTTACACAACACAAGGTTCATGGCCCTGAAGAAAGATTTGGGTTTTTATGCAACACCTACTTTCTGGTTTGGGTTGGAAAACACCTTAAGATCATCCAGTTCCAAGCCTGTGCCATGGGCAGGGAGACCTTCCACTACAGCAGATTGCTCCAAGCCCCATCCTACCTGGCCTTGAACACTGCCAAGGATGGAGCCTGCTTAACATGCCAGAAGGATGTGTCCACTCCCACTCATGGGAAGAGCCATAGATTACTGCTACCAGCTACAAGGGCTGCTCATATCACTCCACCATCAACGTGCAATGCACAAGACCATAAATTCAACCTTTACATCACAGCACAAAGAGGTTTGCTCCACCAGGACATACCTGTGCGGTGAGTCAGGGTCACCTCTGGTCCCTCAGCCTTGCTGAAGACAGCCCGAACACTGACTTTATACAGGGTGTTGGGCAGCAAGTGGTTGATCCGATAAGACAACACATTACTGCCCAAGTATTGAGTCTTGGCAACCTGGTTTTCTGTAAGAGAAAAGGGATGTTTCAGAGCTTGTAGCTCTGCAGTGAGGCTGGTGGCATCCCCTCCAAAAGAAGTAGAATCAAAGAATCATAGAATCAGCTGGGTTGGAAAAGGCCCTTAGGATCATCAAGTCCAAGCATTGCCCAGCACTGCCAAGGCCACCACTGCCCCATGGCACTGAGGCCTCGTCTCCACGCTGTGTGAACACTTGCAGGGACGGTGACTGCAGCCCTGCCCTGGGCAGCCTGTTCCAATGCCTGAGCACCCTCTGGGGCAGGAATTGTTCCTCAGCTCCATCTAAACCTGCCCTGGTGCAGCTTGAGGCCGGTTCCTCTTGTCCCATCCCTTGTTCCTTGGGAGCAGAGCCCAGCCCCTCCTGGCTCCATCCTCCTGTCAGGCAGTTGGAGGCAGCCATCAGGTCCCCCCTGAGCCTTCTCTTCTCCACACTGAACCCCCCAGGTCCCTCAGCTGCTCCCCAATATCTCCCTTGTAGTGAGAACAGCCATTCCTTGCTGTATTACTGCTTCAGAAACTTGGGGGTTATCTTCATGAATAGAAGAACATGAATACAAGGAAAGAAGATGCCATCACCAGTGGGTGCAGCCTGAGGCCCATGTTTCTCAATAGTGAGATCACTTTCTTACCCCAGGCAGTAGATGAGGAGTTTGGAAAGGTGTCTACCATGGCCATAGACACATGCAACCTTTCTGCTCACCCCTTCTCTGCTCACCTTTGCCTGTCCCAACAGGGCTCCAGGTGACTTTGAATTTGGTGGCCGCTGCTGTGGCACTCCAGGCTATAGACAGGCTTGTGCTGGTGTAGGACATCACCTTGAAATTGGACACGTAGCCAAGAGGAGCTGCAAGGTGAGGACAGCATTAGACAGTGCCCTGACTATTGTGCAATGGGGGCTCCTCACTGGCAGTATAATGAGGCCAAAATGATATAAAAGAGTTAAAAGGGGTATCTTTGCTTGTCCTCAGTGTCTCATCATCACACCCTGCTTGAAGCTTGGGCCATAAATGTACACCCTACCTCCCTCGGCATCAAGGAGCACATTCTGTTCTAGATACAGATGGGAACACCTCTGAAAGCCCAGGACAGGCAGTACAGTGATCCAGGGAGATGTGAGATCCAAATCCCAGTGCCCTCACACTGTCTGCAGGGTGAAACATCTGTCCAGAGCTCCCATGGGTGCTGAACATCAGAGTTTGCCTGTGCTCTTCTTCAGAAAGGCCAGCCCCTTATCTCCATAGCGTATTCCAGGGTTACTAAACACGAGAGGAAGAACTTAGAATGGTTTGTGTTTGAAGTGACCTTAAGATCATCCAGCTCCAACCCCTGCCATGGGCAGGGACCCCTTCCACTGGAGCAGCTTGCTCCAAGCCCCTGTGTCCAACCTGGCCTTGAACACTGCCAGGGATGGGGCAGCCACAGCTTCTCTGGGCACCCTGTGCCAGCGCCTCAGCACCCTCACAGGGAAGAGCTTCTGCCTAAGAGCTCAGCTCAGTCTCCCCTCGGGCAGGTTCAAGCCATTCCCCTTGGCCTGTCCCTACAGGCCCTTGTCCCAAGCCCCTCTCCAGCTTTCCTGCAGCCCCTTTAGGCACTGGAAGATGATGGGAGTGGCACACAGGAAGCACAGTGTAAGACCTTTGTAGGGATACCAAGGTTGAACCAGAGATGGAAGAGTTGTTGTGTGCTGTACTAGCTACTTGAAGGTCCTGCCCACACTCACATGTCCTGGTTGAAGTCGTGATCCCTGGTCCCTCCACTGAGCCAAAAAGCACATAGAGAGAAATCACATACTCGGTGTCATGGGCCAGGTTGCGGAGCGTGTGGGCTGTGGTTGACTTGTTGAGGGCCAGCTGGTGAGGACGGTCTTTGCCAAAGAACTCTTTGGAAGAGAGGAAATGCAATAGGAATGGGTGAAGACTGAAGAGGCTGGAGAGCATCTCTGTTGCACACTGGGAAAGACACCATGCTTTCCCTGGCAATCCATCTCCAGCTCAGCTGAACCTCAGTTGAAGGACACCACCCATGTGTGCACTGGGGAAGATTTTTCCTATGGCTATTTATGTGTGAATTTGAATGACTAAAGGATCAAAACCAGCTCATAGGAACCGAAGGAACCAAACCAGCTACCACATCCAGGGCCCACATTAACATGGGCATGTGCTCTGCCTGTCCCCACCATCTGCACGCATCGCAAAGCTCCTGTGGTAGATGATCTCCTCCCCCTGTTCCCTGAGGGCCACGCAAGGTGGTGTAAGACTCTGTGTTGGGCCAGGATCAAGATGAATGTAGCTTCTGCAGGCACCCTGCCTCTGGTCAAGTCCATTCTGGTTTCAGTTCATAGCCTGAAGCTGTGGAAGAGGCTGCTCAGAGCAATTATGAGCTGCATCTGCACCCCTTTATCCACCACCTCTGAGGTTCCCAGTGCCTCATCTCTCATGCTACGGAAGGAGACAGAGGTGATGCAGGCTGGAGGAGAGCTGGATCTTACCTGGTGTAGGACCCCAAGCCACTCGGTACCCTGTGGCCCCAGCAACCGAGTCCCAGGAAACCAGAGCACTGTTGATGGATATCTCACTCACTTTCAGCATCTGGACTGTGCTTGATGCCACTGCAAGAGAGCAGAGTTGCCCAGTTGCATCAAGGTCCCAACAGCATCGAAGTGGCCCCCCAAAATCATAATGACCCAGAATGCCTTCTGCACCAGATGACAGGCAGGGTGGTGACACCAAATGACGCCAGCCCCGTCCGTGTCTACTTGGGCTGTTACTCACCTGTCATTGCTTTACTGCTCACCACTGGTCCCTCGACATCCCCAAAGATGGGGTTGATGGTGATGGTGTACTCTGTGCCAGGCTGCAGCCCCTGGATCATGTAGTAGTTGTAGGTGCTGCTGAGGTTCACATCCTGGATGCTGCCCTCTGCAAAGGGAAATGATATCTGGGTTCCTTTGGGTCACCCTATTGGGTCTCCCTGTCTGGGAGGGCAATGGGCAATCATGCAAACAACCACTTGAGAACTACACCATGTGTGAGACTCAATAGCATTTCATCCTCCCAGTTTCATGTGTGCCAGCAAGGTCCTCAAGCCAAAGATGGTAAGGAAGGGCAGCCCTTAGGGACACTGTTTAGTGGTGGCCTTGGCAGTGCTGGGGTACCAGCTGACTTGATGATCTTAAAGGTCTTTTCCAACCCAGTTGATTCTATGATTCCAAGCTCTTGGAAGAAGAGCTAATGGACAAGCAGGTAGAGATAACCCACAGCCACTTGGGCAGACCTCTGTGATCACCAACAGATCAAGGCCACTCAGGGCTTTGCAGGTCAAAGAAGATAAACCAGGTAGCAGCACACAAATGGCCACACATGGGTCTGTGAGCAGTCCTGTAAGAGGGCCCACACCCCCCCAGCCCTGGGTCACTCAATCCTGGAGTCATTTTGCCTTCCCTGCAGGACACTGGAGGCAACTCATGCCCAAAAAGACATTTTCTCATTCGGTATCATAGAATCCCAGAATCCCAGACTGGTTTGGGGTGGAAGGGACCTTAAAGCTCATCCAGTTCCAACCCCTGCCACGGGCAGGGACCCCTTCCACTGGAGCAGCTTGCTCCAAGCCCCTGTGTCCAACCTGGCCTTGAACACTGCCAGGGATGGGGCAGCCACAGCTTCTCTGGGCACCCTGTGCCAGCGCCTCAGCACCCTCACAGGGAAGAGCTTCTGCCTTATCTCCAACCTGAACTTCCCCTGTTTCACTTTGAACCCATCACCCCTTGTCCTATCACTCCAGTCCCTGATGAAGAGCCCCTCTCCAGCATCCTTGTAGCCCCCTGCAGACACCAGAAGCTGCTCTGAGGTCTCCGTACAGCTTCTCTTCTCCAGGTTGTCTTCACATGGGAGATGCTCTAGCATACGATATATCCTTACGGACTTGGAACTGCTCAGCTAAACCTCTCAGCATGGAAAGAAAACAGTTAAAACCTAATCCCTTGTGATCACACCCTGTTTCAGACGGGCAGAGATGTGAAGGAGCAGATGGGGTTTTGGGGAGAAGCTGCCATTTGCAGTTTGGTCACTGGAGGGTGCCATGTCCCCATCTTCTGCTCCATCAGCACCCTGAGCCCCATCCCCCTTCTCCCATCCCAGCATCAGCCGTTTATGCTCATCCGTTCTCTGTTAAAAGCGAGAGAAGAAAGATCAACCCCCTCCAGTGCTTGGGATGGCTGTGGAGGGATGGGCAGAAAGTGCCTGGATCCCAATACCACTGCATCCTAACACATAGGCCCAGGATGGGATGGAGCAGGGGAGGAGGACCCCAAAGTGCCCAGCAGTCAGGGTGGGATGCTCCTTGGGGTTTTGCCACCCCTGGATTTGTGGTGAAGTGCTACCAGGTTAAAGAGCTGCTCAGAAAGAGCAAACACGGGGTGATGTGCTCTTGTTGCTTCATCTGAGGATGTCCCACACTGTCCCCTCAAGAAGGGATGTCCCTATTGCAAAGACATGGCAGGAAGAGCATGTGTGCTCCATTTCTAGCTGGGGTACTGAACAAGGACTGGAGTTTGAGGTAGGATATGGTTTTACTGGAGAGACAGAATCACCGAGTGGTTTGGGTTGGAAAGGACCTTAAAGCCCATTCAGTTCCAACCCCCTGCCATGGGCAGGGACACCCCCTCCTAGTCCAGGTTGCTCAAGGCCCTGTCATATTCATATAATGAATAGTGATATTCATTACAAAGCAATAAAAGCAGTTTTATATCTTCTTTGTAAACATTTTTCCCTTCTGATGTCCTCTGGAGCTGTTCTCCAGCTAATCCTCCCTCCCCTTGTGGGAGATGTCTCCTTATTTCATAACCAGAGGAGCTGAGCCAGAGGGGTTTGTGCTGTTTATTCAAAGCCTGTGATGGAGCCCAGGTGTCCTGACATCCCATCCCCTCTTTGAACCACAGAAACATCCATCTCCCAAGGCCAAAACATGCCATCTAACTCCTGCTCCCCCACACCAGCAGTGGAAACATGTTTGGGTTCGGGGCACGGGAGAAGCTCCAGCTGCAGAGGCAGATCTGCCTTCAAACAGCAATGTTTGCCTGAGAATAAGGATGAATTATGGGATGCTGGGGGATGAAGCCAGGTCTTTATGCTGCAGAGAGAAAAGCAACAAGCACGGGCACTCTAGTCTATAATATGTAGTACCTGTCCCTCCAAACAGGGGAGTAACCCATATGCTCAGGGGCTGTGTAATGTGCTGCTCTGCATAGAGCACTTCACAAGCTTCAATCCAGCTGTTAACCCTTTCCAACACTACTCAGGTCCAGTAAATCCAGCACTAATCCCACGTTTAAAAGGCTGGATACCCATTAGGCTGCCTTAATGCAGAGCCAGAGCAGGTATCTTAGCATCCATGGCAGAGTTCATCATCCACATCCATGACACAGCTCTTGGTTTCAAGCTGCTGATTTATCCCCACGTACAGACAACAGCTTTTGTGTTCACCTCTGGGCCCCTCACTACAGGACAGACATTGAGGTGCAGGAGCAGGGCCAGAGAAGGGCAATGGAGCTGGTGCAGGGCCTGGAGCACAAGTGTGATGGGGAAGGGCTGAGGGACCTGGCGGATTCAGTGTGGAGAAGAGAAGGCTCAGGGGGGACCTGATCGCTCCCTACAACTGCCTGACAGGAGGATGGAGTGAGGGCTGGAACCCTTCTGCCCCTGCAAGTGTTCACACACCGTGTAGACAAGGCCCTCAGTGCCATGGGTTAATGGTGGCCTTGGCAGTGCTGGGATAAGGTTGGACTGGATTTGCTTAAAGGTCTTTTCCAACCTGGTTGATTCCACAATTCTAACTCCCTCATTCATGGCTCCCCAAAAACCTGTTTCCCTCCAGCTTCTTAACTATGTGGCTGGACAAAGAATGTGTTGGTACATCCAGTGCCTTGGGGACCTCACAGCTCCCATTTCTCCATCCCCCTGCTCACTGATGCATGCACCCCATCCCTGTGTCTTTACCTGCTGATGTCCAAGTGAGCCTGTATCCTGTTGCTCCCCGGACAGGGCTCCACCTTGCCTGGAGAGCATTGGTGGTTTCATTCTGCAGCAAGATGCTTCTCACAGGCAGGAGCTTCACTGGAAGGAGGACAAGGAACAAACTTGTCAGTGGAGTTGTGAGCAAGCAAAGCTCTTGAAGATCTCCCACCTTTCCTCCCAAGAGCACGATGGGGTTTGAAGGTGCCCCAGTCCATGCATGTGAAGGTTAGAGTTAGGGATCAGTTGAACGCTGCCCCTTTGATGCACACGTAGCAGCAGCACTCACCAACAGTAAGGTGCTCATCAACAACAAAGGGGTGTTCACAGCACCCAGGGCATGAAAGGACCAACCACAGCCTCGAACCACTTACATGTTCTCCCCACAGCAGCCACAGGCTGGCTTGGCCCCTGGGGATACACTGCATAGATGCTGATGCTGTATTCTCTATCCTCCTGCAAGTTATCCAGCACATGGGAAGAGACATCACCCCGCAGGACCTGCTCGGAGGTCATCCCTGGTCTGTTGGCTGCAAAGTCAAGGAGAAAAGTGATGGTGAAGCCTTCCCGCTGCCTGTCTACATCCCATAGTTATGAAAAGTGTGCATAGGAGTGCATGGTTGAAGTCCCCCAACCTATGTGATGCTAAGATTTATGTCTGCAGCTGTATCCAAACATATATGAAAGCTGTGTTTCAGCCCTCCAGATCACACAGAGGTAAGTGTGGACCATATGAAAGGCTTGAACTCACTCCTATCCACACTAAAGCAGGCACTTGAGCATGAAAAACATCCATGGTCTGGATGTGACAGTGCAAACGGGTACAAGGCATCCTCAGCATCATCCCTACCTTGGCGTTCAACAGGAAGTCCTTCAATGAACTCTGCCCTGTTTTGGAGGAACCACACTGTCTGGAAGAGGCTAACCTGAACTAAAGAGCTTTGTGGTCCATTGTGGCACCTTTCGTGTCCTTGGGTCACTGCTCCTTTTAAAGCAAACTCCAAGAGGAAAGAATCCAACCTGAACTCACCTTTGGAGATGTAGATCTTGTAGCCCTCCAGTTTGCCCAGTGGAGGTGTCCAAGCCACCTTCAAGCTGTAAAGTCCTTCTTCTATCACACGGAAATTAGTGACCGGAGGCACAGGGGCTTTGGGGTACAAAAACATGGCAGAAATGGATGTGACAGTGCTGGGATAAAGCACCATGGCAAAGAGCCTTGGGAAATGTTTTGTCTTCAAGGGCAGGGAGACACAAAGCTGAGTAGCACCGATTCTCCATGCGGTCTCCTTAAAAGCCACCATTCACCCTCTACCAAACCCTTGTCCACTTGAGAAGTGAGATGAACCCCCCCCTAAAGCACAATGCTTCCTCTTTGAATGGTGTTTGGAACTGAATTATCTACCCACTTCCTCCTAAGCAGAGAAAACTCTGCAGTGGTTTCATGCAGACTGAGCAAGGACACATGAATCAAACACTGCTTGCACCTATGGATGCCACTCTTATAATGAGGAACCCATTGTGGTCCAGCCAGCCATGGCAGACAGATTTATAGCTTCTGCCTCTGGCTTCATGTTGGGGATAATAAGAGAAGAGATCAAGTGACTTTATTTCCACCCATAAAGACATTAAATCTTATTCCTGGCAAGTCCACATGAGTCAACCCCATTCAGAAGCTTTATTTACTCATCCTGTTGGAGATTGTCCCTCAAGAAGACAAACAGCTTAAGACATTGCAGGAGGTGGGGAAGAAACAAAAGACAAGGGAAAAAGGGAATAATTCTTTCCAAAACCCCTCTGGCAAAGCAGATTTGATGCTTCATCCAAACCAGGGAGTGGAATCAGCCACCCCTTAAACTCTTAAACCCTCTCAAATCAGTGCAAAGGCTTCTGGGACAAAACCTGCTCCATCCATCACATCTGACTCAGTGTTTTACACTCCAGGGTTTGGCCAAAGATGAATTTGCTCCTTTGCTTCCAAGAACCATGTCATTACAGCCAGCCATGTGACAGCGAAGGAAACTGGCATGGCAGATTAAAAGCCAGAAGAACCCTACATCGTTTTCATTGGTCCAGACATCACTGCTTGGAGCATTTCCTAAAGGCCATGTTCATACCACGTTGGTGTTTAACTTGAATTAAATGAAGCCCTAAGAGCATGCATAGTGCCAACCCAAACCTTCTGGACTATCCACTTGTGAAACAAGATATTTAAATATACTTCTCTCCATATAAACTCATGTCTCTGTTTCTCAACTTATGGTCTTCAAAAGCTTTCTTATCCCAGGTACATGGGTGTTACATGAACTGAACCCCAGCCTGGATTCATTAAATCCTGATTTAATGAGAGGATGAGAGCTATCCAGCAGGCTGCACTCTCTGCTTTGAAGTGGGTTAACCACATGGGTTACTCTGCACCCACTCACAACCCTTCACCCCACACTATGGACACCTACACAAATGCTCCTCCTACCCCTTCCTACCCATCCATCCCTCACTCCTTGCATACATGGTTTTGGGAGGGAGTTTTCCTGTGCCCACAGACAAGGAACACATGGAGATGACTGCAGAAGAGACACTCACTTGTTTTCCCCTTGACAGCTGCTGATTCCCCAAGGGCATCTCCATAGACAGCCCTCACCTTGAAGACATACTTGGTGCTGGGTTTCAGATCAGTCACAAGCACGGTGCTTTTGTCACCATCCACCACAATCTGTCACACAGGGGACAAAGGACATCATTACACCTCCATAACCATGTTGGCAACAGGTTAGGAGCACAAGGCTTCACATATAGTGCAAGGTGAGTTCCACGACCATAAGCCTCTTAAAATGCACTAACTCAAAACACTGTAATTCTCAAAGGATATCCAGGTTCACAATGGACATAGGACTGACATAGGACATTGCCAACAGTGGGTTTCATAGGATAGCCCTGAAAAACTCCATAAAGACAAGGACATAAGGGTGAGGGTGGTCACAATCCCCTTGAAGATCATGGAGGAAAAACAACCACTTTTGACAAAGAAAGTTTCTTTTAAGCTCACAGAGAGAGATTTCAACGTAACCTGAGGGTAAGAGAAGTGGAGACAGATCGACTGTGTTTTCACTATATTCTATGTGCTTCTGAAGCAGCCAGAGATGATTATTCTTGTTAAATCTTAATAATTAATAGAATAAATATTCTTAACCTTAATAATTGATGCTTTCATTTCTTTGTTCTATTATTAGGAATCAAAGCTCTTAGGCATACATCTATCCTTCAATCTTGCTCTCAAACTTTGGGCTGTGGCCAAGCTGAATACTGAAGTGAGCTGGCACACGCAGCAGCATCCCTCACACAAGGCCATGACAAACCCCAAACCAAAACCCGTGGATATCTTACCAAGATGAGCAACTTTGGCTGTAAGAGGAACAGGGCATGCCGGTAGGGAAGCTGGATGGGCTTATTTGAGAGGTGGTATCACAGGGGTAAGCAAAGCAGTGAGCCCCATTGACCTGTTCCTATCAATCCCAATGGCATTTGTGCCAGTTCATGCCATATCCTTCCTCCACCCCATCTTTTCCTGTTACTCCCAGAAACATCACCTCACCACAACAGCAATCAACACATCTGTAAATCCAGTGGTCTGTCTATAGACCTTCACTCCAAGCTTCAGGAATCCATGCCAATGCACTGGGTTGTGACTAAGGATGGCTGAGGAACATGATGCCATCTCCTAACCAGGCTTAGCCATCAGAAGAGGACTAAACCTGAACACTGAGACCTGTAACTGGTGCTTTGAAAAGTGGGAATGCAACTCTACCTGCTGCTGGTCCTCCAAAACTGGCTGTCCTGAAGGCATCAAGGGATGCAGATGGACATGGTACCCCATTACCCTCCCTGTAGCTGGCAACCAGGTGAGGCGCAGAGAGCTGTGGCTGTGCTCACTGACATGCAGATCTTGGGGACCAGTGATCTTCTCAGCTGTAAAAAGAGAGGAGAAAGGCCTTTGGTTTGGATTGTGATGGTACCAGTGTTGTACACGTGCAAGCTGGTCATGGATGGAGTCAACATGTTCAATGCAGAGAAAGCCTTGGGTATAGATGACACTCACTTAGGGATCTGTTTCCAGGCCAAAGACACACAACCAGGTTTTCTCTTGGCAAATTGCTTGGCAGCACAAGGAGGGAAAACAAAACTGGCTCTGGCTACATTCCTCCTGTGAAGACCTGCTTAATGCATAGGGCATCAGCTCTTCCTGCCTTTCTCCTTACTGACACCAGAGAAGAGTACCAGAAAGCTTGAACTGTCACAGGAAGCCCTGAAGAGCTACAGAACCACAGAGAAAGCAAAAGAAGACCCCTGAAGGCCTCAGATGAAGTTCTCCCAGACTCTGCCCCAAGTATTTAACTCATCTTCTCATGAGTTTTTGTCCCAAGAGGCATGCAGGAATTTGTTGCCATCACCTCCAGATTCACTCCAACATCAATATCCCCTTAGGGGGCAGATCTAGATCTCTTTGTATATCTCTATGGCTGCTCTTCGCATCTTTTGTAAGGAACTAAGTTCTGTTGGACAGGGCCTTGCGCAACCTGGTCTAGTGGAAGGTGTCCCTGCCCATGGCAGGGGATTGGACCTGGATGATCTTAAGAACCTTTCCAACCCAAACCAATCTGTGATTCTGAGACCCTGAACTGTGATAGAAGTCCATCACGAAAGCTCCCGAGTGGCATAAATGATGCCTCAGCCCATTGCTGCTCTTTTTGTTTGAAGCATCAGCAAGACTTCCAGGATCCGGTATCACAAGATGAACCATGGAGATGCAGACACAAACACACAGGACCACTGTTCGTAGGCAATAGATGCTCCATGAGCTGGCTGCTCTTCTAGGGTCATCCAAACCCTAAAGCTCCCCTGTGATTCTTCACAAAATCATGGAATAGTTTGGGTTGAAGCAACTTTAAAGCTCCTCCAGTTCCAACCCCTGCCATGGGCAGGGACCCCTTCCACTGGAGCAGCTTGCTCCAAGCCCCTGTGTCCAACCTTGCCTTGAACACTGCCAGGGATGGGGCAGCCACAGCTTCTCTGGGCACCCTGTGCCAGCGCCTCAGCACCCTCACAGGGAAGAGCTTCTGCCTTATCTCCAACCTGAACTTCCCCTGTTTCAGTTTGAACCCATCACCCCTTGTCCTATCACTACAGTCCCTGATAAAGAGCCCATCTCTGGCATCCTTTTACCCCTTTCAGACACTGGAAGCTGCTCTGAGGTCTCCATGCAGCTTCTCTTCTCCAGGCTCAACAGCCTCAATGTTCTCACCCTGTCTCCATACAGATGCTGCTCCAGCCCCTGAGCATCCTCGTGGCCTCCTCTGGACTTGCTCCAACAGCTCTGTGTCCTTCTTATGCTGAGGACACCAGAACTGCACAGAGTGCTGCAAGTGGGGTCTCACAAGGGCAGAGTAGAGGCATGGACAGGATGTAGGAGGTCTGTCACCATGGCTGGCACATCCAGGGACTGGGAAGGGACTGGTTCGGAGAGCAGGATAAAGGGAGACCCTGACGCACCTTGCACTGTCTGCTTGATGGGCTGTGGTGGCTCTGAGGCAGTGAAACAGAGTCTTCGGGAAAGTTTGGGAGCCACGTTGTTGAGCAGGTGAAAGTCTTCAACATAAAGCACGTGCTCTGCACTGGGCTCTGAAGCTACTTTGTTCAGTTCATTCCTGTCAGCATCCTTAATTCCTAGAGGAAGAAGAGGAAAGTAGGACATCAAACACCATCTATGGGGCAGGCCAGGCATTGGCAAGGGCTGTCAAATGCAAGTGGGAGTGATGTGTTGGTATAAAACAGCTTTGGAATCCTACTGCCCACAGCAAAGGATGAAACAAGGAATGGAGTCTCAAGCTGGAGGGGCAGTGGTGAAGCAGATGAAGCCTATTCCATCAGGAAAAAGAGGTGAAGGTTTCCTCCAGAGGTATGTGAGAGATTGCCCCAAGGTTTTTGGCTGCTTATGGGCTGAGAGGTGGAAAGCTCTCTTGACGTGGAAAGGGCAAAGAAGCAAGGCAGGACCTGGCCTCACCCTTCCCATTGGATACCAAGGCATTTCTGCTTTTCTGATGGATGGGTAGAAAACAGGACTTTGGGAGGCGGTCTGGAAATTGCAGAGGTTTCCTGTGTAGAACTAAAGAAGAAGGACCCCCCCTGCCCCAACAAACCAACTCTCCCCTAATTTTCACTTCATATTGGTCCAAACCAACCTGGTAGCTCTCTATAATGAACCATCACCACCATTCCCTTCTTCTCCACTGAAATGTTTGGTGAAGGGAAATATTTGACTTGTTGTAAATGTCTGTATGTAGGACTTGGAGGGGTGCTGAAACTTCTCCTTGCCTATAGAATGATTGTGATAGACGTTTTTAACGTAGCTAAAGTCAGTCTCTGAACCCCATTAAGAGAAACCTTCAAAAGCAAAAACATTTCACTTGCAAAAATGTCACATCAAAACATTTTGACTTTTATGGGACTATTTATTGAACTCCTCCTGAATTCAGGAGTAGTTTTGACAGATGCAAAACTGCAGGTTTACACTGAATAAATCAGCTATTGACAACACCACAAAATACCCAAGCACAGCACAGACGTGGTTTTCCTGTACTTGAAGTAGTTGCTAGTGGTTGAGCTGGCGATGGTGCTGTTTTAGAAGAGGGGGGTGTTGTCCATCAGAAATCAACCCCAATGTGTAGACTGTGTTGGTGGGATGCTCTATACAATTTAGTGTGTCCATACATACCTACAGCAAACACTGTCACCCCTCCATCCTGCAGGACCTGGGCTTCATTTTCAACTGAGTCGCTGGATTTCCCATCCGTGATCAAAACAACCACCTTCAGGAATGAGTGTGAGAGGCAGAGAATGAAAGAGAACAATATGAGGAGGTCACAGAGAGTTGCAGGATTTTCACACTGACAACCCAGAACTCAGATGAGTCCATCTCAGGAGGAGTGTGGCCAGAGCATTGTGTTGGAAGGGACCTTAAAGCTCACCCAGTTCCAGCCCCCTGCCACAGGCAGGGACACCTTCCACTACAGCAGCTTGCTCCAAGCCCCTGTGTCCAACCTGGCCTTGAACACTGCCAGGGATGGGGCAGCCACAGCTTCTCTGGGCACCCTGTGCCAGCGCCTCAGCACCCTCACAGGGAAGAGCTTCTGCCTTATATCCAACCTGAACTTCCCCTGTTTCAGTTTGAACCCATCACCCCTTGTCCTGTCACTCCAGTCCCTGATGAAGAGCCCCTCTCCAGCATCCTTGTAGCCCCCTTCAGCCACTAGAAGCTGCCCTGAGGTCTCCACACAGCTTCTCTTCTCCAGGCTGAACAGCCCCAATGCTCTCAGCCTGTCACCATATGGGAGCTGCTCCAGCCCCTGAGCATCCTCGTGGCCTCCTTATGCCTTTGGGGAAAGAAGTTAGAGGTCTAGTCTCTACTGAGGATGACACCAGGAGAGTCAATCGCAGGAGGTCACTCACCTTTGCTGCATCCTCTCTCATCGTGTCCAGGTGAGACATGGCATGAGCTGCAAATGCCAGGGCTGCCCCTGTTTTTAAGGTGTTGCATTCAAAGGAGATATCCTGAATTGCCACCAGCATTTCCTCAATGGTCACGTAATCTGTGAGCTCAATGATCATCCTGGGAATGGGGGAATATGGGTGAACAAAGAGCAAGAAAATACTGTCATTAAGAAGGATGCACTGATAATGGCAATAACCAGCAATAATTTAGCTGGTTACTCTAGGCTTGTATATAGGCAAGAATTCCTCTTTACAGTGGTCAGGGGAGTCCAGGGTATGAGCTCCAGCTCCCTGTTGCCATAAAACATTGGGTGGTGGGGGGAATTTCTTGTTACCAGTATTAAATCTCATCCTCCCTGTCCTGAAAGTGTTCCCCATGGCTGAGCACTCTTGGTTCTGGTGACATTGCTGAGGGTTAGACTCCTGCTCTGCTCTTGCAATGGTTCACTAAAGGGGATATGGTTGCCCATATAGAACTAAAGGGCTATAGAAACCTTGGTGCTGTTGGTGGACCTACCTTGGTTTCTCCCCATAGAGTGCCACTGCCAGCCGGACGCCCCCTTTGCCCATCACCACGTTCTCAAAGGAACGGGCCACACTGCTGATGAAGTCCTTGACCAGCCAGGAGCTCTCCTTCCCTGTGCCCTGTGACTGTCCCACGAGGAACAAAACGTCGGTCACCTCCGCTGTCCTGCACGCTGGGGGAGAAGAGCGGCAGGAGGGCTCATCCCAACCATGCAAGAAGCCAGACATGAGATAACCCCCTATGGGTCATGTAAACACAGGAGATATAGCAGCTAAAGAAGTGATACCATGCTTAGGCCCAATGAAGTGGGTAATGATGGGCTTCCCAGAGCAACAGGCTGCTTTGATGTTTTTATTTTCCTCCTAATTCCCCATGTTGTAGTTCTCACTCAGGGGAAGTTTCCCATTTGAAGCACAAACGCTGAGACCCAGATCTATCACAGACTGGTTTGTGTTGGACGGGACTTTAAAGCTCCTCCAATCCCAACCCCTGCCATGGGCAGGGACCCCTTCCACTAGAGCAGCTTGCTCCAAGCCCCTGTGTCCAACCTGGCCTTCAACACTGCCAGGGATGGGGCAGCCACAGCTTCTCTGGGCACCCTGTGCCAGCGCCTCAGCACCCTCACAGGGAAGAGCTTCTGCCTAAGAGCTCAGCTCAGTCTCCCCTCGGGCAGGTTCAAGCCATTCCCCTTGGCCTGTCCCTACAGGCCCTTGTCCCAAGCCCCTCTCCAGCTTTCCTGCAGCCCCTTTAGGCACTGGAGCTGCTCTAAGGTCTCCCCTTCAGGAGCCTTCTCTTCTCCAGGCTGCCCCAGCCCAGCTCTCTCAGCCTGGCTCCAGAGCAGAGCTGCTCCAGCCCTCGCAGCATCTCCATGGCCTCCTCTGCACTCGCTCCAACAGCTCCACGTCCCTCTTGTGCTGCTGCCCCAGAGCTGGATCAGGACTGCAGGGGGGGTCTCCCCAGAGCACAGCAGAGGGGCAGGATCCCCTCCCTGAGCTGCTGCTCACGCTCTGGGGGTGCAGCCCAGCACACGGGGGGGTTCTGGGCTCAAGCTCACACTGAAGCTGGGTCATGGGGAGCTTCTCATCAACCAACACCCCCAAGTCCTTCTCCTCAGGGCTGCTCCATCCAGTCTCCCCCCAGTGTGCATTTGTGCTTGGGATTGCTCTGACCATGTACAGGACCTTGCACTCAGCCATCAAAGCATGCAGGTCTGTAGAACATGCTGGAAACATGAGAAGCACCAGTATCTTGTGCAAAGAATGAACAATTTGAGTGTTTTTCTATACAAGCAGAGCTATCTGATGACATCTGGCAGGGAAGAGCCATTAGGCAGGTACATGGAAATGAGCTTAACAAACATCAGGGCATATTTCCCTTTACAGCGCTCAGGCTCAATTGAAAGTAATTTTCTTTAGCCTTGAAATACTTTTCATGGTCAGAAATCTGATGACTTTTAGGGACCTTAAATTAATGAAGGCCCCACGAGGGATGTTCAAAATGTGTATTATCTTTGTGTTTCTCTCCTTCACACATAGATGCTGAGTTATTACCATAGGGATGTTAAAAAGCAGACTGCTGGAGGAGGGCTTTTTGTATCTTGCTCACCAGGAATGCACTCAATCCCTTCACATTTTGTGCCACTGTTGCTTTGGATTTTACCCAGCCCTTGCCTCGACCTTCAGCTGCAGGTCTGGAGACCCAACTGGGACCCAACCGGGCTGCAGCATTTGTTCTGGTTTGCTATGGTGACATGTTGGGTGGGTTTCTAATGCTTCTGCTGCAAATGGAAAGCCTGTTTTAGCTTGACCCCTTCAATTTACCTGACATTTACCTGATTCCTATAAGCAGGATTCCCAAAGTGCTTGCAAAGATGCAGGTTTTGTGCTCTTCTTCATTGCTGTGTCCCTGATCAATCCCCTATGGGCACACAGCAGGACAGAGGATCATTTGCTGGGTGCAGACGGATGGCAGTCCAAGTGTCTTTGTTACCCAAGGTTTTGGTTTCTTCATCTTTCCTTGTGCCTCTTGACACTGAGCTCCTGAAGACTTACCCAATCTGGCTACTGCAGAGAAATAATGACTGGGCTCTTTTTGAATCATAGAACCAACCAGGTTGGAAAAGACCTTTAAGATCATCAAGTCCAACCATTATTCCAGGGCTGCCAAGACCGGCACTAACCCGTGGCACTGAGTTTGGTGTAACTTGTACCCAGCTGGGAATATAAAGCACTTTCCCTTGACAAAAACGGGAGACAATGATTTAAATTGCCCTTCCTAAAGCTCTCTATTGAGATCTCCCTGTCAGAATGTCTTGGAGGCACCTCAGCTGCTAATAGCAGATCACAAGCTCTTTTCCCAACTGCCAGCTCCAGTTTGGATCTACCCCTTTTCCCTAGGTTGGACCTTGATCTCCCTGCTCCCTTAGAAGGACTTGGAACAGAGGCAATGCCAGGTCTTGGCTATGAGCTCAGAACTGATGTAAAGCATCCAAAAGCTTCTCAGAGTAACCACAACCTGCATTACCACAAGAAAATCCCAATAAAGGTTCAATAAGGTGGAGAAGACCATCCATCAGCCCTCCCAAAATCACAGAACCATACAATCATTAGGGCTGAGAGCAATCTGCCAAGACCAAAAGTAAGAGCTTTAAGATCATCAAGTCCACCCATGAACCTAGCACTGCCAAGTACGAATCACTCACATCATTTCAAATCACCCATTTCTTGGCGCTACTCAAAGCAGTGCAGTTTTTATGCAAGACCTGCATTTTTGGCCCTAATCTGAAAACATGCACAAAATGCCATGGATATCAAAAGACCTTCCTCTCCATATCCCAAATCCGTAGAGAACCTCCGCCACCTGTGCCTGGTACCCGAGTCTTGCTCACCATGTACAATGCTCCTGCCCTCATCTGCACCCAGGGATAATGACAGGAAAGACAACAAGCATGAGCTCCATGGGATTAAAAAGGGCAGGATGGTTTCCTTTCTCCATAAACAGGCAACCATCCAATCACAGAATCATCTAGATTGGAAAAGACCTTTAAGATCATGGATTGTAGTGACAGGAAAAGGGGTGATGGGTTCAAACTGAAACAGAGGAAGTTCAGGTTGGAGATAAGGCAGAAGCTCTTCCCTGTGAGGGTGCTGAGGCGCTGGCACAGGGTGCCCAGAGAAGCTGTGGCTGCCCCATCCCTGGCAGTGCTCAAGGCCAGGTTGGACACAGGGGCTTGGAGCAAGCTGCTCTAGTGGAAGGGGTCCCTGCCTGTGGCTGGGGTTGGAACTGGAGGAGCTTTAAGGTCCCTTCCAACACAAACCAACCTGTGATTCTGTGATCATCAAGTCCAACCATTACCCCAGGAAAACCAGAGCCCATTCTGCAAGACACTGAGCCAGGAGCTCAGCACCTTTCCAGCTTGGCAATGAACTCTGAGAGCGTTTGCTGCTTGGATGTGGTACCTGAAGCTGTCATTGGAAACATGTGATGTTAAGCACATTTGGATTGGTACCTTCTGGAGAGAGCACCACCACAGACAGCTCTATTAATCACAGGGGGATATGACTTGATTTGAAATTTTCCAGACACCTCCCAAATTACCACGTTCCATCAATCACAGGTTTGCCAGAGACATCTGTAAATGGTGATTTATTGCCCTGTTCCCAGCTTGGAATTAAAGAGCATTATAGTCAAGTATATTGGATTAATTGATGGACAGGAACTTAATCAAGTTAATTTTGTAGCTGACACCAAAGCTTCCATTAAGTCCTTGGTGAATTGACTGAGATTAGTCCAGGTGAATTTACACCTTCAAAACCTGGAGGCTTGTTGCTGCAGAACAGTATGAAAAGGGAGGATCCACTGGCTCAAACCCAGCCTCAGGACAGTCCCGGGAGCTCTGGATTAGCTCTGTTGGATGCTCACAAGGACCTTCCCCATCCTGAGGCTAGAGATAAGCCATGGATCATGCTGTAACTCTACGAGGCTCTCCTCTGGGGTCCTTCTGCCTTTTGGCTCTGGTCTCTCCTCCCCAAAAGCTCTTATGAGCTTCTCAGGGAGGAAATGAACCTTTGTACCATCTCTAAACAGTAGCAGGAGAATTCAAGGCTTCCTTGAGGTCTTTACTCTTGTATTCTCTGTGTGGTGGCTTGTACCAGGCCTTGGAGATCAGGAGTCAGGAGGGGACACCTTCCTCTGGAGCAGCTGAGGTGCAGCAGGATTAAAGGCAGGACACTGAGCAAAGCCCTCATTTCCCCATAAACCCTGCTTCAGCAAGTCAGATCCTGCCTGCCTTTTGGGGCCAGCTGAGATGCTCTGTTAGCCAGATGATCCCAACCTAAAAGCACCCTATGCAGAAGTTAAAGGCATCAGCACTACAGTATCTGTGTGTGTATCCACAACACGAGCAGGAAGTGCTGCTTGGAAAAGGTCTTTTTCTCCCTGATGTGTCTCACCATCACCTCTAGAAGCAGTATTCATAGTAACCCATTTGTCACATACCTTCATGGGTGGCCACAGCTCCGTACTGCACCACAGCCACTGCCAGGACAAGGATCTGGGCATACATTTTCCTTTTCCTTGGGAAGAAATTCCTTCTTGGTTCCTGGAGTCAGCACACAGCCTTGAGAGTCATTCATCTGCAGGAGAAGAGTGGCTTTAAGACAAGCCACCGGAGTATGATGATCCCATTTGCCTACAGGGGCAAGAGAAGCTTTTCTCCAGCTATAAAGGCTCATCTTGGCTTACGCTATTGGCCCTGAAGTCCATAAACCCACTAATTCCTTCATCCCTTTGCTGATGCTACAGGGGAGAGCTCAGCTTTGCTCCACAGCACCTTTCCCTAACAGCACCCTTCTTCAGGCAACAACCACCTCAATGTGAATACGAGTGGTGTGAGGGAAGAGGAAGCATCTGCTGCCTCAGTGATGCAGGAAGGAAGGATCATCACTGCAGACAGCAATCACTGCACTCAAGTCTTTATTACCCTGTTCTGCAACTAACCTGTAGTTTGCCAAATCCAGGATTAACTGCCTTGTACCTGCTCCCCTTGGAAACCCACATCACCATCATGAAGCAAAGGGGGCTGAAAGCTCTGGGTATCACCTATGGATGGTTTAGTGACCCCCCCCAGATTGCTACATAAGTCTCCCTCTGTAAAGAAGGGACTACTCTCTGTGAAGCAACAGTAACAGAAGTGGCATTGCCAGAAGGGGCTTTATCCTTTTTAATGGACATTAAAATGTTCTTCTCCTGCTCTGAGCTTTCTCTGCTCATCTTGGGATGAACACATTGCCCAGGGAGGCATGGGCTGCTTCCAGGTTGGAAATTACAGATGTGGGGAAAAGATGAGCTCCACTTCATCCAACGCAGTTCTTTGCCAAGGTTGGGTTGTTCCTTCCAGTTAACAACATGCAACCTTGAAATCACATTGTGTTATAGATCAAATCCTCCTTGGAAAACAAGGCTGAGTTCCTGTGCACAGCTTGGAATAACCCTATCTAAATGAATCTCCAAACAAATAAGGGGAGCCTGTGTGCAGCTAGCCTGCAGGGGCTCCAGAGCTGTGGTCACCTTGCCTATCACGGACCTACACTCATCCGAGACCCTCAGGATGTCAGTTCTCTGAATGTGTTTCCTGCTCCTGATTTTCCCTCTCTCTTCTCCTAATTGCTGGATGCAATCAGAATCTCTGCTGTGCAGTGGTTAACCTGTGCTGTGTCCTTCCCTCATAACTCCTGTCCAAATCTCTATGTGGGGCTGCTATTAGTTGCTCTGGAGATGGCTTCAAAGCAAAACCAGCCCATTCCCCCCACAAAATGCCAACAAAAACCCAAACCAAACACATCCAGGCTTTTAAACAACAGGAATAAACAAGATTCTAGGGAAAAAAAGTAATGGAAAAGCGTGGAGCTGAAGAAAACTAGGTTTAACTGCACCTCCCTCACAAGAGTTGTATTACAAGCTTTGGGAAGATGACCCCATTGCCCCTCAGATCCCAGCATCTATCAATAACAACCTGCCAGCATCCCCTTTTCGCTTCCCAATCCTTTTCCCTAATCCTAATCCTTCCCAATCCTTTTCCCTAACCCTAATCCTCAGTTCCATAGGGCAGAGTGTCCTGCGCCATAACCAACCCTTCATGGAGCTGGAAGGCAGCAAACCCTTTGAATGGGTGTCTGAGCAATGGGTTAAAAGCTCTGATACTGTTCAACACTCCAGCATGGAAAACTGATGATCTTAAACGTCTTTTCCATCCTACTTTATTCTATGATTCTAACTACAGTGCAAAATGCACATTAAGAAGGCAATAGGAAAATGGTCACATAAGGAATAAATCCTAGAAGGCTCTGAAGAGGCAAAGAGAAAGCACAATAGCCCCAGGCCTTCAGTGAGTAAATGTTAACAGTTGCAAAAAGCAAAGACCATGTGGATGCAGAAAGGCTGGAGCTCAGAACCAGTCACACCTTGAATTCACATTGCAAAGCTGAGGATGAGGGTTCAAAAGGGGTTTATAATCTGGATGCCACAAACCAAACACATCTCCTGGCAGATATAAACTCATGTGTGTGGATGCTGTCTGCGTGTTCAATTTTTGAGCATCTTGAGTATTTCTGTTTATCAGATGGATTTTACAAAGGATAGTTAGAGCTGGGCTCTGCCTCCCAGCACTGAGCTGCAAATGCTTGCTCAGGGTGAAAACCCACCCAGCTCCTGCTGCTGCACTGGCATCGTGGGTCCTTAATGGATGACTGCAGCACATACGTGTTACAGATGATCCCAAATTCAAGGATGCTGTTCTCTGAACTGAAAATGAGTCTCTTGTTTTTCCCCTTAGAATCATAGAACGGTTTGTGTTGGAAGGGATCTTAAAGCTCCTCCAGCTCCAATCCCCTGCCACAGGCAGGGACCCCTTCCACTGGAGCAGCTTGCTCCAAGCCCCTGTGTCCAACCTGGCCTTGAACACTGCCAGGGATGGGGCAGCCACAGCTTCTCTGGGCACCGTGTGCCAGCGCCTCAGCACCCTCACAGGGTAGAACTTATATTGAACCTTATCTCCAACCTCAACTTCCCCTGTTTCAGTCTGAACCCATCACCCCTTGTCCTGTCACTACAGTCCCTGATGAAGAGCCCCTCTCCAGCATCCTTGTAGTCCCCTTCAGACACTGGAAGCTGCTCTGAGGTCTCCATGCAGCTTCTCTTCTCCAGGCTCAACAGCCCCAACTTCCTCATCCTGTCTCCATACAGAAGCTGCTTCTGCCCCTGAGCATCCTCGTGGCCTCCTCTGGTCTTGTTCCAACAGCTCCATGTCCTTTTTATGCTGAGGACACCAGAACTGCACACAATACTCCAAGTGAGGTCTCACGAGAGCACAATAAAGGGGCAGGATCACCTCCTTCGACCTGCTGGTCATGGTCTTTTTGATGCAGCCCAGGAGACGGTTGCTTTCTGGGCTGTGAGTGCAGTCCTTCCCTGTTCCTTCCAAAATTCCACTGCATTTAAGTGTTCACCTGGGTATCAAATACCAGTCCTAGATGAGAACATATCCCCAGGTGTGACACGTATATAAGGTCTATAACCTCTGCAGCTTCCAATACTTGCTCCAACACCTCCCTCCATCCACAGCCCACAGGTGGCCCAAGATCGCACTAGGGCTTGCTCCTTTCACTTTTCAGGATATATTTTGGGTATAGCCTTACATATAAGGCTGATGGAGGACTATCGTTTGCTCTACCATTGTTGTCCAACTTGGGACAACTCAGTTCACATCATAGGTACCGCTATGATGCTCACTTTATACATTAAAGATAGGTGACCTTCACTCCAGCAGCTCTTAACTGATCTTTGCAGACACTGGCTGCCACCAGCCCCTATCAAAGAAGTCTTAAAACCTCTACAGAGATCTTTAGAGAAACCTGGTAGGGGCAGGGAAACGACCCCATAAACCTCAGGGTTTTGCAAGGAATCCCAGCAATTCCCTTGATCTTTTACTGTCCCTGGTAAATAATTTATAGGGGCAACTTCTCTGGGTTTTACAGTTTCTTGAACAAATTGCCTTCAAACCCCATAAAGTTGATGGACCAGGTTCTCCCTTTACTTCATCTAGATCAGATGACATTGCTGGGGGAAGCCTGGCAAGATGCAAGAGGGTAAAAGAAGAAAATCAGGTCTGACACAGTTGTGGTAATGCCAGCAGTTGGGCTGTTCCCCTCCATCACTTCTTCCTGGGTATAAGTTTGCATTAAACTCTTATTCCTTTTATTTTTCCAGCAAATTTGGGGATCAATAAATAACCCTTTTGGGATAAATAACTACCTCCTGTCAGCAAGCTCTGTCTGAAAGGGATTTGCAGCCTCATCTGGCTGGTGCCTGCCTCTCATTTGCCTGTGGGTCCAGGCTGGATCGCACATATCTCCTGCCCAGCATCACCCACACCAGATGCTGCTAAGTCCATCTATCAAATACCCATCCCTGTTGCATACAGACACAAGAACTACACTTCAGAGCTGCACCTGTGCATGCAGAGCTTTCCCAGAGGATCTGTGTGGATCCATGTCCCACCACTGTGCCATACGTTGCACATCGCACAAGCAGACAGCTCCTTTGCCTCACAAGATCTTGGCAATATCAGCTAACTCTGGCATAGGGAAGCGGGTCTCAAATGTGTTCATACATGTCTCCTGAAAGCAGCCAGCTGGACTGGACAAATACCTTGTTTGCAGCTCCCTCTGAAAGACTGCAGGCTGAGCACAGCCTTATATTAGCCATCACCTCAACTTACTATACCTAGCACCACACGGCTCCTGTTCACGGAGCACTGCCATGCTCCATCACAAAATAAGACCAGATGTAAGGCTGGAGATAAGGCAGAAGCTCTTCCCTGTGAGGGTGCTGAGGCGCTGGCACAGGGTGCCCAGAGAAGCTGTGGCTGCCCCATCCCTGGCAGTGTTCAAGGCCAGGTTGGACACAGGGGCTTGGAGCAAGCTGCTCCAGTGGAAGGGGTCTCTGCCTGTGGCAGGGGTTGGACCTGGAGGAGCTTTAAGGTCCCTTCAACCCAAACCAGTCTGGGGTTCTATGGTAAACCCTATGGAGACAGACCCCAGCAGCCCTGCAGAGATCTGTAACTGAAATGTAGAGACTGGACTGAATGGAGAATTAATGGGAGCTTCAGGATGTGGAAGCATCAAAGAGACTGGCAGGAGAAGGGTATGGAGATGGTTCAGGTATTGATGGTACCAACATTAAGAGGTCACCGAGATCCCAGCACATCTACATGTAATTTTGCATGGTATTTAGATGGGGAAAATCAGGGCACAGACTGCGCTGACTGACACAAAGGACACACTGAAACCATTGAATTTTGGTAGCAAGATGAAGAATAAAACCAAGGGCTTGAGGCTTAAAACACCAGCAAAAATGCAACCGATGTTCATAGAGATGGAGAGCAAAGATCACAACTGTCGGCTCCCAAACGGTACCAACAGCTCATCCAAAAGCAGCACGTTGTCACCAATGCATGCAAAATCCAGGAGGCAGGATGCAGATGTAATAGCTAGTGTCGATTAGAGGCTCTGTCCAAGCAGATGTGTTCACAATTTGATTCCAAGGAAATGCTGGTTCCCTCCTTTTGCTCTGAAAT